TATACTGGACCGTGCGTTTATTATACAACGCCTGAATAAATCCCCGTCAGCTGATTGGTCGGTTGTTGATCACGTGTCATTGAATTATTCGTCCGAACGCACGGTGCGGCCGCACCGCAAAAATAGAAGTTCTTTTCCACGGCTCTGACCAATCAGATGACGAGGATTTATTCAGGTGTTGTATAAAACAAAATAATGAATGTTTCACATTCGTGCAATGTAAAGAGTAATTTCATTCGGTGACAGATATGGAATGTTCCATTCCACTCGGCTTCGCTTCGTGGAATTGAACATTCCATCTGTCACCTCGTGAAATTATTCTTACCATTGTACTCACAAACATTCGTATGGATGAACAAATGCACCATATTGAAAATGGCTTGTTGTTACTCGTGGAAAACATATATTCCTTGCACAGAAGCAAATACATGGATACAGAATAGTTCCCTGGAGTTATACCTTAAATTCCAAATCGATTTTCCCAGAGCGAGTTTTTCCATGAAGGCTGGACAAAGCCTCGGGCTATTTTATAGCTTGTTGGCAATGAAAGCTTTGGGGTTTTTTTTGGTCGTCTTGATGGTTCGAGATAGAGAAAGAGAAAAACAACCTGCTTCAAAACTGCGAGATAAGGAGGTCGGGCTTTTGCCGATCCAACCTAAAAAAATCAATGCGTTAAAAGGACTTTGTTTTTTCTGCATTGTGTGATTTTAATCGTTAATAAACTTTCCACGCTCTAATAAACACGTCAGTGACCTCCGTTTTTATTTAAAAAAAAAAAAAAAAAAAACTCTCTGTGCGTAGGCATCATGCACACGAAACGGCTGCTAAGACAATCGTTTAAATAGTTAAAGAAACACTTTAACCTCTAGCTATATTTTAAATAGGACTCAACATTGAAATCCAAACACTTCGTAGCAAGATTCTACTTTATCATAACACGATCGTATGTAAGAGTGACATTAGACAATATGCTGCAGTATCTTATCATGACGACACATCTCGTCGGGGTTGCGCGTTGTTTCAGGGCTTTCATTTCAGAGAGCGTGTTTGGCGTCAGCAGGACAAGTTTTTGTTTTCGGTGAATTATCGCAGTCATTTTGGCAAGTTTTATAGGACAATGCATTGACATTTCCAGAGGCCTATATTTTCCCCAAGGAAATGCAGTGAACTCCTGTGCATCCCTCAAGACAGTGGACACATCTTTAAGTTACTCTCTTTAATGCCAAGTAGGGCCTAACTGCATTGCTGAACCCTCCCCGACAACAACAAAATCTTCAGTCTGTTACGAAACAGGCTGACCCGATTTAATGGTATCATTAAATGATATTCATGCTTTCTGGAAAAAGGGGATTTCCGTATAAAGTGCATCTTGCGCCGCGTTCATCTCTACGAAGCTTAGCTCAAGCCAGTTAATTCTCACCTTTCGTCTCAAAAATAATGGCAACTGGTATCAAGTTATCAACATGCTGCTTTCATCATCACGGCCGGTTTGATCATAACCCCCTTCATTTACGCGGACGAGTGGAGCATCACGTAGTCAGAAACTCCAGGGGAATAACAAAGTCACTAGAAATCTAGTAGCTGTCATGAACAGATCTTAAGGCAACGTCCGGTTTTAGCCGTTGAGCTGGATTTCATCAATCTCTTGATTTCATGACATCATAAGGTGCGAATATTCTACGTGTGCATATTGACAGTCGATAATAACTTGTTTTCCGGCTAAAATGTGTAATTCCAACCGTATGTACGTTTTCTGAAACTTAATAAGTAAAAAGTCAACAGTAAGACTCAATGAGAGGCAACTATAATGAACGTGTCTTATAACAATCATGCATTTTTGTGCGTTTTTCATTAATTAGGCCTAATCGTGTTTTAAAAAAAAAACCTAAAGCGTAGAAACTAGATACAGAAGAACAGAACATCATCTGAGCAATGCGCACCGCAATGGCGTAAGTGCGGCAGGGACACAGTCGGCTCGGTGCAAGGCTGGCTAATTAAATTAGTTGTCAAATCTAACTAAATCAACAGAACAGAACATTGGAAAACTCCTGCATTCTGCCATGTATCATCAGAGTGCGAGTTTGTCACAGGTTAATGAGTTTAGTTTTATTCTAACAAGAAATTTTAAAGAAATTTTACCCATTCAAACCAAATAGTAGGCATACCCTGAAATAAACCCATGCACTCGGTCGATAAACTGCAAAGGTTTTACTTTCAATCTACGAGACTTAGCGACTTTGCTTTTTTTTCGCATTGACTAATGAAGTGTTATTCGATCTCCATCAGCACTGACAATATTGATTAAGAAGGCGGTTTTCATTTTGAAGACGGTCGTCAAATTCACTCAGTCCCGAGGACAGGGTATCAACTGTCAAATAGGCCGACCGGCTCCCATCAAGAATGGAGATTTATGGACAATCATGAGGTCTTGACAACCTCTCAAATTACCCCTGTGACCAGATTTCCTCTATGCAAACTGCGCAAGCGCGTCTTCCATTCCAACAAATATGTACTGAACGCCTTACGAATGTGCACGAATTCGGGATGTTATCATTATTATTTCTCCAAAATCTAGATTCGGTGTTTCAGCATGATGATTTCACATTGGGATCGTTTTCTAGGTATAAACGCTACTTTTGATAAAAAAAATTCTGGAAGTTATAGGTTCGAAAGAAAAAAACTTACAGCAGGAGCAACTCAGTTCCAATTTAAGTAGCCCTATACGTGACAACAACCAGTGTCTTTTATATGAATATAAGAATCGGTCGTACGTGTTTGATTTGATTTCTGTCACGGGCAACTGCTTTAAGGGAGACGATTTCATGATTAATTTGATTATCACATTTTCAACGAAAATAGATCCTAAATTGAAAGTAGCCCATAAACCATGGAGGTCACGTTTACCGTTACACCAATATTATGCTTGTCAGGGCCAGCATATTATGTCGCTCCACTATTAAAAAAGTACAAGTCCAATTTCAATTTTTATTATAGTTTGTTTATAGCCTCAGTATATAAAAGTATCATTTTAGAGGGATCAGAGGAGAGTACGGATGAGATGGGGTGTTACTCTGCCACAGACACGTATGTGGTGGCCACAGGCAATGGCGGTACTATCCCCCCCCCCCCCCCCCCCCCCGCTCTGGTGGATTTAGAAGAAGAAGAAAAGAGAGATTATATATATATATATTTAGTAACTATGGTATAGAGAGGTCTGACATGAACGAAATAAAAGCAAAACCCTCAGGATGTTGGGACAATAAGACTCTTAATTTTGCACCCCCCCCCCCCCCGACATCAACAGCTAGATACGCCGCTGTACACCCTCAAGTCAAAAGAAAAGAGGCAGCCATCAACAGCGCCACCTCGTGTTTGATGAAGTCATTCCTTACACCCCAGCCTTCCCGCTTTTTTTGGGGGGGGGCCTATTACGTCACTACCGATATATATAACAACCACACAATAAAAACAAATCACATACATTTCAAAGAATTAAGTGCTCTAGAATGAAAGAGGTACGCGCCTGGAACGCCTACGCCACTCGGGAGAATTTCCAACATGTAGGGCCTAAGCTGTGTCAACAATTAAAATTGTCTAAAAAGTTGTGCTTTGGGCTTTATCGCACAGCATTCGCATCAATCTCTGTTTTGTTTTTGCCCCGAGCGTTTTAGCACACACAGAAAACCAACTTTGGAGCATCCTAGTATTAGGGGCATTGACCGAATAAAAAACAAGCTGAGAATGCTGTCATGTTGACAGGCCTGTTCTCTTACGATATTGACAGTCATAATAAAGTGCTTGGTTATACTATGTCAGAACAACGTTTCAAATAACGTACGACAAATGAAGCTATGGAATCAAATCAGACATGTCAGATGGAAACTCACCTTCAGTCAAACAGCTTTCCCTCGACAAGCCACAAATCTCAAATGCAGTGAGAGTGTCCACTGTAACATTCAATCTTCACGACGTTTATGACATGGCATTGTCATTATTAGTCCAGTTCCGTGCGTACGTCAAAGAGAATGTTATCGGCAAAAATTAAAAGGCAAGACATCTTGAGAAGTGTTTCAATGGTTGTTTTCACGTACATGAATTTGTCACATTTTGCTTCAATAAGCTAGACCGTACATGACTACATTCTGATGTACTGCAGGCTCCCACGCGTGTTCTAGTTGCACTTCGGTCAATTTCCAAAGACAGTGCACACTTTCATATGCTTTTGTACACGGAGACTGCGTTAAAAGTTTCAGCCATGCCGCTTTTGTTATGCAAATGTCAACACCATCTGTTTTTCTGAGACGAGGTGTTGGGTATCCAGCCAATCAAAGAAGCCTCTGGCCCCTCGTGAATTATTCATCACCATCACTGCGCGTGACGTAAGAAACTTCCAACCAATCGTTTCCCAGGAGTTCGCAGATAGCGCATAATTTTTGGCAGGATAAGGAATTCTTCAATCGTCTGCTACATGGCGGAAGTATTTGTCTCGGTGGCTGAATTTTACCAGTATGGTTTGCTGCCTGATTTCTTTTCCGCTGCTTGCGTTGCCATCGATGCATCATCATCGCATTGCTCAAATTAAATAGGCTGAAACGCAATACTATAAAACAAATGTGATTTAAATTAGCAGACGGAGGAAAGACAGATAAACTCTACTTGCTACCCAGAAAAAAATTAAGTAAAGTCACCGATACTTTAACGTAAGTGTTAATTTTAATTGTCCTTTCCTTAGTTATAACTGCAAATCTATTTAAAAAAGAAAAAGAAAAAAAAGTGCGATATCGAAAACATATCTGATTAGGCCTAGTTTATTTCATATTTGATGATATTTTTTAATGTATATAAATAATTATTGAGCTGCTTTTTAATGGTTAATTTGGGGCCGACAAAACGTTTTTAACTGTGCATATGACCACAGACGATCGATCATAAATGATTCGCACTGGCTTAAAGTTGCCACAAGGTGGCGCTGTTTATCAAAACAGCAGCGATACAAACGACGCAAAGTCACGGGAGCTAGCTGGAGAGACATGAGATATGATAATGAAATGATTGCGAAGATGTGTTTCACTTTCGTTGGGGAATTCCCCAGGAGTCACACACATTTTCAAGAAAGCTAGCTTCGTCTGTTGCTCAGTTTGCTGTGCTGGTAGGATCCTTTTATTAAGTTGTTTTCATTTTTGTAGGGAGGGTTCAATGAAATGTTTGAGTATTTCACCATGTTCACCACTAACTCAAGTAACTGAAAAAAATAGTTTTAATACATTAGTTATTACATTACATGCAGTCATGCTTCTCATTTCTTTTCTAGTTTCAGTTTCAAGTGAGCCATTTCAATTGATTTTGTTTATGTCCTACTCATAAATAAGGTTAATAATGCAATAAAATATCACCGTGTAGATGTACGGTATTCACTTCATACTGTCAGTAATGGGAACCGTTGTAAAAATCTAGCTTGGAGTTGGACATGTTAGATAAAACACTAAAACTTAAAAGTAAAACTAAGGCACATGACATCCTACATGAGAGATTTGCCATTGTTAATGTTGGATAAACATGATAAATGGCGAACAGTGGCGAATCTCATATGTAATGAGCCGTAAGCCTGATTCATGCAAAGCGAATTTGACGTCATGAAACGTTTGCTGGGAAATTTCGCTCGAGTTGAAATATGTTCAACTTTTACGAATTCGCGATGTTCAACTTTTACGAATTCAGAAGCTGGGTATTCCAAGCTAGTAAAATCAGGAAACTAGATTTGTATAGTAACCGTGTATGTGCATGCAATATCAGAATATCATGTGAGTTGAATTTCAATTCCTTTTCTTTTGCTTTTTTATTTACATCACTACAGTACAGATTAAACTCAAGTCGTCCAATCATCATGGCGTCTGCCTTTCCACCGACCACACCCACCTCGCCCATTGACCGCAGCGCCTGGAGGTCAGCCTACCGCAGTGAGTCGTTCGTCAATGTTGACGATCAGGAACTGGCCCAGGTTCGAAGCCAACTCCAGACCTTTGTCAGCCAGCACCAGGACTCCAACACTGATTACACAGAGGGAGCCATAAGTGAGTTCTACGATACATTTGAAAAGGCTTTGGAAAGGGGTGGATTGTCAGCCTGAAATCCCCAAAAAGTTCATGTTTTGGATTGTTTATACTTGTCCTATTTCTAAGGACTGGTTGAAAGGAAACTAACCTAATGTTTTACTGTAGAATTATTATTCACTTTACAATTTATGTGGATCTTGTGATGTGTTATTTACAGTACTGTAAATTTTGCAAACAAATGTTTGGGGCATGATTTCTTTTTTTTTTCTGTTCTTTTTTACGGTTTAGCCATCACAAAATTACACTGGATCAATTCAAGTCAAAGGTCAAAATGCCACAACTCCAGCTGCAAATTGAAGTTCACCCTGACACAGAGGAAACACCACTGCCGCAAGTAAGATTTAGAGTGATGTTTTTAATTAACGAGAAAGACCTTAGATGATTTGTAAATAACCCTGCCTTCCGGGGCAGAGTGACGTCATCTGACAAAAACATCTATTCATTTGCCCACCGGTTTTCATCGGTTGCTTTGTGTTACCATTCAGCCCTGCAGGATCAAGAACCATTGACTTTTAAGAACATAGGTCTGGGAGCTAGATAATCCAGTGTAAAAAAATTATGGATGTCCGCACCCGCCTATAGGGCTTGCACATTGACAGCCATCTCTGTAGGAGAACTGCAACTGCATATTTTACGCAATCAAGCACGTATTGCGCAGTGTTGAAAATGTTCCAAACACGTGCGCTTGTTGCTCGAAATGTGTTTGAAATACGACGCAGCTGATGCGCGTTATGCAAGTTGACGCTCAAAAAGCTGATGCACATGGATAGTCAGTAGGAAATGATGTTATTTGAACGAGACCTATATTTGATAACAAGAAACACGGTCTAGATGTCACTCTCATACATTGTATCACAGAAACACGTGTCTTGCTCCCTTCTTAATTAATTTGTTTTGAAGTTTATAGACTTTCATTGTTGATCCAAATTTTCAGATGTGGTGAGGTGTTCTGTGCCAAATGTTTGCAGTACCAGAGGAAATTGTCTCCAACCGCGGAGTACGATCCAAACGGCAAGCTGTACATGGTGAGCTACAGTATGCAGTTGTATACTTTTACTATTTTACTTGTCGACATCATGAAATTTCCTATCTCCAAAGAGGTATGCAAATTGCCCGTAAGAGATATATTTGTACTTTGGTACTTTTGCACAAATGCTTTAAATTTGTACTTGATCTTATAAGGGATGTCTCATGCAGTTTCAAAGAGTGTTATGGAATATCTGTAGTTGTAGGACCAAGAAACAGCTTAAACACCCAAAAAAATGATCTGTGTGATTTGTTTTTAAAAATTACCCTCCAGGTTTGCGCAGTCTGTTTCAATTCGGAGACGCAGGGGCGGGGTCAGGCTCGTTTCTGGACTCAGACGTTTGCCGAGATGCGCAGAGATTATCTGGCCGAGCGGGCCAGATTCATCGACAGCACCAACACTAAACCCACAAGGTACATATTTTTCTCCCCAATAGTACTTCATGTCCGAAAAGGCAAATTGTATTCAGCTTAGGATTATATTTTTGATAAAATTAAGAATTTTAGCAGAGGAATTTTATTTAGAATTTTGTTTAATTTTGTTGTAGTTAATTGTCGCATGATTGTTTTGTCAATTTTTCTTACATTGATATAAATGGATTAACCATTCTAGCTGTATTATTTGTTTTAAAAAATTATTTAGGCCATATCTCCTAAAGGAATGCCAGCGCTTGGTGGATGGTTTTAGCAAGAACCAGACAAGCATCAACCCGACTCAGACCGGTAAGGAAGCAGAGAATGAGGACGTGACGAAAGCCAGCAAGTTCTTCAAGAGACTGGGCTCCCTCACAACCAAAGTCAGCAAGGTGCCCAGTCTGGTGAAGACCGGTCCCCCCGAGTGGCAAAAACCAGATACCTGGGTGGTAAGTTAGCACTTCTTACCCATTTAGCACCTGAGCCCAATTTAGCACCTGAGCCCAATTTAGCACCTGAGCCCAATTTAGCACCTGAGCCCAATTTCATGATGTTGACCAGCAGAAAATATTTCTCAGTAGGTCTTTCTCACATCTGAGATCTTAAATTAGGAACGGGGTCCAGTGGACAATGTAAGGATGATGTTGAGGGTTGGAAGAATAGAAAAACCATATTCATTGTAATCCTAAGATTCTCCGATAACATTAGGAGTTAAACTTTCTTCTTTTTTTTTAGCCTAATGGTCCTAACTGCCAGTTCTGCGGCACGGCCTTCACCTACAAGAAGCACAACTGCTACATCTGTGGCCGTCTGGTCTGCCTGACGTGCTCCTGCAAGGATCTGCTCATCTACGTACCGGATAAATGCAACCATGAGCATGAGGGAAAGCATGCACGATGGGCGGTCATCAAGATCATAGGGGTCAGTTTCAGGGGTGTCATCCGTGCACATTTTTCTTAAAATCCTGAACATTTTGTGCCTCCCCAGTTGATTAAAGATGCGTTCTCCGTGGTCGTCTGCCAGGGAATCAGTCGAACAAGTTTCATAGGCTATCCTGGCTGTAGCTGTATGCCAAATTATAAAAGTAACTCAAATAGTCAATCACATGCAGTGTGGCCATTCATCAAATTTGAAAATCCCAAGATGACCACAGAAAAATTCTCAAGATTTCCCAAGGAATAAGCACTACGTATCAACATAGAAGCACAGACCCTAGTTTTATGTGAATGGGGCTGACAAAGTGCTTCAATTAAGATTTTGCGCATGCGCAATCCATACTTTTGTGTGTTCTCAATACGCAAAAAATCCCAAGGCTCGGCGAAATGTTCCCAAGCCCTGGCCTAAATTCCCAAGATCTTGGGAAATATCCCAAGGAGTGGCCGCGCTAATCACAAGTCTTGTGACCTGACTGCATTTTTGATTTGCCATGTGTCAGAGCCCAGAGATTGAGCCCGACAAGCGGCTGTACGTCCGCACCTGCAAGGTGTGCTTAGAGGAACTGACGGCGCTGCAGGTGGATAACTACAAAGCCTCCATGAACGGAGAAGACAAGGATCAGGATTGCATGAGCAAGATGATGGAGATTCACGGCAACATCACCAAGTTTCAGGATAAGATTGATGAGATGCTTCCAAAGGTACTAAAAAGAAAATCTTGATCTTTTTTTTTATTTCATTTTATTTTCACTGGTTCACTTGGCATTGGTAACTTGCATGATTTGCTGGTTTAGTTCCTGTTGTGTTTTCAGAAATTCAGGAGAAGTTTGAAACAAGTGTCAGAAATTCTCAGAGCCTGGCCAACGACGAGGCAAACTTTTTAAGTGTTAATTTTGGCACATTGTTTCGACTTGCAAAAAAAATAAGATTTCAACAGTGAAATGAAATTTGTATTTAAAGAAACTGTTAACTTTATCAATTTTTGGGGGGAATTAAAAATTGTGTTGAATCTATTGAACTTTACAAATAAACATTGTGATGTTGATAATATAGGGGGGAAATTACTTTTGGTAAATTTTGCAATTATGAGTTAAAGAATTCAATTCAGATATGGTTTTCCCAACTTTGGACTGAATCAGGAAGCAGTGGCAGTGATACTATAACAAAAATATTTGTCGTAACAATTTATATCCCAATAATGGTGTTTACAAAGTCAACAAGGTGCTCACATGAGCTGTATTCAAAATGCATTTTCTGCAGTCCCTTGGCAACCTCGCAAAGGGTTTGTCATATTAGCAATAACCTTTGGTCTCTGTTGATTTAGAATTGATTGATGTTTTGGTGATGGTGTTTTAATGTACCATTTTGGGGAGGATTGCAGGATGTTCCAATGCTAGATTATAGCAACCTAGGAATGTGTTTATTTATTCACCTGTACATTGCAAAATAAATGTTTTTCTGTTCTTTGGGTTTTTTTTGTCGTGAGCCGACGCAGCTTATCCCTTTTCTTATAATGTTCAAAAGATGTAGCGCCTGGATCTTGGTGATCCAAAGTAAAATTAAAATATGTAGTCATAACAGCTTTCATTTTGAAGTGTTCCGTTTAGGGAAAAAAAGCTGTATTTTAACAAATGGTATTTCCTACTCCTCTTGTAGATTCATTGATGAATGAATTAACAAATTCAAGTTTTTCATAGATTTTGAGTCATCCAGGAATGAAATAACAGACACCAAAAAAATGGATCTAGTCAAGTGGAACTGGAACAATTTTTATTTAATTGTTGCACCCAATTTCTAGAAACCCAACCTTCCATATTTAGTTTATTTTTATATCGTGCGCTTGGATACTGTTATTTCATTGGTCTAGGACGGCCACGTGTCTGGACAATAAAAATGCATATCACACACTGAGGTTGATATTGCACTCCGTTCATTGCCAGGGTGCTATAGCTTTGCGCAATGAGAACTGCAGCGTCAAACGCTGAGCCTCATGTCCGGCAGGACATCAAAACCTTCAGTTATCAAAGGTTACATCGCAGTGATTTAATTTATTTCTGACACAGGAAGTTACAAATGTTTGAGTTATTGGCACGATAATGCTATGTACCCCTCGGGTGTTAAAAACGTCATATCCCACATCACAGCAGTCAACAATTGTTAAGTATTACATGAAGTATTCCATATTTGTTATTCCCTATACAGTACAAGCAGTTAATAGATTCCTTAGAGATAGCAGCTGATAGTCCTAAGTCACTGCCACCGACCAGGAACAACATGCAGGTCTTGGCCAAACACCAGGTAAGAGTCCCCATCTCTCTGACCGGACTTAGCGACTTACATACGACTGAACTTACGATGGACTCTACAACACAACTTTCAAAACAGCATCTTAGATGCTTGCGATACATCAGTGGTTTTTTCTCTCTTCCTCATGTAGGGTGATCTAGCGGATCACTTCACGTCCTTCGTCGTAGCCGTCAGTCGGCTCAAGCAGCTGAAGCCAAGAACACAGACTCAGCTCAAACTTGTCAAGTTGCTCATGAGGGTAAGTCAGACCAGCGCTTCCCGTATTTTTTTCTGTCAAAAGTCAATTAATGTGATGTGCATTAACTCTGTATAACCTTCACTGATCCTTTCTTTTTTCGGGAGGATTAAGAAAGAAAGTGTCAAGTTATAACTTTACATTGGGATTGATAAGAAAGTGCCATGGGCTTAGTAATGTGCATTTTGGAGAATTTAGGTAGGCTTCTTTGAAAAATCTCCAATTAAAGTTAGGACTAAGTATGTTTGCAGCTCTGTGAGTCATATTACTAGTGTTGTAATCAAAGAACTTGTGAGGGATCACAAATTATCAAGTCAATCTCAACAGCCATCCAGTCCCAAGTCACCTCAAAAGCTATTCAAATAAATTATTGTTCATCAGCTGTTACTTGTTACTGGGCTGATAATTTACTTGTACCAGACTTGTGATGTACAAGTGATCTCTCTCACTACAAGACTGTCTCATCCTACACTTGTTCATTTTAAGAAACTTTTTAACATCTTATCTTCCTTGCAGTCTAAGTTTTCCTACTACAGCGACAGCATGTACACCTTCCGGCAGCTGAAGAAACGTCTGGAGCAGATTTCGCCCCCTGAAGTCCTGCAGGCTATACAGTCCATCGTCGACTCCCAGGTGATTAGACACAACCCCACACAGACACTGACAAAAATTAGGGCACACCGACCCCAGCAGGGGTATGACTATATAGACTACGACCAACTGGACAGTGAACCTGAGGACGAGGGGTATGAAGATGTTGGTCAGACACCCACATACAACCCAGAACAGAAGGAGGTAGTGGAAGCTGGTGAAACCCAGGGGATTGGGGACAGAAATATTGGACAGACACCCACATGCAACCCAGAACAGAAAGGGAAAGGGCAAGCCGGTGAAACCCAGGAGGTTGGGGACAAAAATGTTGGAAAGACACCCGCATACAACCCAGAACAACCCAAAACAGAAGTGGGTCCAAAGGGGGCACGGTGCTATTTTTGGCCCCAATCGGTTGGGGCCAAAAAACTTGGACAGACTCCTTCCACATACAACCCAGAACAGAAGGGGTTAGTGGAAGCTAGTGAAACCCAGGGGGTCGGGGACAAAAATGTTGGACAAACGCCCACATTCTACCCAGAACAGAAGATGGCAGGGGAAGCTTATGAATCCCAGGGGGATGGGGATAAAAATGTTGAACAGACACCCACATACTACCAAGAACAAAAGGAGAAAGGGAAAGCTGGTGAAATTCAGGGGGTTGGGGACAAAAATGTTGGACAGACGCCCACATATAACTCGGAAAAACCCAAAACAGAAGGGGGTCCGAAGGGGGCAAGAATGTGGGAATATATTTGGCCCCAAGCAGTTGGGGCCAGAAATGTTGGACAGGCTCCTCCCACATACAACCCAGAACAGAAGGAGGTAGTGGAAGCTGGTGAAACCCAGGGGATTGGGGACGGAAATATTGGACAGACGCCCACATGCAACCCAGAACAGAAAGGGAAAGGGCAAGCCGGTGAAACCCAGGAGGTTGGGGACAAAAATGTTGGAAAGACACCCGCATACAACCCAGAACAACCCAAAACAGAAGTGGGTCCGAAGGGGGCACGAATGTGGGAGTATTTTTGGCCCCAAGCGGTTGGGGCCAAAAATGTTGGACAGACTCCTTCCACGTGCAACCCAGAACAAAAGGCGTCAGTGGAAGCTGGTGAAACCCAGGGGGTTGGGGACAGAAATGTTGGACAGACACCCACATTCTACCCGGAACAGAAGATGGCAGGTGAAGCTTGTGAATCCCAGGGGGATGGGGACAAAAATGTTGAACAGACACCCACATGCAACCCAGAAAAGAACGGAGAAGGGAAAGCTGGTGAAACCATGGAGGTTGGGGACAATAATGTCAGAAAGACACCCAGAAACAACAAAGAACAACCCAAAACAGAAGGGGGTCCAGCAAAGGGGGCACGAATGTGGGAGTCTCGCTATTTTTGGCCCCAACCGGTTGGGGCAAAAAGTGTTGGACCGACTCCCACATACAACCCAGAACAGAAGGGGGCAGGAGAAGCCAGTGGAACCGAGGGGAGTGGGAACAAAGATGTTGGACAGACACCCACATTCACCCCAGAGCAGAAGGGGGTAGGGGAAGCTGGTGAAACCAAGAGGGGTGGGGATAACCATATTGAACATACATCCACATACCCAGAACAGAAAGGGGTAGGGGAAGCCGGTAAAACCAAGGGGGGTAAGTACAAAAATGTTGGACAAACACCCACGTACAAGCAAAAACAGAAAGAGGCAGGGGAATCTGGTGAAACCCAGGGCGTTGATGACAAAAATGTTGGACAGACGCCCACAGACAGACACCCAGAACAACCCAGAACAGAAGGGGGTACGAAGGGGGCACGTATGTGGGAGTCTCTCCGTTTTTGGCCCCAACCGGTTGGGGCAAAAAATGTTGGATCAACTCCCACATACAACCCAGATCAGAAGGGGGCAGGGGAAGTTAGTGGAACCCAGGAGATGGGTACAAACATGTTGGAAGACAGTAAAACCTAGGGGGTTGGTTAAGACAAACATCCACATACTCCCAGGAATAGAATAGGGTACTGGACGATGTTAGTGACAGTGAAGGGGAAAATGTTGAGCAGATGGACGGACAGACAGAACCCAGTACAGATTAGTGATAACGGTGGAAATGATATATTGAAAATTGGGGATTGATTTCTATTTAGTCATCTTGCTTTAGTCATCTTGCTGTCATCTATTACCAGTGATACATATATTTCACTATTATTGAAATTGTGAGACTGTTTATATTGAAATTCTAAAGTATTCATATAAAATGATATATTCATTAAAAAAATTGTTACATTTGTCATTGGTTTTTCATTTAGGTGGGAATATAAAATCAAGTTTTACATACAGAATTCTACGGGAGGCCATTTTCTTTCCCTTTTTAGTGTGAGCATTATTTTACTGATTTGAAGGTAGAGTTGGCCATTTGTGCCTTTTTTTTCTCATTTGAAGCAGCAGAAGTTTTAGATATGTGAAGGCTGTATATTCCGAGAAACACGATATTCTAGAATCTCAATTGAAATTCAAAAGTTGCTGAACCATATTTGAAATCAGCATCCGGGACACGTTCTTATTCAGACAATTGCAGCTAATATATGCGACGTCACGCACATGAACCGACAAATAATAGCAACCACGTGTGCGTATGTGTCATGTCATCGCTTTCACCCACCCATTTCTTGATTCACCTACTTAGCCAACTAGTAAAGGAAATTTCAAAAATGGCACATCGTTGGAAATGACCTTCTTTCATTGTTTTCTTTAAGATGACTGCATGCCAGAAAGAATAATTTCACAGGGAGTTTATATATTGCCATTACTATCTTTAAATCAAGTAAGCTTTTCAACACTAATTTGATAAGTTATGTTTGGATAGCTGCAAGTGGTCTACTCTACCGTAAAAAAAAGCTTAATTGCAATTTGTAGTAAGTGCATGTACTTGTGCGATTCATATGATTTCTGCATTTAGTAATTTCCTTTTCTAATTTTGTATGAAAATTTAATTTGCTTTGAACTTTTTGTTGAGAATGATTTTCAGATAATTAATTAACTTGTGGGATTATGTGGGAATTACTCCTGGTTATAAATAATTGTAAGCCTGCATAAAGAGTTTAAGGTATCGTTTAAAGAAAAGATAATAAATACAGTGAAATTCCTAATCGGGACATTTTTTTGTATATCTGTTTTAAAATACAACAGCAACCATCTGTAGATCTGTTTTGGACTTAAAATAACAACGAGACATAGACTCATTTCGGTTAATCCAGTTCGTTACATCGTACACACACTCGCAATACTGATAACTAGCGCCCATTGGATACACTCGAGTTGCGTTCGCTTCCGGTTCCATTCACGCTATGCTACATCGTGTGAAGTACGCATGGTTGAATTGAGATGACGTCACACTAACAATATGCATGCACACTCTCAAATAATTTTTGTTTCATTTTTTTTGGTTTATTAAACAAGTTGGCTTACATCCTATCCATGTTTTTTTTATTGCAAAGCAATTTCAAGACGTATGCTGTGGGCAATAAAATTATTGTTGCTTTAATTGACATTTTGATTTCACTTTTGACTCTGACAGTTGCACTTGGGAACAACTGACTTTTATTATTATTTTATGTTTTTGATTTACTAATATGATACCATTTTGGTGAATTCTTTTGATACATTACTGCTCTGAAAAGGAATGATTCATTTTTTTCTGTCAAATGTCTTAAGGGCTGCTTGGCCAAATAAAAAATATGTTCAGCAAATTTCCCATGCTATAGCAAAGAACAGAGAATTAACAGTGAGACATGTTCTTGCTTAACTCTTCTGTTTTTCATCAACTTTGGGTGCTTAATAAGCATGCTTTATCAAATTGTCACTAGGTGGTGTTAAACAAGTAGAACTGATATTTCTTGATTTTTGCTTAATACCGTATGTGATCTCTTTTACTTGCATGCTTCGCACTTCGTCTGGTGGCCACCTTCCTTTGACCAATTACATCGCATGGGGTATTACACTGCACGGTTGCCTTGGTGACGGGTTGGCATTATGAACACAGGCGATCAACTCAACGTGTCTGTTCATTGGTCAGTTGAGCTACGAGTCTCTGCACATTTGCCTCAAGTATGAGCTTAGCGAAGAACTGCCGACCATCTTCAAAGATGCTTACGAGGTAAGGCTTTGCCACTCTGTTGTCAGGTTTCGAAGAAAGGATATCTCAAAACAGCCAGGGCAGATATTGTACTTTAGACAGTGTGTTGTAGCAAACATGTGATGGATCGCCAAAAGTCATCGCAAGTCCAGAACAAGTCAGTCACAAGTCACGCAGTCCCACATCAACTCATGAAGCTATTCAACTGAATGGGACAACAGCAGTCCTTTCTTGTTCATTCCCCGTTGCTTTGTGATTAGACTTGTGAATCGACTGTCTGTGATTTGATTTGTGATTGACTTGTGATTGATTAATTACAACATTGTTCTGCAGCAAACCAGAGTCTTTAGTGACAGAATGTATGGAATTGCTCGAGGCCACAATTCTTTGCTAACTCAACTGTTAGTGGGAAGTTTCAAATGTAGTTTGTGAAGACTCATCACTTTTTTACAGTAGGCAGTTGCATGGTTATCTTAATGCAGAATTCTGTAGTTACCAGAGCCGTGAAATTTAGCATATTTTGGAAGACAATTTGTCATCGTTTCTGCAGGTTTGCCTGTCTGATTTGCAAAAGATAATCGAGGAGCAAAAAAAGGACTGGGAGCAGCGGAAGAAAGAGATTACCAACTTCATTAAGGTGCAACTCACGGTAAGGAATATTCATGAGCTGTGGCTCCACCCATTTATACAAGGGGCGACAGCATGAGGAATATTAATGAGCTTTGGCTCCACCCATTAATACAAGGGTTTAATATGACTCCACCCAGTCATGAGGAATATTAATGAGCTGTGGCTCTGCCCTGTTACACATGAGTTATGGCTGCACTCCGTCTGTACTCTTTTCTTTTCAATTCAATACAATATGAACATTCATTTCCGTAAGGCCCTAGTTCTGCAGAAAAAAAATCCAATAGAAATTACGTCATAACTAATAAAAGATGTCAGATTTGAATGTGATTTACATCAAAATCAATCAATTTTAATCAATAAAAGGCAGTGTTTTTCTCTCCTGTTTAGGGAGGGGAAGGGGTTGACATGGCCCCCTGCCTGTACCTCCAACCCTCCCAGCGCTACGTCCAACGCTACGGCACCACCTATGTGGATAACTACCTCTTCACCCGCTGTGAGGAGATAACGGGGCAAATTCTTCTTCAGCTTCAGAGCCGATGCGCTTACAGGAAGTTCCAGAAGACTAAGGATAGCCTGGCCTGGCTCAAGCAGAGTATCAAGGATCTGCAGGCCGTGACGAGAAAGAACTTGGAGGTGGACAGATGAATATTCATGAGCTGTTGCTCCACCCATTTATACATGAGCTATGGACCTTTTTACCAATAAATTCATAATTATGCATGCGTGCGCATAAATGGGCCTGGCAGCAAGAACTGAAAGCGGTCAGTTACAAATGTACAGAGCTCCAAATATTGGGGTAATTTTCTCTCAATTTCTCCAGGGTGTGCCGCTTTTTTCTTTAGAAAAGCCACTAAAATTAGTCAAAAGGTCCATTGCTCCACCCAGCTCTTTATCACAATTCAAGGAATATTAATGAGCTGTGGCTCCACCTGGTTCACCACAAAACAAGGAATATTTATAAGTACACGCCCATCACAAGTCCCGTCACAAGCAAATCATGAGTCTTTCCGCAAAATCTTAATCTGGATTAAGATTTTTGTTCCCTCGGCCAGTCCTTAGCAAGTGTGGTCAAGTCCTGGCGGCAGATGAAATTCTGAGCAAACTTCACATGCTTGCACTAGCTTGAATATAGCATGCATGAGGAATGCCCTGAAGTTCTTGGATCCCATTGCCAAAGTTCTCAAGACCACATATGATTCATCTGGTTGATTGTGACCGCTACTGTCACAGAGGCTTGACCACGCTTATTAGTAGCCAACTGCATAAGGGAACAAAAAACAAACAGACTTGAGCCAAGACCAATGTGTGGCCGGTATCGTTAAATGTTGACTGTACTTTAGGAAAAGATACTAGCATAGGCCTGCAGGGAGATTTTTTTAGCCACTTTCACATTAACTTGGATTTCCTTTAAAACTTTCATAGTACTATTTTCTGGTTTGTTCGTGTCAAAGATGATATTGATTAAATATTTATTTAGGAAATTTGTCGGGACCAGAACTGAAATTTTAATGGCAACGAAAAACTTTCAGTTGTGAAATAATTGAATTTTTTTTTTTACAATTTTTGTATATACTGTAATTGCAAAGAATTTGATTCATGCATTTAATGTTCATAGAAATTCAGTCATTTAATGACATAATATAAAACACAAAAAAAGAGTTTTGCTTATGAAATTTATTTTTGCAAATATACATCAATATTCAACAATGAATTCGATGACCATTTATCGGGGGTTAGATAACGAGTTGATGTTAGACGGTTTAGGATTAGTGCTTGTGTTAAACATGTCAACGCAGTAGACAGTTTAATGTGCAAGACCATTAAGTGTCAGTTGTATGACACTTAGCATTGTGGTATATGTGCGTGATAGAAAGCAAGTATTTGTGCATTACAGCTCAAAATTCTGTATACAAAAATGGCATAATGGCAAGTTAGCCTTGCCTTAGTTAAAGTTGGCAATTAGAATATTTTAGATGAATAATGAAGTTGTGTTTAGTGGAATCACTTAAAAGAAGATTACAGACAACACACGCCGTTATCTGGTATGCAAATATGGGTTAAAAATCAAGAATAAAATACACTCGTGTCTTAAGAACTTTCTTTTTCAGGTTTCGTGAAAACAGTAATATTTTGAATCCTGTGTTTACCTAATGTGGGAGAAAATTGGAAGTTTTTATGTATTTTTTTATAGCACTGTAAATTTGCAGTGAGCAGGGACAATCATACAGCACTGCCATTACAAAAAAATAAAACCAAAAATTCATATAAAAATCTATTATACTGTCATGGAATTCTTTCAAGGTTATTTCCGTCGTTCATGGTTGTTTCATTTATTAATATTCCTCATTATTCTCCGGCAATGTTGGCTTTTGACTTCAGCGAGGGCGCTCTCTAGACACTGCGTCATGTGCAGCAGGTTGGATGGATCTGTCTCCAGGAGTTGTGTGGTCTTGCTCCCCGACTCCTCCGTGTGTAGCTTGAGGAGGATGGAGGGAGAAGTCTGGTGGTGGAGTGAGCGACTGGCAAGCTAGATTGGGACATTTAAAAAGTTCAAATTCTGCATTAGCTGAAACTGTGTGACGGTGTGCACTGCTTCATTTACGCATTGTTTAATACAAACATGAATATGCAAATATAAAAATCGTTGAGCTAACCTCAACATCCAGACGCCATTCAAGATTATGGTAATGAGGTAGGTCCATGGCCATCTCTGATTGGATGGTTCGAATCTCCTTGCGGTTGTCAAGGTACAATCTCAGCAGTTCCTGCTTCAGCTCTTCGGAGAAACCCAAGGTCAAGATGGAGTCTTGAAAGTCGATCTCTGTAACCTTGGAAACCAAAAAAAATTCCAAAATCATGATTTGCTTTTCACTGCTCTAACCGATTTGATAACATTAAAATTTTCAAAGCTCTGTATACTCGCAACTTGAAAAAAAGTGTAAAGTCAGCTTGAAAACGGAGAAGAAACATAAAACCCATCCTATTAATTCCTGTAGTGCCCCAAATAGCCCTACCTGTTTCTCCCTGTACCACGCCAGCAGTGTACAGTGTGTTGGATTTATGAGCAATATAATGTAATACATCGTACTACAGGTAGTAATGGGTTAAAAAGCCCATGCAATGTCATTTATTTAATGCAGCATGGACAATTTGTAATGTTGAAAAGAAGAGCACTTTTCAATCAAATTCACCAAAAATGGATGCCAAATAGTTTCATACTTTTAAGAGGAGTAGAAAGTTGCACAAAATGTGTTCCTAAAAAAATTTCATCTCATGCTTACCATTAACTTGGCACTTTCAGACATCAGATACATCAGTCCCTCAACACCATGCTGGACTGTTTCTGCATCAACTTTGAGCTTCTCTGTCAGAGAGAAAAAACAACAACAAAATTTTGTTCTGTTTATTAATATTTGACAAATTCATTGAGGTGAAGGGGCAAAATTCCCACTTTTTAATATATTTTTTTTTTAGGAAAATCAATGTGGAGTGCCTATGAAGTATGATACTTACGTGCAGCAATCAGGTACATTTTGTGGTTGATGCCTTTCCGGATGAACTCCATGGCAATCCGACAAAACTCCTGAACAACTGATGAAGGGTTAGAAAATACAAATTCCCAAATTAATCGGAGTGATATTGAGGTTCCATTGCAATGCCAGGCACTTTTTATGCTACAGTGTACATGTTTGATCACATAGGCCTATTTGCTATTAATTTGTTATATCCTCGAGTCACCATATTAAATCGGCGCAGCCGCAGGTAACGCTTGCAACGTGCGCGCGTTGTCCAACGCAAATTGAATGCGAGTGCGTTGAAATATGACCACGTCGTTTTAGGGGGTCTGATTATTTAGTGATGATATATAAAAAAATTAAAAATTACTAAAATTATAAAATTGGTAACCAGCGATGCAACCAGGATTTCGTTCACCTTGTTATTAAATAGCGCCCTCAATGACGGGCTTGACTTGCCTCCGTTACTTTAGCAAAATGGACATCCAATCTCAGACAAAGGCAGCTACCAGCACTTGACCTACCTTCTACATTCACCGACACCAGAAAATTAAGGTGCTCCTTATGCTCATCTTCAAGTACGAGCAACATCTTTAATGATTGGCAGCCTAAAATCCGTAAAATAACAGAGAAATCAAAAGCTCGCGAAACGACGATTTGATTGTGCACAAAGCATAGCGATAGTCTGTTAGCAAAACATTCACGCCTCTTCGGTGTTCACTTTACACTAGCAGAGTCTGGATGTCTAACGAAATGGCATAATTTCGGTAGCTCCAAACTTGGCCCGTGATTCTAGCCCCGGTTAAGCTATACATTAAAATTGATAATCCATGCAGGAGAGGGAGATCCGGAACTACATAAATTTTTAGTGAGTGTCACCCTTCATTCCATGGAGTCTGAACAATATGCAGCTTAACGGGCTGAATTGCAAGCTGAATTAACGGAATAGGCCTGATGCAGATGAGCTGGGGATAACTTCAGGCTAGGCGGTCAGACAGTCCATTCGAAATGTATCAAAACTTCAAGTAGGCCTATTCCTTCCTCATCAGCTCATTGGTAGCCTAATATTATAACCACCGTTCGTGGCCATTTTCTTGCCCTTTTTTTGCCTAATCAAGTCATGAAAATTATAGGCTATGTATTGAATTCACAAACGAAGTATTAATCATCAAAACAGTAGGCCGGCCGATCGAGTAGCGACTGAACAACAGAGAAAAGTGAACTTATGAACTGACATTGAAAGACAGTGAGCAAGCAAAGATGACAGCGTCGTGTGTTTATTTAGCGGCTGATGCTTACATGGTGTGCCTGACGCATGCACTGTCCACAGAAAGAGAAGAAGTCATGGGACTCTGCATTGGAGAGGTTTGCGTGGCTATATGCACTTGTTTATTTGCAATTGAATATTTGCAAAATAGACCTTATGCGTAGCGGCCATCTTTGAGGACATCTTGTGTAAGGCCAAGTAAAAAAAAAAAAGGTTTGAAAAAAAGGAGGAAGCGGGGTTTTTTGTTTTTTATTTTTTATTTGTTTCAAGATGGCCGTTATTTAAAAATCTCCTGCAACCGTTGGTGTTTCACCTGCACTGTTCAAAGACACTTTTAAAATAAAAGATAAATTGGACAAGAAAACTGAACATATTTACAGTATCATCTAGACTTGTATTGGTCTACAATTTATTTTCCGATGAATTTGTGGACTTTTTCAGTGTTTTTTTACTGCATTTTTCAAAAATAAAAAATAATAAAAAAATCCAGGTGGCCTCCAAAAAGGAAGCGGGCGGGGACGAGAAACCTGTTTTTTTTTTTACTTCGCCTTAGTTCTCGTTTCTATAGCCAGCCTAAGGCTAAGTAGATAATAATTAGAGAATTAGAAAAACAAAAATCCAGTTATTGGACTTAACAAACTAGTTAACCATGTTAACCACATTAAAAACCAACAGGTATGTCCTAGATAGAGGGCAGGGTTTTGAACATTTGCGGGAAAAAGTTCAAAACCATGTGCGTATCTGAAATGTGTTTATCCCCCCTTGCACCCCCTCCCCAGGTCCCCTCCCCAGGCCTCCCCCTGCACCATTGCATCTATTAATCACACATTTTCCCTCAAATATCGAAATCCTTCCCTCTGATCTTTCCGGAACTTATTGCTTTTGAAAATAACCAGACGCCCAATTAGGGCTACAAAATGGATTATATTTTATTTACTGTAGGTGGTTCCAATAATATAATCACGATGGTTGGATTTGAGATGTCCAGCAAAAAAATCTGATACGGTATTAAGAACTCTCTCAAATTCAATGCTCAAACCTCCAGGACTGTTTTCTGTGAAAACATGTTCCACATTCGTGTGAGATGAACTGGGGGGGGGGGGGGAGTAATCCTTTAATAGGAAACTGAATTAAATGTCCCGTTTCAGTATTTACATAAATACGCAACTCAAAACAGTGCAGGAAAATTGAAGTATTAGCTCTTATGTTTTCTTGTTCTGAAATTAAGGTTAATTGACTAGTGCCCAACAACAAGGTCACTTGCCATATACTACATTTAACTTAATGCCGTATGCATGTTGGGAGCAGGGGCTTTAAAGTTTCATCGGATAATTTACAAAGCAGGAGACAACACAGACTGAGACCTTGAGTGCAGAAAAACATGCAAAAAAAAATCAGGCTAACTTTACTCAATCTTTTAAGCTGACAAAGTTCTCCAAAATTTTTATGAGGCAAAGGCAAGGTCCTTGAGCAGTATTTCACCAGCCAGGTTTGAGGTCTCAATTCAATTTTAAAGGAGACTTTTCTTCAACATTTTGCACCTGAGAGTGAAGCCAAGTGATTTCAATTTGAAGCCTAAGACTAGACTGGTACATGTCCAACTTTTTGAAAAGATTGACCTTCAGTAGTCTGGTGGCATGACCATAGAGAATATGTAGAAATAGACTAGGTACCAGATGTTTTTCTTTTGACACAGTTGATTGATAGGTGTTGGACTGGTTGTTTCATGTGCCAGTCTATTTTCTTGTATTGCATGTTTTTACTATCTGAAGTTTTGGGACTCTCAATACTGAATCTCATACACAGTGTTGAGAGTCCCAAATAAAAATGAGTTCAAACTAATCTCCTTTGTTGGGTAGGTAATTACTAGTCTTAGGGGACAAAAAGGCATTAAGGAATTCATCCAGAATTTACAAAATTGTACATATCAGATGTAATAGAGACAGCGAAAAAGTGGACCCCAAATTTACAGAAAGACCCATAATATGTAAACCCCCCCCCCCCCAGTTTTTAAAAATAAAGAATGTTAATTCCCTCCCCCCACCTCTATTTGTTTATACCTTTCAGATTGACACCAACCGAGCGGTACACATCGTGTCAGTCATCATGCTTCAGAGGTCCGACAAGAGAAAGGATCGCGTCGAGATATCACCGGAACAGCTCTCGATGGCAGCATCCGAAGCTGAAATATCCTTTGTCACTGTTTTCCACAAATTCTAACACATGGGGCTGCAAAGCTCAGAAATTCTGCTAAGCACGGAAAATATTCGCTTAGCAAAAACAGGTTACCAACCAAAATGTCATGCAAGGTATATTGCCTGTGACTGGTACTCGGCTGATTTTTGCTAAGCGCATCAATTTGGTAAGCACCATTTTCTGCTAATCAGCTTTATGATGTTCGACCCAGGTTTATTGTTATTTGTTAATAATAATAATAAAAACTTATCAAACGCTTAGTCACTACGCTGGGGTCTGAGACAATTTATGAATGGAGAGGTAAGTTTTGAGACAAGATTTGAAAGAGTCAGCCTGACCTGCCTAAAATTTTGTGTTCATAGATGCTGGAAAAACCAAGATTTTAATTCTTTTTCGTAGCCTACTTCGAAACGGAGCAATTTATAGAATGCAGAGAATTATAAGGTCAGGAAACCAGACTAGCTAGCTTGCATCCGTTCATGGATATGTAACTAACCAATTGCAAACAAAGTGTGGATGTAACTAAATTTGGGGGCAGTATTTGAGAAAAGTCTCTTTTTCCAATGATGGTTGGCCGACCATCATTGGAATTTGAAGGGAAAAAATCCACTTTTCTTGGAAATGACAGCACACCAGGTGCCATGATTTAACAGGATGCTTGAGACTAGTATGATGTTACCATCTAGTAAGGTTTGCCTTAATAATTTGTTAATTTTTTGTTTATGTTGAAAATGTTAATACCTTTAATGTTAATTTTCCCAATTGCTATGTTTAAAGTTCAAATTAGGTTTTGCCCTTCACAGACGTATAAACACTGTATACTCAGTTTGTTACCTCCCGAGTGAAAAGTTGGGGAAAATCTCTCATGTTTAAAGTTGGCGTATTTGTAGCTTTCCTTAACGATGCATGGATACAGTTTAGCCACACTGATGGGTCGTCCCTTGAGAGTTATAGGCTGGTACCACTCCCATCCACACATCACAGTCTGGCCGTCCCACGTTGGTAAGCATTACTGTAGACTGAGCTTATACAAGTGGTCATTCTGTAAATTTAGGGTACACAATGTGACATTTTTTTGTTGGTCCCTGTTAGGCCAAAAAAAATAATAAGTCGGTCTCTGGTCAGCGCGCACGTCGATTTTAATCATGCGCGTCAATCTTTTTTTTTTCCCAAAATGTTCAGCAGTAGCTCCAACAGCGCCCTCTATTGCCGCACCTCCTCAATTTTTTTTTACCAAAGAGCACCACGGAATCGGAAATTGCACCAAGGCAAATGATCGAGAGCACCAAGGCAAATTATGGAGGACACCAATGTACATGAGGACACCAAAAAAGCAAAATAGTACCCCACCTTGTCTGTACAATCCAAGCTTGAAGAAAAAAAGGGGAAAAAAAAGGAAAAAAAAAAAATTCCGGAAATTTGGTCTGACCAGAGACCGAATATTTTTTTTTTTGGCCTTACCTCAAAATTTGTAATTTGCCATTCAAGTATCATTGAGAATGAATTCAAATGATTTTTGTAGTTGTTGGGTAGGTAATTTGCTATTCATAATGTTTGGAGGACGTCTGCAGTACATCCAGAATTATGAAATTAAAGATGTCGAATGTAACAGGGACAGGAAAAAGTGGACACTAAATGTATAGAATGACCCGTATATTTGACAGTATTGAGGCAGGAGGATATTGCCAAATATCCTCCTGCCTCAATACCGTCAAATACTAAAGGACACAAGGGTGGATCCAGAACACAATTTTGGGGGGCCAAAAAAAATGTTGGTCCCCCAAAAAGTGGTTCAAAAAATTACGTCGTGGGGTTTGGGGCCCGCTTAAGGGCCCCTTTTTTTTTATTCTAGATGCTCTGTGGTGCGATCTGAGGCAATTTCTGACCACTGTAAAAAAAAAAAAAATTGTTCAGGAAAAGATGGTGGTGTACTCAGTGCCTGCCTTTATTGCGACGTCACTTACAAAGAATTGGGTTTGGGTTTTTGTTTGGGGGAGGGGGCATGGCCCCGTTGGCCCCCCTGGATCTGCCCTTGAAAGGACACTGTCACAGCTCATGCATATTCAAATGCAATTATTACTAATGATAATATTTCTCAAAGAGTGCCTTTCTCAACAAAGGTAAGCAAGTGAATATTCATGATGCAAGACATTGTTGCACAGATAGTTCTCGAAAAGTGCCTTCCATTTTTTTGTAGGATGAATGATGGTCTGATTTTTTTTGGCCAATTTTTCCTTCTGCCAGATGTCAGAACTCAGGCATCCTATCAGTTCCTAGATGACGGTTTCATCGGCCTCATCTTCTCCTGCTTCAACGAAGAGAAAGAGACCCGGGCGGGGCAGATTCAGGTCACATGCTTCCAATCGACCAATCAGAGTCCAGAAGGAGAGCCTCCAAAGTGAGTTTTGCCTGTGACCCAAAAGGTCTTGTTTGACAAGATAAAATGTGATGCACACAATCATTTTTGAACAGCGCCCTCTTGTGTCAGATACATCAAAGAGACATCAAGTGCCTCCCCCCCCCCCCCATTTTGAACAAGTTGGTTATATTCCCCCCCCCCCCCCCCCCCCAGTCCTGTGTGCAAGCTCGGTACAAAATGTACAAAAAAAATCCAGCTTCTGAATTTCTGATTGTGTCCATAACCTCTATTATTAGGGTCTTGAGCCCTTTTCTCACAAGAGCCTCTCAACCCGGGTTGAACTTAACCCTGGGTGAACCCAGTGCCGCCCTGGGTTGAGATTTTTTATTTTTCAAATCCGCATTAAACTCTGCATCGTTTCACACTTAATTCTTGCAAACCGAGCTTATTTTGCTTGTTTACTACTGTTTTGAATCCTGGCAAGATTTTCAACCTGGGTTGAAAATCTCAACCCTGGTCTGGAGCAGGGTTGAGTTCAACCCGAGGTGAAATCAATCTCAGGGTTGACACAGGGTTGACTTTTTCATGTGTGAAACGCGGCATGTTTTCAACCCGATGTCAACCCCGAGATTTATCTAGTGTGAAATGGCCAATTAGGCCATCAGCCTCAGTCCAAAATTTTGGCCACTGGTATCAAAGGAGGGGAATAATCGTCATAGCGATTTTTGGCAAGGTATACACCTCCAGAGTTGGAAAATATGTGATAGCATTGCAGCTGTGGCAGCTTTTTGGGTGTTATCACCCTTTTTTCAAAATGTCCATCAAAATGCTTGTTACCATTCTAGGGGCGGTATACCTTGCGCATGCGCACTATAATCATTTATGCCCTGATTTGATACTGACCAAACCCCCAGGTTGATGGCCTATATAGTTAAACCAAACTAAATCGATTTTTTCCCCAACAGTTATGATAGGCTGGAGATCCCTCTGTTCATCCTCCCTAAAGACACCATTAGCTCATCCTGCTTGGACGCACTGACTGAACTCCCTAAGATCCTATCGCAGGAGGAGCTCGAAGCCTACAACCACGCCGCTCACAACACACAGGGGTCAACGACAGATTTCTTGACGACAATTCACAATGGAGCTGGTAAGTACCATTGATTTCTCTTTATATTTACATCAACGTGATTTTTTTTTACTCGAGACATGATTACTTGAAGCCACCTCTTTAAAAGCAAAGTTAAGTCAACATTTTGCTTATTTAACTCATAAATTCCTGTACACCCCCCCCCCCCCAAAGTGCCCTGCCTGGTACACCCTGTACCGCCCGAAAGCGCCCCAGAACAGAATTTTTTTAATGATTCATCCAGAATACATTGTGTAATACATCGTGAAACAAGTACTAATGGGTTGAGCCTCATATATAAACTATCCGGTTCGCAAGTGTGACGTCATTTCAACTTAAAGCACGCCCTCTGCACACATACCTTTGGAACTAGCTTCCAGGTAGTAGTAGCTTTGGAACCATCGGAACCAGAAGTAGTAGTACGTAGTTGTACAAAGTGGCATGTTGAGCCAATGGGCGCTAGTTATCAGTGGTACATGTGCGTGTATGACGCAGTCATTACGAACCGGATAGGCAGTAAGTGGGCCATAAGAAAAACAAAATCAACTCAAAAATGTGCCTTTGGAAAGGCAGCTTCATTTGCTATGTACATGAGAAAATAAATGTCCAATTAATTTTTTAACACTGCTTGAATTTCCTCCAACGTTGAACAATAAAATCACTACGATAATACAATTATTTTTAATAACTCGAATTACAAATCACAGCGGATAATATAGATGTGCACAAAATTTAGTTTTTCTAGACTATTGATAAATATGGTGCTTCTTACTGTTTAATCACTCTTATGTTTCTCATCGTAGTCATGTATTTCCTCCACCCGCATTTTTGAAACTTGAATAAGCAAAAGTTTGTCCCTTTTTTCCGGTGATTTTGCAGTTTACACCAAATCGCTTTGCCACCTCATGGACGTGCTCAGTGGCCCGCTCATGCAGTGTTTGGAAAATCGATTAGAAAGGAACCAACACAAGTTGGAATCGTTACGGCAACTGAAACGCAGCCTACAAACGCAGCTTCAGCAGTGATGCTCGTACGTGTCTCAATCTCATGTATATCAACGAATCCGGGCGCAGGATCACCGTTCACTCACGAGGCCCCCTTCAATGGAAAAACCATTGTGCATGCCATTGTACAAAGCAACTGCTACGTGACAGATTATCTTAATAATAACTAGTACAATGTTCTGCCATGATAGGGGGCCTCTGTGGTAGAAGTGATGCATGTACATTATACCTCTGGTAAAACATGCAAAGGCAATGCCTGGACGCATGGGATATAGCCTGCATTTTTTTTTTTGGCTTATCAATAATTCCAACTTATTAATAATTCCAAACCTGTGGTGGAATGGAATAATAGATTGTAACTAGAATGCAGATTAGGTCGCTTGATTTGGACAGCGGGATCTGTCCAAACGTGAAACATTGACTCTTTCTACGGACCATCAATGCCTCAAAAATTCACCGAACCGTGTCCAATGATTGGTACGCTAGTCTATTGACTTTTCTTGTGATTTTCATGAACACCTCGCATCAATCAAGCAGAGAATGCACCACCTACGTAAAGATCATCCTCACTAACATTAATATAGATTTTGGTACCAACATTTACAGCTTCTTCGTTTTGCATCATTTATCAAACATTCCCGCGATGAAAAACTCCTAGTTTGGCTTGCTTATGAACCCAGGGGTGTGAAATCTCAGCTTTAAAGCTGATTTCAGCTTTTTTTGTTTTGGATTTCAGCTTTTTCCCTCACTTGCTATGTACAAAAGTATAGGAGATTTCCAAAGTTCAGCCTTTTTTTTTACCTTTTTCAGCTGTTTTCAGCTGTTTTTATTAGCAGTCACTCACACCCCTGTAAACCTTAACTACCCAAGGTGTGTGAAAAATCATATTAACATTTGAGGATATATGAGTCGTCTACATGTACAAGCAATTCTGGTATCTTTCGGTTATTTTTAGTTTGTATTATTTTATATCGATACAGCTTTCCACTCTAGATTATTGTTTAAGTTGCCAACCCCGTTGTCCAGAAATGTTGTTTCTCCTGAAGTTCGTAATTCAGTCACAGTTTATATACTGAGGGGATTAGGGGATTATGAGTCCCTTGAAATATGTCCACCCTATCTGAACATTTCTGTGGAAGAATCCCTTAAAACATTTCTCATTCCCCATAACATCGGCGTACAAATTAGGAGGTTTAGAGTAAGGATGTTACGTTTAAACGTTTAAACATTCTATGTCCAAATTTTCCAAAACGTTTAAATGAAATTATTTACACAATTTAATTTACAAAACCTAAAAAGCACTGCAGTACTAGATTACATTCTGGGTATAAGTTTGAAGTTTTATCATTTTCAGTGACTGCCCGCTATTTATTATATCAATGATTTTTGATTTCTCGTTTCAATCATGAAAGGTCCACATCTGCAGACATAATGTGCAGGCATCGACCGTTGTGAAATAGCTAAACATCAAATGCAGAGACATAGATTAGATCCAAGCCCCAAAACATGTATAATTGCAACAAATATATATTAATGTCGGTAGTTAGCTAATAAAGAGAAGTTTGATATATTCATGTAATTTCAACGTCAGAAATATTGAATATGTGACAATAAAGTAATCAAACGACATAAGCCAGATTGGAACTGTATCTGTTGATTGAAAATGATACTTACTCAGAAATGTTTGAAATAGATGCCCAGACTTTCTAATAGTTGCTATTTGCAGTTTTGTCCACTAATTATTTCAATCATTCAATGACAATTGTCTTTTGAATCTATGTGCATAAGTGAAAGCAAAATCTTACATACAATTTAGTTATTATTGAACAGTTACTCACAATAAGGTGGAATTATATACATGTACTTAAGTATTTTGTACGTACTACAGAGTGGTGCAAAAAGAAGGAGAACCACTTTTGACAGCAATTTCCGCCTACTTGTTAAGCATATTTCAAAAATTCAATTTAATGGTATTAAAATATTGATCTATAAACATAAGTGACGAAAAAATGATTGCAAATGCATATTTTGTTTCTGAGATATGGTAGTTTAAACATTTCATGTTTGTCCTGTTTGTTTGTCCTGTTTGTCCACGGACAGCTTCATTTTATCCGCTTGATTTGAAGACAAAAAAAACACCAGGCTTACACGTGGACTTGATGACGTTTGGTGACTTGTATTCAAATTAGCATAATATATTCTTGCGATTTTTTTTTAAAGATTTCTTTTCACCACGTATGTTTGAAGAGCTATACTTCACTACATTATAAGAAAACAAAACAGTTCAAATAAGTTAAGTAGGTAAAAACGCCCGTCGAAAGTGGGTTTCCTTCTTTTTGCACCACCCTGTAAGACTACCAAAAAAATATTGACATACTGATACACTTTCTAAAGACTAATATTCGGTATATTACTGCACAAATAAAAACCAAAAGGTTTAAACAGATAAAACTGATAAAAGCCAACCGGCATTTTCCAACTTATAATAGTGAACCTTGTGATAGTTCGCTCAAGAAGGACCACAATTCGTAGACGCGACCCCTTGGTTTTTTTCATCTTCGACTAATGGTTGCGCCAATGTGCGGCTAGTCTTTCCCCGGCGACTTAGTAAAACAGATTGATAATGGTCCGTAATGGCAATTTTGCTCGAAGTATTTCGGTTTTGGCTCCCACCGATGTAATTCGTAATGTTTATTCCTTGTCCAAGGCCTTACGAAGGAAAAACACAGGCTTACTCGGGAGGGACTCAAACCAACAACCTCCCGCTTAATAGTGCAGACTTCAGCTTGTGAGTTTTTTTGTACATCTCCCTGACGCAATAAAAGCAACATACAGGTAGGCCTAAATGACTGTCGGAAGTTCTTGCGATGACGCAAACAAAATATATGGGTGCATGCAGGCCAGTAAATCGGTCCGAAATTACCTTCGCCGGCCAAATCACTATTTGCATGCTCGCATATTTTGGGCCGTGAACTGGAAAGATTACTCTATTTTGCAACTGGCGATGCATCTTCAGGAGTATTGTAACGGGTGATCATCTTCGGATGGAAATGTCTCCCAAAAGTCATCGGATTACCCACAGAAAAATTGAAAAGAAAATGAAGATGAAGAAATAAGCTTTAATTTTAAGTGTCTCGACAACTGTCAGCTGTGAGTATTTTTCCTAAATTCCTGAAGTGGGGGAATTGTCGTTGGCAGTTTATTTACTGGTCGGGACCTTTAAAGCTCTACGCACGAAGTCTTGCAACCAAGGGACAAACGATACGACAGGCATCACAATTCAAGTCCCATTTTGTACCTTTTTCCGCGATTTCACCCTCTTGATCAGCAGCTGAAGTCGTCTCGTGATGTAGTCCATTATCTCCATAGCGGTGAGAACACTGGCCCCAAGAAACAGTCCAAGTTGACCGCCAAGATCTCCCAGCAGGGCCGTGAACGGCAGGGCCTGTACTTGCTCGTACGTAATGGTGCTGAGATCCGTGTAGTACACATCCAAGTATACCATATTCGCCTTCACGTACTCGATGTCATCGTTTGATGACACATCCCCGATATCGCTTATAGCTGCCTTGATCACACTTTGGCTTGGATATATCGCCGAGGATAAGGTGGTCTCGTAAGTCACGTAGTCGCAGGCCACGGGGCAAACGCAGTCGGGCCCCAAGGATGAAGCTCGGTGGATTCGAAGAGCATCTCTTACGCAGCGAAAGTCGTCGATGTCACAATGTCGTACAGGGCTAGGGCGATCCGAATCCGGACGATACGCTTTCTCGTGCCCGAGAGGCTGACAGCTGCACTTTAAAATGATGGCATCACGTCGGCAGTTCCTGAGACAAGTGTTACGACTGTATTTCATGGGCTCTTCCTCTGCCTCCTCCGTACCGCAAACACCCCATGGTTTGGGCAGATTTATGTGGCGAACCAAACGCATCGATGCGTAGGTATGAAGACCAGGGGCTGCTGATAAACCCATTGTGTCGATGAGGGGCAACTCGTCAGGTGGGTGGATGGCGAATTTCAGTCCTGCTTCCACATGACCACTTTCGTAAGTTTCCGTATAATCCGGCTGTCTTATGTCGATGATCAGTCGAAGGCCATTGCCGATACCTTGTCGACTTTGCGCGTATATTTTGCGATTCTCGCCGGGACCATTGAACGTGTAGCATTGACCGAAAGTTGGGGAATAGTACGACGAGAAATTGGATGCGTCGCAGCTTTTGTCTCCACCTTTCCAACTGCACTCGTGCAGAGAATCTTCCAGCAAGAACCCAGAGGACAGAGCGAAGTTGGTATAGTTGAAATCGTCGTCGATCTGACTGAAATTGAAATCCTGGTAGTCGTAGTCGGAGAGGTATTCCTCTACCCGCAGGAGACGGCTCACGTATTTCTTGTCGTCGTCATCTATTCTGTATTTCATGAAGCGATTGTAGTTGCAGATAGTCACGGCCGGAAATGCCAGCGTTTTGTTGAACTCAATGATGACGTTGGTGTTGGCTTCGTACTTCAGGTACGCCTGAATACGATCGGCCGTGACATACACGTAGACACCGCTGGCGACCAGCAGCGCGAGGATCCACGGTATCTTGGCTCGAGCCCCGCTGCTCTCTGCCACCCGTCCGATGCCGTGCAGAGTCGTAGTCGTTGCGAATTGGTACTCCAAACTCGGTTTCTCATTTTCAGCACCGTTGGAGGTATGTTCAGGCTTCTTGCAAGCTTCATCACATGCCATCGTTATAGGTCTCGGAAAAACTTGCTCTGTTTTCTTCAAGCTCAAGCAGTGAAATTAAACCACAGAACTCAACCAGTTTACCGTATATCACGCGCGGGTGATATAAGAAACATTAACGGCACAAGACTGTCTCGAACTCTGACGACGCAAAGTAAACGATCGTCGCGGCAGTATCATCCATTTTATTGAGTCGCTGCGGTAATATTGTTAGAGCTTCCCTAAAACAGTAACCTACTCAATAATTTGGCAATGCTTTTAGCCTGCCTCGCCTCTTAATACTTAATTTTTTAATGTATATACTCCCGGAATATTGCTAATGTATGCCATAATCCATTAGGAGTTAAGCACAGCCGTTACATTATTTTTTATCTTTGGCGTGTTCATTTTCTCCTTGAGTGGTTTTTTTTTTGCTGGTCGTTTATTAGCGACCTTGATAATTTCTGACTATGATGCGGTATTGTGAGCCGTTTCAATGAAATGTATTAGTTTTAAGAATTCAGCCAGATGGGACCAAAATGCATTGGACTGATTACCAATGATCGATGAACCGAACACCGCCCATTACGATATGAATATTTCATGAGCGCAGGTTTTAAGCGATATTTTAGAGCGGAGCGCTTTGGTCCAATGGTTAGGATGTTCGACTCGCGTGCCGCGCCGTGGTGTGTTCAAGCCCTGACGGGGAACGTGCACTAGTGCCTGTGTTCTTGGGCAAGACACTTGTCTACAATTGCCTCTGCCCACATGGGAGTATAAATGGGTACCTTTAGAGATCAGAATGCGCTGATCTCGAGCTCCTGCAAAAACTGGTCTCATGGCCTGATGAACAGGGATAATAATTGTGAAGCGATTTGAGGCCTTTGACATAAAGTGCAATATAAGCACCACATTATAATTAATTAATTTTATATATTATTAATATTCCTCAATCAGTAGTTCTATTGTGTCGTGAAGGCCGTGTTTTTTTTCCAGAAACTCTTATCGTTTGTTTGATTCGTTAGCTTTGTTTAACCTGCCTGACACCGCCCTTCAGCTGAATGTCATGACAAAGTAACGTCACGCCAATAATGCAAATATTCGGGGCAATTGAAAGATAGCGAGAAACGTGGCTATAACTTTGATAAAGAATTCCGTAGTCACCCAAAATGCATAGAACCATTCAGTGCTCATGATTATACTTTTGTTGATCGATCATTTCAACTTAATCTTTGTTTCCTTCTAAACTAAACTATCAAAATTTCTTGATTTTCCACCAAACGACATCGATGCTATCTCCATGTCCCTACTTATACGAAATGTGGTTGTTCAGGAGTTGCCCGACTGTACCTTTTTCTTTGTCTTGACCCTCAGGATCAGTAAGTTCAGGCGTCTCAAGATGTAGTCCAGTAGCTCCACTCCGGTGATAACACTGGCCCCAAGAAACAGTCCAAGTTGACCGCCAAGATCTCCCAGTAGGGCCGTGAACGGCATAGCCTGTACTTGCTCGTACGTAATGGTGCTGAGCTCGCTGTAGTACACATCCAAGTACACAAAATTCTCCTTCACGTATCCGTCGCTGATATCTGCATCGCCTTGAAAAGCGCGATCAATCTCAGTGGAGACACTTTGGCTAGGATATTTGGCCGTGGATAGAGTGGTTTCGTAGGTCACGTAATCGCAGGCAATCGGGCACGTGCATTCGGACAGGGACACTAAGGAACGGTGGACCTCAAGAGCTTTCATCACGCAGTTGAACTGTTCGATGTCACACAGCGGTACCAGACTGGAGTCCGATTTGACTGCTCTTTCATACCCGAGAGGCTGACAGCTACACCGTTTAATGATGGCATCACGTCGGCAGTTTCTCAGACAAGTGTTACGACTGTATTTTCTAGACTCCTCTGTCGCCTCCGTGCCGCAGACACCCCATGGTTTGGGCAGATTTATGTGGCGAACCAGACGCATCGACGCATAGGTGTGGAAACCAGGGGATGCCGATAAACCCATTGTATCAATGAGGGGCAACTCGTCCGGCGGATGGATGGCGAATCTTAGTCCCGCTTCCACGTGTCCACTGCTTACGGTCTCTGTGTACTCATTCTGTTGGATGTTGACGATCAACTGGAGACCGTTGCCAGTACCTTGCTGGCTTTGTGCAAGTTTCTGGTGTGTACTGTGGGTGGTGAATGTGTAGCATTGTCCATGAGATGGAGAGTAGAAAGATGAGAAATTGCCTACTTTGCAACTGTATGGAACTCCCTTCCAGTCACACTGAATCAAAGAATCATCCAATGCGAATCCAGTCGCAAGAGCGAAGTGCGTGTAGTTGAATTCGTCGTCGAACAATATATCGTACGCCGTGGCATTGAAATCGTCGTCTTCGCCGTAAAGGTCTTCGTTCAGCTCCAGGAGATGACTGACGTATTTCTTTTCGTCTTCGGAGATCTTGGAGTTCATGAAGCGGTTGTAGTTGCAGATCGTCACGGCCGGAAACTCGAGGGTCTTGTGGAATTCGACGATGACATTGGTGTTGGCTTCGAATTTGAGGTACGCCTGGGTACGATCGATCGTGACGAACGCGCAGAAGCCGCCGGCTATCAGCAGCGCGAGGACCCATGGTATCTTGGCTCGAGCCCCGCTGCTGTCTGCCACCCGTCCGATACCGTGGAGGGTTGTAGTAGTTGCGAATTGGTACTCCAAACTCGGTTCCTCCCCAACGCTACCAGTCTTGTGCGATGGATCGTCTGCCATGCTAGTGTATAGTGCAAGATGTTTTCAATCCTATTATAGCACCTGCACACGGCACGATATAGGTGGTACTTGTACTAGCAAATACCAAGAGTAGGCTATTTACTTACTGCGGGTCTCGTTCCTATCTAACAGCCGGACTGCATGGAACTGAAATGTCCAGCAAATTTTCCGTCACTTTTATACCAACTTGAGGATGGATCTATACTAGCCTGTCTTTAAGCGATGCTGATGAAATTGTCAAAAGTGCATGTTAATGGCATCATCGTCAACGAACCAAGACTCCAGTTACAGTCGGTATGGCTTGTCTTTGTATTGTTCCTTCATCAATTACATTACGCTCCTCAGTTAATTACTCAATTTCCATCCCCAAATGAGGCACTCTTCAGTACAAAACTTGGTATAAGCCACATTTCCTGACAACTGAAGCGTGGAACAATAATTACTTAGGCTGGCTTAGGCCTATGCCATTTTGTTTTTTGCATTTACGATATCGAGAAGCACTTACGATCATTACAGACCTTGTACGTATATTGAGATGGAATATTGGCCTGTGCCCTTCACCTATTCGTACTGTAACCCGTGACAGGTTTTGTCAATACTCTGAAATAAACCACTGTGTGATATTAAATTGCCGGCATTTAACTCACTGTTGCCTGTATTTGCTGTCACGTCCCAATATATCACGTCACAATTTACCATAAAAATACCTTGTTACAGCATAGGGTATGGTATGCATTACGTTTCTTGCCGTTAGGTAATGTGTGGAGTTATGTGGTATAGCATTGTGATACACCGTGAGTGTCGAGTAAAACGAATGTGATGTAATGTTAAACAAGACATGTAAGGCCTGAAAACAAAGTGTACCTTTCGGACTAAACAATTTAGCCACAAAAACATGAACAGCCTTCAAAAATTGAACGGCGCTTGTATTTTCGCCGTCTATACGTTCTGAGATGTTATCTGAGAATTCCCGTTGTGGAACCCACCTTAAGCCATCGCTAACTATAACAGGAACAGTATAAGTTACTGGTTCGGGTGTGCATGACAGTAAACAATAGGGCACGGCATTGTTATATTGTCTCGTTACTAATTGCACGTCAATACGAAAGTTACCAAGCAACTGCAGACACCACGCTTAACGAAACTCGTCATTTCGTGACGGCGCCGCAAAAAAAATAATTTCAGGACATAAAGAGAGCGATTTGCAGTCGTTGTACACTCTGTAACCATATCTTATGGCATTATATGACTTTCTATAATGAGGCATTACAATACGGGATGGACGTCATAAGTACCACAAAATAGTCGGCACAGTTATAACGATGCGTGTACACCGAAGTCAAATTATTACTGCTAGTAATATAACTGAAAATATACCATTGGGGAGATAATCCCTGCAGTTTTTGAGCAATATTATCGGCAATCGCCGTACGCATTCATGACTTTCTAGCTTAAGGGGAATATACATCATTTGCTTTTGCTGTAATTTTCAGAAATGGATGGAATTGGGGGGTTGGAAATATATAGCAAATATAGTTACACTGACTTTTTTGAGGTTTTGGGTTCGAAAATGCTATAAACACCAAGAAAAACAATCATTTTCCTGTAGTCTGGTTCCCTGACTCCATATAAGAAGAAACAGAGCAGTTTACATACATTGGGGAATTGTAAGGTCAGGGAACCAGTCTAGCTGGCTTGTACCCGTTCATAGGTGTGTAATCGATTGCAACAAGTGCGATGGTCAATTGGGGCCAGTATTTGGAAAAAAAGCCAGTTTTTTCCAACGCTGGTCGGCCGACCAGCGTTGGAAATTGATACAAAAATACCACTTTTCTTGAAAATGACAGTATACCAGGTGCCATGATTTTACAGGATGCTTTACACTGTCATTCACTAACAGTCCAGCAAGGTATTTCAAAATGATTTGGTAGTTTTATTTTTTGAAGTTTGCAAATGTTGTATTTTCCCTTTAAGGTCTGGCGCACGTTTTGATACCAAATTTGTGAAAATTGACCTTAGGGTCACCGCACCGCACAGTACAGTGCTAGTGAGCCATTGTTTGAGGCGTTGCACACCATAGAAATCGCATTTCATCATAAACAAGACATGGGAAGTACAGCTCGCTGTGGTAACAGTGCTCTAACTTGCAAATTCAATAACTAATTTAAACATGCAATCAAATACTGTGTTCAGATTAAATTACTATTCTGCATGTGTACCACATGTCATTCCGTTTCGTCACTCCGCGACCGAGTTTGGGGAGGTGGGCGGATCCACCCCTCCCTTCACAGCTGTGAGATGGTGGTTTCCCCCCCCCCCCCCCCCACCCGGCCCTCAGTTTAAGGCTAAGGGCATTGCGCTGAGACGGTTCCAGCGGCAGTGGAACCAGTAGAGTACGAATGCATCTCGTGGGCGGTAGTCTCCTGTCCAGCGTCTTGGGTGAGGCCCAACATGCTCCTGACGCCACGCCTGAACTGCTGGTACTTGAGGGCATAGATGAACGGATTAGCGCACGAGTTGATGGCTACCATCGATGTACTGATGATGTACAGGGCGCCTCTGAAATCAAGGGGCCAGCCGAAGTTGTACATGAAGAAGATGACGCTGCTTGGGGTCCAGCACACGACGTAGACGGCGAAAACGAGCACCAGGGTTTTGATGGTGTTCCGACGGGCGCGAAGCATCGCGTCGCCCGCTCCCTCCCCCGCTGGCTGGCCGCTGACGGACCCACCAGCCCTGTCCTGGCGACGCGCCTGCATAGGGCCCACACGGGTCGCGTTACGCTTCAGAACAATGGCAATATGCGAGTAGGCAAAGAACATAACCGAAGCCGGTAGGAAGTATTGCATGCAGAGGTAGAGTACACCAATGGCGTGAGCCCCTGGCACCGCGATCTGCACACATCGCCCGCCTTCGTTAATGACGTGAATCACAATGCCGTACGCGCAGGTAGCCATACCAAAGACCCACACGCAGGCTATCACCACTGTGGCTTTGCAGGATTGAAAGTTCCTTTGGTAGCGGAACGGGAACACGATGGCGTAATAGCGCTCGAGGGTCAGCGCCACCAGGTTGAACGTGGAGGCGGTGAAGAAAGCCCAGACGAGGATGTCGGAGACCCAGAGGCGACACAGCAGCCAACTGGCAAGATCTTGGTCCAAGGGGTACGGGGTGGGGACGTTACTGCTTAACAGAAGCATCAAGGAGCCCAGGAAATCAACCACAGCCTGGTTGGCGATGAAGGCATTGGTCAGGGTGTGCATGGAGCGGACACGATAGATGACAACACACACCAACCAGTTACCAATGATGCCTAGGAGACCCACTATGGTCTTGACGACTCGTAGAGATACCAACGCCTCAGCCATTATCCCGATGGTACCTCCAAACTCCGTCTGAGAAACACGTTTGGCATTGCTCTGTCGGCAGGAAACCGTATAGCTTACGTGATTCTTTTACGGCTTACAGAACTTGAAGTCCTGCTCTCGAGTTTACTTTGTGCTTCAGTAGGGCTATTAGTTTTACATTGCAAATTGGAGCAGTCGTTATACAGTTACTATACCTACGGCTATCAAGTCTACTGTTGACTTTTACCCAAGTCGTGTATCATCTCGTGTGCGAGTTTTTGTAGAGGTCTGAAAGAATAAGACGGATCACAGCTTACTCTTCGACTCTGAAGATCGATGATCATCAATCATCTCGAACGTTCGTAAAACAAACCAATCGGATTTTTGTGATTTCACCGCACGCACAGTGCGAACAAAGTGAGGACGATAAAGATCCCATAAAAGGCAGCCGAACTCGTCGTCTGATGTCTTACGCTGGGGTGTCTTTATGGTGCCTTAGGCCTGCAGGTGTTAAACAATGAGCGAGGGCTGATGATGGGATGATTGGAAATCCTTTCAGTGTCCAAGCAAGCGAAAAACCCTCGTACATGGGCCGCCTGCACAGATATCCTTCCAACTGAGATGTCCGTGGCGATTACCCGAAGTAAACTGATATTCATCTGTTGTGAAGTCAAAACGCAAAGGTTGTGCCTTGGAAAGAGAAGTATTTCTCCTTCATAGCGACAGTGGAGAGAGGGAAAGAGTGACGATGGTTATCGAGATGGTATCGCCCCTCAGTGCAATGTTCCTCACTCTTCGCTCAATCTTGTGTACCGCATGACGTAGTGATTGGGGAGCGATGCATATGCAACTCGATTTTATTTTGTTGCAAGCAGTCACTCAACATTCTAGTACGCATGCGTAAAAAAATATCACGTGAATATGTTGTTGAATATTCTCGCGATCATTGAGCAATAACGATGGGTCAGAGCATTTGTGAGCACAATAACACACAGGCATCTTTATCATTCGTGATAAGTAACAAAAGTGACATAATTACATGTTTGAAACAGGGAAATGCAGCGAGCATGCATTTGCGAGTTGTAAACATCTTAGAATATACCGTCTGGACTGGTTGTAACTCGTGTTTTTTCTCTGTTCTTAAGAATGAAATTGAAAGTGGCCTGACACTCCTGGGTATGCGTCAAGAACTGTTTGGAACAATCCATCATTTCTGATCATCCTGCAAGATCGGGGACCATGTATTTACGGTTGCTTTTGATACATGACCCAAAGCAAACACAAAACGCGACCAATCTGCTCCTCAATTGTACCATTATGACGAACGACGAATTAATTGGATGAAATTACATCTCCTTCTCTCTCTCCGCCGTGTTTTTGTTTCGATGCTACTGCTCTTTGATTTATCAAATTGGACTTTTTAAATGCATCATTCCATTTCCTGCATGGCTCGCTTTTGCCGCATCGAAATGAATTGTATTGGACACGGAAGTGCCTATGACAACGGTACCAATCAAGACAAGTGCTTCGGCATTTCGCATAGAAAAAGCCTGTAGGACTGGCCAGTCACACAAGGGCGCCAGCGACACTGCATGTTCGGCGGATCATTGGCGCTCCAACCCCACTCCTGCCTCCATGCTTTACCGAACTGTCACTGCTTGGTTGGTTTTTTTTGGCATTTCTTTCCTTTTATCTCTCGCAGCTCTCACGAAGTGTCTTTGTTTTTCATGTCGTACGTCTTTTTTTGCTGATTAGCCTACTGTTCTGTAACGCAGAAGTATTGCTTATGGCACAAAGGGCACTAGTTTGCCGAACGCGCCATTACACCACATCAACAACAACAACAGTCACACAAGCAACGTTTTGCTCTAACCTTGCATATATACACTTTGTGGACCTGTGAACAAAAGAGATCCACATAGGTGCAGGAAGTTTGAACGTTTTGTGGACTTGCACACGTCCACACTAGGTCCCCCCCCCCCTCTGAAAAACAGGTTTAGAGACATTTTGGGTTAGGTTTATCCGTTGCAAAATGAAGAGAAACACTAAAGGAAATCATGATAAAGAAAAATGGGTCAACTTGAAAGAGTGTTCATGGTGCAAATTAAATATTTTTTTCTCCGGTTTTAGGATGCAGGAAGCGTGAATGCTTTGTGGACTTGCACACGTCCACACTATGTTTTCCCAGCGGGATAACAGGTTTAGAGAAATATTAGGTTAGGTTTATCCGTCTCAAAATGAAGAGGAACACTCAAGGAAATCACGATAAAAAAAATGGGTTGAAAGAGTGTTCACAGTGGGAGTGATCAGTGAGTGATTTTTTTTTTCTTCACGAAAACAAAGGAATGTCCACACTACGTATGTAACGTAAACCTGTGACCACAAATTCGTATCCTTGTGGAGACTCACACACAATAGGGAACAAAACATTGTAAAGGTCTCCACAGGGCAATTTCTATAGATGAATAGGTCTCCACAAGGTTTTCACGAAATAGATATATGGGTTTTACTCAAAAACTAGGAATTTCCAAGGTGGGTTGATCCGTCGCAAATGGAAGAGTTTTAGAAAAGGGATATTAATTCCAAATTTCAGCCAAGGAAAGATTCTGGTTAAAATAAGAGCATTTTGAAAATTCACTTTCAAAATTGAACACTTTACTACACGGGAACAAAGAAATGTCTCCACAAGGATACACATTTTGGAATGGGTGTGTGTGAAGGGGGTAGAGTCTGCTGCCATCTTGCGGGTGTGTGCTTTTTGTCCTCTTGTGCATTATTGTTAATAAATAATTTACAAAACAAAAACACTCCAACTATCTACATGTATAGTGTTTCCTGTGCATGGCAATTTTGTGTGATAGCAGTTGAACTTGAGTCACATAATACTATTGATTCGCGTGTGTTACCGCTGGGCCACAATAATAAATCGTGTGTGCGTTTTGATTGAACGAGAACTACCCCCCTCCTTCCTGTCCAAAAAATAAAAATAAAATACATCGTGACGTTCAAGAAAACTACATTTATTTTCATCAAATATTTATTCCTGAGGCGTGACTGTGTCGCCGGCATGTCTCGAGATGGCACCACATAGGCTTAATATCAATCAATAATGATATAGCACTGAGAATCGACTAAACTATCGCCGGTAATTCCATAAGTAAAGGCATCATTGTGTTAACTGAACATGACAGAATACAACTACCCGTATATTTTAATGGCGCTTTTCAGGCATTAGAGCGCACCACAAATGGATTTTTTGTTTCCATTAAACTTTGACATTATATTTTAGTTATTCAAATATTGCCTTACGTTTTGTGAGCTTTTAATAAAAGGTTGTAATATGGATGAAAATGGGTATCAAAAATTACACGCCAGTTTTTAACGATTTGAGCAGAGAACTGCATTTTTGGTGAGGCAAATATCCATCTTTGGTACGACGCAATCATCAGGGACGAATATAATGATGTGCGTATTGGATACGTATGTCCGCTCTGGAAAACACTTGCTGATAGTGTCTCATTGTGTTCGATTATTTCACTAAGTAATTCATACTTTCAATATTTTAATGCGTGAGATGCAAATTGCCAAATAGCGTGCCAGCCATGCCCGATGAATTAACCACGCATTGAACGGTAATTTACTTTTTTTCCTGAACGGCATTATGTACGTCTCCTGTACTCGCAATATTAGACCTCTAATTAAGTATAGGATTATTAGAAAATGGTTCGCGTGCGGGCTCGAAAAAAATAGTTGCTTGGATATTTCACTAAACCCACATACATGTAAATACATAGGCCTCAGAATCTCAGAATCTCAGAAAGTTGACTGGATATTGCCGCTAGGCATCATCATCCAGTTTGACTTCATGCCGGTGCCGTGCAAGCGTGAAAAAAAAAGTAAATTACATCTTATATAACCTTTTGATGTAAAATGCACATTGCCCATGGTGTGCCAGATGAAATAGGCATGCAAAATGGTGTTTTAGAAACCAGCAACTTTTCTTCCCGAGCCGCACACGTCTCCCTAAATGTCCCGTCCCTAATGAGTAATGTTGACGCGCGCGTAATCTATGGAGATTCTGCACGCGCGCGCATAGAATCTCATCACGAAGATGAAATACATTCGTCCTTCATCATTAGGAACACTCGAGTCCGTTTCTTTTTTGCTAAATTTCTTAAAATAACGACCAAATCAATCTCAGCGCACTGTTGGGAGCAAGGTGTATGCCTTCGGAACGATGGCTGTACAAAGCAAGAAGCATTCGTCTCCAAACATAACCTAGAAATATCGTAAACCAAAAGTGTCCGACCCAACGCCAGCTCGGCTCCCGTTTGGCGGGAATGGGCGGTTTTCCCACGCGGATTCGTCGGCCTGTCCCCACCGCCGTTAGCCCCATCACGGACCCGATCGGCTACATCTGCTCCTGTATCCTCAAACGGGATTATAGACGGTGTAAGAGGTTTCTCAAGAAAGGCACTTGGATGAAGGTACTCTGTGATTCTTATTCTCTATAACGTTAATCCGTCCTCTGCTCAGAGAACTAGGCCTAAAATATATTTTCCCGAAACACAGGCCTACAAAATCTACTTTGTTTCGTCCCGATTGTCTCTGCATCTTCAAAATCAAAGCCTACAGCCCATTCTTTCCTTGCCATTTTCTTCTTTTTCTTCCCTCCAGCCTTCTAACCTTGCCTGTCTGAGATTTCATATCTAGGCCCGAGTTTACAGCTGCCGAGCAGAAATGGCTCTCAGCAAATGAATGTGTTGGCAGTTTGGCAGGCCGGTCGGACCTGTTTCTGCCGTGCAAATAATATCTGTGCTCAGAAATGTTCTGATTGGTGAAGGCCTAGCTCTCTTGTCCCAAGCCGAGCCCTTCTCTTTCTCGACCACATTTCAATTGAAATGGTCTGTCTTTCAAGGTGCTACAGCAGCAAGTAGAGCGTGCCCGCAGCGGCGAGTCGACAGATCTTCGGATCATGGACCTCCCTTTGCACCTCATGTTCGCCGTCAGCCAGAATGGCTTGTATGATCGCACCTTCCTCAGGTAGGAAACATTTCTAGAACCTTGGCCCAAGAGAGATGCTAGCGCACATTTGTGCTTCAGGTGCAACAATCCGTTTTCAATGCGCTTCATTCAGAATTTCAAATTGAACAGAATATGTTTGATCTCAAATTGAGTTGAAAATTTTTAGAGAACTGCTTTTCTTGATCCCATTGAAGATTTCTGCGGCTCCTGCTTGATTATGGCTACGACCCTGATATCGCAGACGAGAAGGGCGTGGTTGCACTGCACACTGCCCTCATGAGGGTCAACTTCTTCAGTGCGCTGGCCTCGGTGCGACTGCTCAGAAGGAGGGAGGTGTACACAACAAAGTAATGGATCTTTCTGGATTTGGCCATTTTTAGCTACAGTCGCCTTTGGTTTGTGTGTGCATGTCTCAAAGTGCTTGTGACTGAGCTTCTGTGGTCACCTGACGTGACCAACAGGCCCGGATTATCCAATAGGCACAGTAGGCATTGTGCCTGGGGCCGACAAAAAATTCAGGGTCTTTTGAACAATTTGAGGCCTACGAAAATACTACAGTGTTGCCTGGCATGCATGCTTAGTACAGCTATTGCATCAACATGAAATTGGTGCTGATGCCTAGGGCGCAGTAGGGCCTATGAAACACTGATGCCTAGGGCCTACGGAACACTTAATCCAGCCCTGCTGACCAAAAGCTATGATCTGATTGGCCAATGCACCTTGTTTGATTGACATGCAGGAAGGGTCAGTTGGATGCCACAGCCGAGTTCTTTATTAGCATCCCAGCAATGACAGTTCCCAAGTCCAACATATAGTAGTGGAAGTAATGTAGTGTTGTAGCAGTTAGAAAACTTTAGAAGGTTTTTTTTCAGCCAAACTTTGTTCTTGGAACGCCAAACATAATAACATGCTGGTTCGATACGAAGTCAAGGGAACGTTACCCGTGACAACGTAAATTGTAATTTGAGAACCCACCCATATTTCAAGAGAGAATCATGTATTTTCTCTGGATAACGTCCATTTTTTGCATAATGCCCTGCTTCAGATTTGTGTTAGCGCTGTGCCAAGCTGGTGCCAATGTGAACGTCCACGAGGACCGAGCTGATAGGACCCCCCTTCACCTTGCAGCCAAGTGCAACCTAGCCCACTGTGTGGAGATTCTGCTTGACTTTGGTGCTCTGATTGAGGCACGGGACGCTGAGGGTAAGACAGCACTGTGTCTAGCAGCAGAATCTGCCGCTCTGGAGTCTGTTAGATGCTTGTTGGACAAGGGAGCTTGTGTGATCGTGCGCAGCCTCCGCGGGCAAACGCCTTTACATCGTGCCGTGGATGCCCTGCCGACTGCCAATGCGGAGAGGTGTGTCCAGATGCTTCTTGCTGAGGGGGCCGATCCAGATTCCCAAGACATCAACGGGAACACACCCTTGCATCTAGCTGCCCGCAGCCGAGCAGAAGGCTCCATCATACACCAGCTCCTCCTGTTTGAAGCCGATGCCTCCATCCTCAATGTTCTTCACCACTCCGCACTCTACGAGTACCTGATTGCTTACAGTTTGCCGGAGCCACACGAGCTGGCCTCCCAACTAACCCTTGAGCATCTGGGGACCTACCCCGGCTTCCTTGCCCTACTCGAGTGCACTCCAAGATCCCCACGGATGATCCGCAACAAGGAAGGCAGAATCCTACCCATGCTCACCGAGGCCCGCCTGAAACCCCTCTTGGAGCAGTTTGACGTCCCTGACGAACCTCAATCACTCCAGAATCTTTGCTGTTGGACCATCAGACAAGCAGTGGGTGTCGCCCCGCTGGTGTACTTTAAGGACATGGCCAAGTATCTCTGGCTTCCCAAACGTCTGGAGGAGTTTGTGATTAGTGAGAGGTACCGCCAGAACATGAAGGCTCCGGGATTAGTGTTACGGGTCAAAGTTATAACCTAGATCAATATTGAGATACCCCAAGATGATACAAATTATGCAAGTGTTATGCAAGTACAACATGTAATTTCCAAATGAGATGAGGGATTTTGATGTTTGTATGCATACACATGTATTTTAATGAAATAAGGATATACTTAGACATCGTAAATAATGTAAGCAATAATAAAATTTAAAAGATGCAAAATCATAAGAAATCTATCAAAATAAAAAGTCTAGCAAAAATTCGAACCAGAAATTCGTGACCAATGTAAATTTCCAGATCAAGTGTAAAATCAGAACCTGTATTTTCCAGGGTATTTTTACAGCGACAATTTTAATTCTAAAGTTCTACTGTCGGTTGAATACATTTCTTGGTCATGATATGTTAACCAAGGCCTTTTTGGAAAGCAGCAGAGGCGATGAGCATTCATTTAAGGTACAAAGTTTGTACCTACTAATATTACAATGTAATCAAGAATCATGACCTAACAATGAAACATTTCTCATTTAACGAATACACTGCTTTACAAGACGCTTTTAATAAAGCCCCAATTCCCACAACATCCATTGTGATATTGCAGTATAGTATAAATGAAGTGTGCCAGGTTAACCTATTTTATGCCAGGGCAAAATAAAAAATAGTTTTAATCGAGTTACGTCCATCTGTTTCCTCCACGGTTCACCTGTCTTTCAGCAGTTCTCGAAGAGGAACATTAGACTCCGGGACATAGTCCACAGGGCGTCGACCTCTGTTGTCTTGTAGTGAGACTAACGAGCTATCTGCTGCCACTAATAGTTTACATATGTCCAGGTGTCCCCTCTCGGCTCCCTGGAAGAATTAAATGAATTTCAAATCCACTTCATTACAAAAGTAATTCCATGGAGGCCAAGTGTCTGAAAATCAGAGACTCCAAAATTAATTAATTTCTTTAGCCCATTAAAGTGATCGGTCTTGAGCAATGCCCGTCTTAACTCTAAAAAAAAAAGTAATGTTGTGTGACATCTTACAGCGGCAGCTGGGAGGATTTAGAATGCTAGCAAATACATTCAGTACAAAATGCAAGGTTCTTGGTTTGGATTATGCAAAAATTACATTCGATGAAGTTTCTCAGAAGCCAATCTTTCTGTCTTGCTTAAGAACATTTGCTTAAATTTCAAAGCACTCACTCTAGCATTGCAATCAACTGCATAATCCTAAAGTTTTCTTCAAGTTGACAATTATGGATGCTGTTAATTTGCAGCAAGTTTTACCTTAATATCTGATCATGTAGCAAGTTAAACTTCAAACACAATATCTGGAGTTTGTCATTGAGGAAGGAAATGAGCTGACAAAAACACCTGCACAGTTCTATTACACGATCAATTCCAAGTTACTCATTAATAACAGTTATAACGTGCGTCATAAATCTAACCATGTCTGCGTTTCTTATGAAAGCACTCAATGACCTCAATCACACCTGCATATTCACCTGCCAGAGTTTATGCAAAGCCTCAAAGCTCAGACTCTAGACAAGTTGATGTAAGCCCAGAATTTGTATTGTTACGTCAGTACTGACGTTAATTACGCTTATTTATTGAAGTGCATTAAGCGTAAGGAGTTCAAATGAAATGATGGCGCCATGATATGGTCGCAAACTACTTCCCTGGATTGTTGAAAAGAATCATACACCAAGGTACATCCTGCACCCGTCAATACTGTACATGTACATCCAATCAATTATACTACCCTGCAAGTCACATTCCATGGTGCATAGAGACACAAGTACAGTGTCTAACAAAATCAGTCTCCTTAATTTCTAGGCTAAAGCAAACCTCTTCAAGATTGTCACGGTCCTGAGTTACATATAAACAGAAACTGGGACGTAAGTTGGGCCAAGTAAAAAGGAAAAAAAATAGTTTCTTGTCTGAGCTGTTATAAAGTAGGAAGAAGGTAGCCCTTTGTTTCCCCCAAGATGGTGAATTTTCCAATATGGCGGGTGGATTCTTCCATTTTGTTGACTGTTTTGCCAATCCTTTTGTGTCCAAAGCAGCCATCACCCTTTGTACCAGATTTTGAACTTGCATACACAGATAATGATTTGCTGGAAAAGACAAGATATATTGCAAATGTATAATTAAAAATAAATTGGTTGGCCAGAGAAAGGAAGAGAACTGGTTTATTTTTTTACTTGGCCGTATACATGTGAATTTTATTGGGGACAAAGTTCAGCTTCTGCACCTTGTGGAGTGAGCATTTGCCGTCCTGATCACGCAATGAGGGCGATGCCTTCCTGTCGAGAAGTAATTTAACAACGTCCAAGTGGCCGCTGTAGGCTGCTCTATGAAGTGGCGTCACACCCCCTGATCGCGTTGCACAATTTGGATTAGCTCGGTGCTGGAGTAGAATGCGGACTATTTCCAGCTGTCCATTTCTACTTGCATAGTGCTACTCACACACACACAAAAACAAACATAAAAAAGAAAGTAATCAAAATCAAATGTGAAAATAAAATTATAGAAAAGTATAGCATGTTGCTTTACAGTTTTAATATCATTAATGCTGTTTAAGAATTAATGCTGCTAAAACAATGAAATCATTAATGAATTGGAACAAAAAAATATGATTTAGGAATATCCTGTTCAGAAATCGAATCTTGAAGAATTGAATTTTGTTTTAAAAAAATGAAAAGCGCCCGCATCCTTCATTTTTTTCTCAAAAAGCGTGGATGCAAAACTATTATTTTATTGTTAACTCGGCCTGATAAAATATCCTTTTGGTCAAAAAATTTATGCATTGAAACTGCTCAGCATAAATTATCTGGAAATCACACACACCAAAGCAGTGTAGCCTGAACTGTCTGTGGCGTTTGGATCCCCTCCGTTATCCAAAAACTTTCTGACTTTCTGGGTCTCTCCATTCAAAGCTGCCGACCACACACCGCGCTCAAAGTCCAGTTCATCAAGTGTCTGTGTTGCCGGAGATTGGTGAGTGTGGTTACAACATTGATGATCATCTCTGTGCGTGGCCATTGCAAGAATGTTCTTATATGGACATACTGGGTTTAGAATCAATCGTTGCACTTTAATCAGAATTTAAGCAATGTCGAACTTTAACATGTTTAAAGTGCATTACCGGATTACTGCATTCAAACATTCAAATTAGGCTACTTTAATTATGCAAAAAAAAGAGGACTTCAACTTTAGTAACACTGAATTTGATTCGTGATACGCACTACACATGGACACATTGATTCAAAGGAAATATTGGGCGAACATGGAGAATGAACATGATGAAAAGGCTCAATGTACATTTTTCACGAAATGAGTGCAGCGAACACCAACCACTACGCGCGCACCACTGCCCAATCTCGGTTAGCTGACAGTTTAACGACAAAGCGAAATCAATAAAAACGTCCACGCACACATCCAAGCGAATATCCTTAGTTTATTTTAGCGACCACTTCATCCGAATATTTTAAGATTCGGCAAAGTACACTCGTGACTTCACTGCTGTGTTTTCACATGGGCGCCGCCATCTTTGTAATGAATATGCATAAGGTACAAAATTGAGTACCAATGAAATGTTGAGAAAGTTTTGATGTTTCCACGTCTACGTCTGCTGCGCTGCCGGCCATGCGCCACCTCCTGCAAAACACGCGGGAAAAATCTGCTGCCGACTTTAAAAATTAAGAATCAGTCATAGGCCTTATCGTTTCTCTGGAACATTGCAGACAAAGTGCTATTAATTCCGGTGAGTGCAACCTTTCAATTTAATTACATGGTGTGGTAAAAGCTTTCTTCCAGAATTTCTTTTTCCTTTTACAGGGAGGGCAACGTTTTCTCATTGTTCAAAAAATGCGTTCTATCCTCGCGGCAATGACTTGCGTCCTCCTTGCTAAGTTTTATGCTTTTTAACGTCCTTACTTCGAACTATTGCTTTAAATTAATAATGTATGTGTGCTAACTAAACTCTGGAAATTTTTAGGTAAAAAATAAGGTTTTTAAAAAAGCTTCGTTTCACCGACTTTGGGAACTGACAATTCTCCAACTAAGGTGTTCACCTGGAAATTAAAGCTGAATTGATCTCTTTTTCTGTTGTTAACAAACGACCTTTTGGGCGATTTTCTCCTAAAGATGCATGCTCGCCTTAATACTAAGCGCAGCTGCTGAAGCCTCTCGCAATTTTGGAGACTACTTCCTCCACTCCATTTCAAGAATCTTTTCAATTCCAACGGAATTTACCAGAAATACAAGCTCATAGACTGGGTCAAGGCTGGGACCTTTCATTGTTGCTGATAGTAATCCTCAAGAGCAAGGGATAAAAAACTCTCGACGTAATACGCAAAGTGCCTATTGTGCCCACTGCAATGGATAATCCGCCCCTGTACATGCTGTACGTTTCCTTATTAGAGTGCTCAGAATTTAATTCCTTTTCTTCCTTTTTACCAATTGACCCTAACTCCCGCTTTTAATGTAAAGACTATCCCTGTGCCTACAACAAAGAGATTGACTGTATCCGGCAAGGGAAAATCTAAAGACGTATCGTAGAACAAGAAGGCACAACGCAATTGAATTATCCCCAAAAGGATATGGGTAGGGGTATGTAGTGTTAGTTGGGGGTTGCTGGATGGGGGATGTGAACAGTCCCCCCCCCCCCCCCCCCAAAAAAAAAAAAAACCCACACACCTGGGTGTTCTACTTTTACTGATATATCTCTGGAGTAGATTATACCTGGTAGGCCTACACAATGTAATACAAAAAAAATTCCTTGATTATTTTTCCCCTGGATAATTTTTTTACAAAGTAGGCCTATCCCAATTCTGCCAAAACCCACAGTGGAGGGAACAATACTTTGAATGAAGAATATTTAGAAAAAAAATTAAGAAAATAAGGGGGATTGCTGTGCAGTCATGAATTCCCCCAAAATACCGAAAAACCTTGATGGATTTGGGTAAATTTAAGAGCAATTACACAAACACTTAAAGAAAAAAAATACAGTGATGCATGAGACTCCAAAACTGAAGTTATTTCTCACAAAATATATTTCATTAAACTATCACATTTTCAGAGAGTGCAAAATTTACAAAAAGTACTACTAACTGATATGTGGAATCAAACTTATTTGTATCAGAAAAAAAGAAAAAAAAAATCCAAAAAGATTTCTCAGTAATCATAGAGGCCACTCTTTGTTTGCCATAAATACATGTAAATTAACGTATCAAAAGGAAATTGCCATTTTAAAATCACAATTCTGGTATATATGGTTTTACTTCACCAACACTGACTTTAAAAAAGGAACAGGACTCTCTGCAAATGTTTCAAGCCAACTGCGACCTACATAAAATCATTAAATTGTAAAATCTCATTCATCCTAATTTTTGCATCGTTTTTGCAAATGGATGCCCCACATGTTGGAAAATTCAGGGTAGTCAGTGTAAAGAAACGACACGGTGAACAAAAAAGTTGACATATAAAATTTAAGTACTGTAGCTACAAAACTTCATTAAAATTGTCATTTTAACAGTGCAAATTTACAGACAGTACTGCTTATCAAACCTATATTTTAACGAAATCAAATTAGTTTTAATACTTGTTCAGTGCTTACGTTCTTTGTGGCAAAGACTAAAGGGAAGGACAACATAACATATGCTGCAAAAAAATAATAAATCAACTTTCCAAATAGTACTCATGGACGTAAGACTGGACGTTCAATTATTTCCAGGGAAACTTGAAAGATGCGTTCCCTGTCTTCTTAAAATTTGCATCTTTAAAAACAGTGGGCGTAATAAACTAAATTGCAATTACTGTTTTGCAGTCTTTCTTCATGTCTACATTTCCTTATCTATGTTTCCAGCTCATGAATTTAAAAAAAAAATTAAAATCCATTGAAATAAAAACTCATTAAACATTTCTTTCACGCAGTAAAAATAATGTTGAATTTTGTGATCTATTTTGGATTACAAAAAAATTTCAGTGCTAGGTGTTTGTTTTAGAGTGTGAGTTAAAATGAACTATAAATAGGTATTGACTGGACTAAAATCGTATCTTCATTGAAAGACATTACAAATACAACTCTATAAAATCACAACTGTCTTATACTTATCAAGATTCAAAATTTTCTCAAAATTGTAATATAAAAATATATCTGCTTTCTTATTTTTCCAGCTGATTTAGACATCAGATATGAATTAACAATTTCACACACCTTTATCATGATGGCGACAACAATATCTTGAGTAACATATTTTCATTTTTCCAAATAGTCCTAGGCAGTTGCATAGATTCACCCATCAATAACTTCTCTGCTCCAAATTAAAATGCTAGATACCACAACTTCAACAGAACTGAGACATAATGATGTCACACTTTGTTTGCATTATGTGCCATTTCTTATGAGAGCTACGTTGCTCTCATCCTAACCTGGTTCCCAAACAAAAGTGCACATGTAAACAAAGCGTGGCATCATTTACATCTCAGAGCTCATTGCAAGAACAACAGTGAAAGTTATATTCTAATAACATTAAAATTTAAATTCAAAGTATCATACATTAAACATATTGCTTCCATAAAAAAAACAAAAAACGTGGAATTCAAACTGCAAGGCACAGCAGAATTGAAAGAAACAAACATTATTAACAGCATACCGAGACATAATGGTAAATTTTAAATTGTAAGTAAATTTGATTTGTAAGGCCTCATGTATTTGTTCTTGTAAGTAAAAGACCTGGTTGGGATAGAAGTACTGTTGCAACAGAAAACAACATTAAACAAGCAAATGGTGAAATATCTAGCCATTTTTCCCATCTTGGTGAGAAGTTATGCTTTTAAACATAATGGGGTCTCTGCACTGGATTTAGATACCCGTGAAAAATGTGAAACATAAAGTCAATGGCCGGCCCTTCACTTGCCTTAATTCTTTTTGCTCATATTTTAACCTTTCTGCCTTAAGTTTGCACATGGAGCCGCCATAGATGTGATCAAGTCAATCACGAGTCAATCACATGTCAATCACATGTCAATCACATGTCAATCACATGTCAATCACATGTCAATCACATGTCAATCACATGTCAATCACATGTCAATCACATGTCAATCACATGTCAGTCACATACATCAATCACATGTCAATCACATGTCAATTACATGTCAATCACATATCAGTCACATGTCATCCAGTCCCAAGTCAAGCGGCAAGCTTGAAGAGAAACAATGGCGTTTTCTTGTTGCTTTTTTATTCCGTTGTTTGTGACCTGACTTGTAAGTTAACTTGCAGTTGACTTGATCACATCTCTAGATTTCTATTTGGTCCCTTTGTGTTTGCAATGACTCTTGAGTGTGTAAGGAGTCAACAGAATCTAAATTCTAAATAGTGAAGTTACATGTTTCAATGCACATGTATTGTACATAAACATGTGCATGCATGCAAAGTGAGAGAGTACTATCTACAGTGCAGCAAGATGCATTCATCCCAATTCCTGTCCACTACTAGTCTATGGAAAATCCCCTTGCACAGCAATGGTCTATGATATACGAGCAGATCTGGCGATTAATTTTGCAAAACAAGACAAAACAATCAATAAGATATTTTTTTGCAAGTTTTGGATCAATTTTTAATAATTTCTGTATTTTAAGCTGACACGCATCAAACTTTTTGGATCTGTTAACGTTCAGACATCTGATCAGTATGAAAGTACGCAGCTGCATTTTTTCAGCTGAAGTATTTCATAATGCTGTTAATATACAAATAGACACCCTCAATTCACCATTATTTTCCACTAAAGACCCGAAAGCTATGAGCTACAGTGCACCAAAATACCGAATATCACGAGTGCCAAATTTATATACTCAGCCAATAGTTTCAAGTTGTTGATTGATTTATCACCCCACAATATGAGACAGGTCAGGCTGTATGGATAGAAATGGAACAATTGTAAAATGACGATTAGGAAAATGAAGAAAGAAAATTATCATCCAAGAAATTTCGGTTTCTCTTCAAAATTTCATGATGAAATTATAATAATTAGGAAAGTGATGATGAGATGACAGATGTGCACCACTGCGACCAAAACCTGAACCTTTTGGAAAATTTTACGAAATAAATTGAACAGTTGACAGAGTCTTTTATTCTCTGCCAGCAAAAGTTAGTACAACTGTCACTTACTTTTACAGATAGATAGTCAATAGGTACAGAAATACAAATACGCATTAAACTATGTACACTTCAAGAAATCAATAGTACTGGTTAATTGATTTAAATCAATTGATTTAAATCGTGATTTAAATTAGTGATTTAAATCAACGTGATATACATCAGCCAACCCTGACAGTGCATGTACACACTCTTCAAAAAAAGTTAGATCAATGGGAGACTTTTGAGCTGTTTGGTGGCAGCAAACACACCGGTCCAGTTTGTGTTGTTTGCGTCGTTCTGAATGTGCACGTTAGCTTATTACTTGTATTTTCTGTTGTACACTACACTGTAAGACATAAACTGTGTAATGTTACAATTTGGAAAAAAGAAAACCTTTCCAGTAGAATGAAATATCCTGGAACAATTGTGTAGCTCCAACTATATTAAAAAATATTATATTAATAAGATTTAAAAAGGGAGCAAATCTTGCAATATCAACAAATTGCCCTTAGTTTTTTGTTTTTTGCCTGTACAATGCCCTGGAGAAAAATTAGATTCTGCTAAGTATTTAGCCACGTCATTTGACTCCCCCTTGTACTGGATGCAACGTCTTGCGAGGTAGTACTGCTGGCTTTTTGGCAACGGGTGGAGTGGGTTTACTGTTCGATGTTGGCGCAGTTTGGTCTGGTACAGGCGGCACATTACCATACAGAGTTGGATCGCTACCATTCATTTCTTTATCGCCTATACGAACATTGAAGTATGTATGCGATACGTCGGTATTGTCTGATTCACCGGCCGAGTCAAAGCTGTCTTGATGTGACAGCTCGGCGTTAAAGTAAGTGTGTCTGGTTTGTCTGTCGTGGCCAGGTTGATCTGAATCCAAGAACACGTGGCGCTGTGAGGGAGTACGAGGGGACACACCTGTCTTATTGGGGGCATTTTCCTCTTCGCAGACCATGGAGTAAATGTCGTCGTCTTCAGCAGCACATTCCTCATCCTTGCTGGCTGAATCTGTCGGGAGAAGTCATTAAAACGAACAGTCACGTGGAGATGGAGTTCAGCTTGGGCTTAATTTCCAAAAATGTGTCACTTGACGCATCTTTGGAAATCACCTTCTTTCTTTGTTTTCTTTAAAATGACAGCATGCCAGAAAGAATACTTTCACAGGGAGTTTATGCCATCTTCATCTTTAAACTAACAAGGCTTTACAACAATAATTTTGTCAATTACTTTTTGGACAGCTGCAAATGATCTACTCTACCTTTTAAAGACATCAGGACTAAAATCAACCATAGCTGATCTTGGAATTTTCCTAAAGTTCTGCTATGAATATCCAAAGCCTTACCTTGTCTACGCCGAGAGGGTGCCTCTTTAGTTGGTTTCAGGGCAGGTTTTGGGTAGACGGCTGGCTTCTTCGGCTTCCCATATGGGGTAGGTTTCACAGGAATACAGACCGATGTTCTGTTATGTTCTTCGAGCTCCTCGTTGGACATGTTGCCATAGAGCTGGCCGGAGTCCGTGTTGTCTTCGTTCTCGTCTGGAGGGACGGTGTACACCGGTTCACTGACTGGTTCTGGGGCGTTCCTGTCATCTTGACGCCGCCTGGGATTGGAAGGCTTTCGGGGTGTGCTTCAATGAAAAAATAAAATTGTAGTTGAGACGGCTGAGTTTGAATCAACTTGTTAGCTGAGTTCACTTCAGATCACTAATCCTGTGATTTTTCGGTCCACTTCTTGTCTGGTGGTTTTCATTCTATTTAAAATGAAGTCTGCACTGTCAGGTGAGAAAACAGAAGAGCTTACAGTCCTCCCTAAGTTAAATAGAACATCTGGTTTTGCCAACATTGGTAATATTTAACATGTGGAGAAAGTTCTAAACAAGGAGCTTCAAAGACTATGTGCTAATTGAACATGTACAGCTCTACTTCATTAATTTCATTAAACAACATTGAATTATTTCATACCCCAAATGGAAATAGCAATCAGCCATACACTTTTTTTTAGTTATAAGGTCATATGGAACATCCTCCTCATTGTTTTTTTTCCTTTTACTGATTAAATCAACTGCACAGAAATAATTCAATACCTTGAAAAATTCCCATCCTTTTCATCATCTGAGATGACTTGGAAGTAGTCTGCCTCCATGTCCCCAGGGGAAGAAGGAGGCTGTACTTTGTTTCCCATTGGGGATTTTGGGCTCAAGGTTGGAACGACGTAATCTTCCTCTTCTGCAACTGTAACGACAGATTATATTTAAAATAAGCATGAAGCAATATTAACTACATGATGATATGAGGTTCAAACTTTCATTTTCCTGGTCAGTACAAATAGGGGCATGCATCAGAACCGGGTACCTGAATGCCGGACCGCTGATGTCAGGAACTGGTTCCAGATTAATGGATCGGTTAACCCTTTACAAATTGCTTAGTTTACCCAAATTTTCCAATAAGGACCTTTAAGAACTGAGACGCGGAACTGATCTTTTTTAAATACCCCATGTGTATCTCACTGCTTTCTATTTTAATTTCAAAAAGTCAAGCCAGTTGAACTTTGAAATATTCTTAAATTATTCACAGCGAAAAAGAAATAGAAGTAGCTCACATGGTGTGAAGGCCAAAAAATGCTTCTGATTACATGGCATTCCAAAATAGGGTAGGTAAGTAGGGAATTTTTAAATTTTTTTGGCCCCTTTTTTGTGTACGATCATATGGAGGCGTCTGCGTGTAGTCAAGGCTAAAAGGAAGAAAGTGATGGTTTTGGGTGTTTTTTCCTCTCATTTTTCTCATGAAAAACAATTAGGGTAGGGGCTGTCAGAATAGGGAAGGTAGGGAAACCGGAAGCAGAGGTATTTTTTTTGTTTTGCCTAAATATAAAGGAGATAAAATACGGCGAGCAGCAAATGATTTTGTTTTGCACAAATTGTGGGTGCCAGAGACCATTTCTGGGTGGTAGTTCTGGCGGTGTGGTTTTCACTGTCGGCCTTGATGTGATGTCCTCGCTTGGTACCATGTAGTCATCATCATCCTCCCCTTCCTCACTCTCAACATCTGAGGAACGATCAAAAGGTAAAGAAAAAACAATATAAACAAAGAATTAAAAACAAAGAATAAATGCAAAATGGCAAAGCTGAACAAAACAAGCTGCTGTTTTCTAATGGTTTCATTTTGAGAGAATTTTGAGAGAAAAACAAAAATTTAAGGGGAAAAAAGTGATAAAAGTGTAAGCATTTTTAAAAACTAATTTCCATCAGATTCTTGGGGCGGCACCTGCCATACACCCCTTTTCCAAAAAAGAAAATTCAAGTAAACTTATTTATATTTTTACCAAGTATATCTCCTAATGGCCTGGGGTATCTTGCAGGCGGTGTTTTCACAGGCAATGAGGTCTGCTTGGTGATCCTGGGGGATGTGGGAGGATAGGAACTTAAGGGAGGCGGTAACGTCTTGAATCGCTGAGCTGGGAGGTTGCGCTCCACGGTGGGATCCCTCTGTGGAAGCTGGAGGTGGTACTTGTTGAAGATGGCTTCTACCTTCCTGTTGTTGTCTGTAAATAGAGGGGGTAGGGGCAGGGGGTGGGGGAGAATTAAACGAGGCAGAGAGGGAGTTAGAGTCAGCATATTTTTAATTCAACAGGAATGAATAATAATTCAGAGTGAGTAATTAATTAATTAATTAACTCAAAGACTCCTTACTATTTCCAGCATCTGGTGTCATGGCTGGCTCATCAGGCATAGACTCGGCAATCTCCATCTTCACCTGGCACAGGGCGGTTCCCTTTTGGAGTAAAGCTTGTAAGCTCTGGCAGTGCGTTATAAGGGAGTCCTTCAACATTGTTGCCTGCATGAGGTCAGGACAAATAAACAACAAGGCTTCATTGGTACAACAACAGAGTAAAGGTACACAAAAATGTAGAGCAAAAACAAAATATGTACATGTTCGTAGAGTCAGAGTGTTAACACATGTTAAATCAACCGTAAAAATGCTGTTTTCTTTCCATAAATTATACCCCTAGACATCTAATAAAACCTAGACTCGATATTTCCTCTCAAAACTTTAGCAAAATGCTGGGCGTATTGAACGCTCCTTCTATGCATGCGATTCAAAGCCATAGAACATTCGCACAACACATAAACAGGCTGCGTGACACAGCCTACATTTTTGCTAACAATTTTCACAACTTAAACGCATTTAAGTGTCGTGTCTAGGTTTATCTTTGTAAATATTGTGTATACCAGTAGTTTGATTTTGTGAATATAATTAATTGGTGAATAATTTCCTTGTTTCCCTTCATCAGTTCTTTCTATCTTTGTACTTCAGTTTCTTTTTGACCGGGGTCATCACTTTAAATTTGAGTTTTATAGTTAGTGGTGACAGTAGTGATGACTCTAAAGGTGGGTACCAATGGTAGAGCTGATGTGTTCAGGGATAAAAAATTAATTAGCATATTCTTTCTGACCCTTGACCTCCCTTCCTTTATACCTTATAGCATTCAAAGTCGGCTGTTGTGTTCCTGAGCAATTCCTCCGTTTCCTCATCTTTTGCTCTTGCCTGTTGAAAAAAAAAAAATCACATTTCAGAACAACATCAGAAAAAAAATGAGGAGGCATTTTTAAATTGCTAACAGCAAAGACTGAGAATTTTTGCATCTGGTTGTTTGTTTACTTTATATAAGGGAATTAATTCTCAATTATACACATTGTTTTTTAGCCCCACCGCACTAAAATATGCTTAGTTTTATTTTGACCTTTTGTATGTACAGCGTAAAAAGCCATTTCACTTAAAGAGCTCATTGCAGTCCTTCTGATTTGAAAATCGCAGGTGTGTGGAAAAACACACACCTGGATTTTTCTAGGCGTGTGAATTTTCTAGGTGTGTGATTCTGTGGTCCAAGCTGGGACTGAATAATCTGGTATTGTTTTTCAAAATATTCATCATTTCTCAATTGTACACATTTTTTTAAGCCCCACCGCATTTTGTTTTGACCTTTTGTATGTACAGCGTAAAAAGTCTTTCACTTGAAGAGCTCATTGGATATATTCAAAGGGAAATTCAAAGATTCCAGGATAAAATAGACACATCAGTTTGTAGGCAGCTTACCTGGTATAGTTCAGCTTCCGCACTGCTGACATGCACTTTGGCTTTCTCGTTGTTTTCATTTTTCTTTGCCGTCTTTTTGGCAGCTTCTAACTGCAAGGCCAGTAAAACAAAAGCCAATCGTTTACACACTTTCTTAAATTTAATTCATAATGACATAATATCTCTTAGGCCAAAAAAAAAAGTCTCCGGTTTCTGGTATGCGCGCGCGTCGCCGCAGCCATGCGCGTCGGCAAAATGAAAAAGTTTTATTTTTTCAATACAAGATGATGTTTCAAAACCGCCAAACTCACTGGTTTGACTGGAATCCTGCTGCTGCACAATTTTAACGTGTTTTTAGATGGGGTTATGATCGAGAATAAGCTTTATGTGGCCTCTCTGGACTCCCATATATTTGCACTAAGTTTAGTCGGGCACCATTTGCAGTCATCAGCCGACATTTGAAGCCAAAAAAAAAAAAAAAAAGCCGCGTCGCCGCACCACTTTTGGGGCAAGCTCCATACCAGAAACCGGAGACTTTTTTTTTGGGCCTTAAATTGAAAGTTGCATATTTGTACTTTTATGCTTGAATAGCCCAGACAGCATTTGGAGTATTGCCCAAAGTGTTGTCTAAAAATAACCCTTTGAGATTAAGTTACAAGGAAGCAGTTTGAGTGGATGTACACAGTCAGGGGTTAACATTAATGCTTCCCTCCAAGGCCAGGTGAGTTTCCTGTTACAGGTACTTTTTTTTTTTTTTGGTGCTCTTTTTTTTTTTTTTTGAAGCGACAAATGCATTCAAAATCTAAGGAATTGTGTAACAACTAACCTAATGAAGCGTAAGCTCTGTGAATGCTGTACATTTTGAGAAAACACAATATTCTGGAGCTCGATTCCAATTCAAAGGCTGCTGAGTCATAACACAATCCCAACATCAGCATTCGGGACATGATTCTCATTGAGCTGATTGCTGGTACGTGATGTCTCACACTGAACCGATGATTCTCACTAATAATAGCAACTGCGCGTGTGTGTCGTGTCAACCCGCTTGCACCCATTCATGGATTCACCCAATTACAAATCAAACGCCAACAGAAATTTCCAAAGATATGCCACTTGACGCATCTTTTGAAATAACCTTCTTTTATTTTGTTTTCTTCAAAATGACAGCATTCCAGAAGGAATAATTTCACAGGGCGTTCATGTCATTACTATCCTGAAACCAAAAATGTTTTTAACAATAATTTGCTGGAGTACTGTCAACATGAAGACTCAATTATTTATTGATCACTGGCAGTCTATTGGAATGCAAGTACATTGTGAAAATGCTCTTCTGATCCGAGGCCCGTTATCAGTTCACAGAAAAGTTGTGTTAAAAGTTGTGTTTATACGTCGGTGAAGGGCAAAAACCTAATTTGATCAACAATAATTTGGTCGGTTACTGTTTGGAAGTATGCAAATGGTCCACTACCTTTAAGTGTACAGGGGTGCGTGACAAATTATGTGTATATGTATCCATTTAATTCTTGTAGTCCGAAGCTAAATTGAAGGACATGTACATGAGTAAGTAACGACAGGCGATGAAGCAATGAATATACACTCATGATATTCATCAGTATTCACTGAATGTTGAAACTGAATGGTATTGGAAATGGGTACGCTTGAAAAGCCATGTCTATGCCCTAAAGCTGGAGTACAGTCAACATGAAGACTCCATTATTTATTGATCACTGGCAGTCTATTGAAATGCAAGTACATTGTACATTGTATAGATGCTCTTCTGATCCAAGGCCGGTTATCAGTTCACAGAAAAGTTGTGTTGCAGGTAATATACATGTACAACATTTTGCTTTTGATGTAATTTCAGAATATAGATGGATTTGGGGGGTAAGTATTTTATAGCAATATTGTTACACTGACCGGTTTAAATTTTTGTTTGTGGAAAAACCAAGACAAAAAATGCTGTTCTTATAGTCTGGTTCCCTGACCCTACTTCAGACAAAATGGAGCAATTTATAGACGTCAGGGAATTGTCAGATTAGGGAACCAGACTAGCTGGCTTGCGCCCGTTCATTGATGTGTAACCGATTGCAAACAAAAATGTGGACTAGCTAAACTTGGCAAATTGGGGGAATTATTTGAAGAACTTGAGATCAGTGCAATTATGGTCTCTACCATCACAGGTACCCATTTATACTCCTGGGTGGAGAGAGGTAATTGTAGTAAAGTGTCCTGCCCAAGAACACAAGCGCCATGTTCCCCGCCAGGGTTTGAACCCACGTACCATGGCACGTGAGTCGAACACTGTCACCATTGGACCACAGCGCTTCACATAAAATATAACCTTATCAATTTTTAGATTGATCATTAAAATTGATGATTTTTTCCCTCACCTTACTAGAAGTTGTTGACACCTTGCTAGCTGTCCTCTCCTTCTCCTTCTGGAGGTCACTGACTTTCTTGGCTTCAGTGATAATGGCTTTAAAAGATTTTCTGTACCTGGTGCACTGTTCAAAACATAACAGGAAAAACGACAAATTGAAAATTTCCTGAAATAATCAAACTGACTGTCATTTTTCATCAATTTTCTTTTCAGCTCAGAAGTGAGACTTAAATGTTTACATGGTGGACATGAACAAAGAATGGAGGGTTTGCAGAAACACCATGTGGATGTCTCTTTTGAGTTGTGTGGTTCTGAGAAGAACCAGTTGTTGTAACTCGCCGTTTCAAACAGTGTGCTCTGCTCGTCATCAGGAGACTGCCGGACTCTTGCTGGTGTAGCTGTGTAAGTAGTTGGTGCTTGGATTCAGAAACAGGGGGATTAGTTCAGTGGACCGATAAACAGTCCTTATTTTAAAATATGTTCTTCCAACTTTAAGGTATGACTTGTTCTCCTTTGCACATTAATTTTACGACTTATAGTCTTATACTGTGTACACACAATATTATTGTCAGCAGGAATAAACCATAAATTGTAAAATTGTCCAAAAACAAAATTACTCCCATCCTGTCCTGAATAATAACCTCATTAATGTCAGTCCACCACCCCCAGGTAATAAACTTGATCTGCTGCTGGTGTGCCACCAAGCAGTGAATATCTGAATGAATTAATCAAACATGTAAGTAATGTATTGTAAATATTTCATCCACTTGATCTTTGCAGACAGTAAGGGCGAGACGCACATGTATGGAAAAACTACAATTGATTACAAATTCTGTCTGTGCTCATTTTTTTTTCTCAGCCATGACATTTCAGTTTCGACACCACGAACAGACCTGGCAATCGTACGTACAATTGTGTGCTTGTATAGGAGTATCTGTACATGTACATGTACCACTTCCTTGTTTGGACACCTAATCAATTGTGGTTTTCTGAACTGCATTAAGCCACAGTGAAGCCTGTTTGACAGCTATTATAGAAGCAAGCCTATGGTGTACCCGTATACCTTGTTAGTACGGTAAGTATATACAAACAGGGTGAGTAAAAAAAATGAAACCCAAATGTCGGGACTATTGTTTTAGTGAAGTTCTGCATGTAGCACTTTCAAAATCTAGGATATGAAAGCCCAATTCATAAGCTTTCTTTTAGTACAAGAATCATTCATGTACTTTTCAAATTACGGAATTTTAAACACAACCACTGTTTTAAAGTTCTGTCCACGGATCACAAAAAGTTCAGTGTTCTTTCAGCACAACACAAACAAATCACATAGGGATGTGTGTGAATTGTTTTTATTCTGCTGAAAGAACGCACACTTTTTTTTGGGGGGGGGGGGTTTACCTCACCTCTTCAAGATATTCTTGTAATAGTTGCGTGAAGCCGACATCCAGGTCAGCCCAAGCTGAGAAGACGTCTGGGAATGTGTAGTTGGATTCAGCGTAAGACCACTTCAGAAGGCCCATGGCCACTGTCAAAAACAAACAGTATTTAATATTTTGAGTCATTTCATGTTGAGTCGACCACTCTGAAGTTGGGTTTTTCCCTTCAAAGATAAACATAAAGTGCTTACTTAAAGCTTGCGAGAAAACTTTCACAAGCTTGCTTGAGTATGTACTCCTACATGATGTATTTCATCCAAAAATAATGACATCATTCCCATTGAAAGACAATATTTGGAAACTTGAAACTTGAAAGAGACTATGTCAAAGTCTGAATGCCACCTTAAGAATTTTGTTACAGTGGACAAAATTTTAAGTATTTTTCAAAAAAAAATGTACATTATAACCGTCTAAATGCTGCCTTAATTTTGAGCAGAATTACTGGATTGAAAAAGAATAATGCGGAAAAATTACTAATGCAATTATGTAATACATTGGCATGGACATCATGCAAATTTTTCATTCCTATTTATGTAATGGTGAACCATGTACATGTAGCAATTGCAGTGTCCTTCAGAGTGTGCTGTCCAGTGTATTTGTTCACTCTTTTAGAGTCTTTGATGTATTGTAACTCCCACAAAGCATTCAAAAGACCTGTCAAGAATGGGCAATGTGTGAACAGATTTCCTGGAGAAGTAGATCCATTGTGATGAAGAATGTTATGCCAAAGGTTGACTCATACATGTACATGTACATTACATGTACATTGCACCTACACAATGTTGTGACCAAGACAGCGGTAAAGTCTTGAGTGGAATTTCACTCAAATGACCTGAAATTGAATTGCCAGATAAAAAATTCAGAACAGAATATGCAGTTTAACATTAACAACGAAGTAAAACCATGATGTACAGAGAAATTCAGTAGCTTGCTAAATACCATAAATGGAAGTAACTTCCCTTTTCCTAGGAAATATATATTTCCTTTATCAATATCTGTGTTGGTAGGAGGATGTACATGTACATGTATTGTGTCATAAATTATCTTTTTATTTACAGAGCAGATTTGATGTCGTTCTGTCAGTCACTTTTAAGGGAAATTTGTGTGATTTAGATCCAATAATTTTATATTATCCAATAGTTTCAAATAATATGATCACTCTTCATTACCAATGATCATCCTTATTCCTTAACTTGCCATTATTCTTTGTAATCATGCAAACTTGATTGCAACTATGAAAAATGGTAATTAGAATTCGGTTCACCTTGATTTATCAACTCAAGGCCATCAACTGCCCGGTCTTTTTGGCAGATGCTTTTGCAATGTCGACAAACTTGGATAAAATGTGCTTGGAAGTGTTAAGGGGTCAATGGGAGGAATTTTTTTAGGAACACATTTTGTGCAACTTTCTACTCCTCTTAAATGTTTGAAAACTATTTGACATCCGTTTTTTGGTTAATTTTATTGAAAAGTGCACTTCTTAAATCATTAAAAGTTGTCCATGCTTTTCTGGACAATTGAGGGCGCTCTTGCTGTGATGTCATTTCAGGAAGACACTGTTCATTTAGGGGTTTTCTGTTCAAATTGTGAACCCAAACATTTGCTAAAATTGAAAACATTTGCTCATTGGCTTACTGCCATGTACTGACACAACTATGAAACACCAAAGAAAAGAAAAGTTACAACAGCAAAATATATACAAAATTCTGGCAACTTTGGTGCTGAAATAGCTGTCACATCTGAACATTGAGGTTTCTGCCTGAAATGACATCACACTTTTACTCATGAATATGGAAACTTAGTAGCATTAAAACTAAAAAGACACCAAAATACCCTTGAAAATGGCAAAACGAAAATTAAAAATACTGAAGGTTAAATGGGACCCAAAGACGCATTTTCAATGACTGCATTAAAAAAATAATAAATTGCATGGGCCCCTTAATTTTTGAAAAGAATACATTTCATAATTACTGTTTTAAAACATCATTTCAGTAAACACTAGTGAAAATGCTTTCAATTAATATCCTGAAATTATTCATCCAGGGCAATTTTTTCACTCAATGCTCAATGTTATCTCTGGTTTCAGCAGGAATCTTGTTACATTTTACAAGAATGTTTTAGCAAGTTTGATTCTTTTTTTCAAACGGAACATCGCTTTAATTCTCTGAAACCCAGTCAGTCACCTCACCCCAACCACACACCATATGATTAGTACATGTATTTCTGTTGTCATGGCAACTATGCTACATATATAGCATTAAAGGAAGACACCACAGATCGTATACTTTTAAGGGATTTCCCCTTTAGAATTAGTCAGAAATATATTGGAATGAACTAAAGTCAACATGACCCACAGCCTCCAGTCATATCCTCTTCATGGTGAAAACTGTGGATTACTTTCTTTTTTGAATCACTTTCTAACAAACATTCAAACAAAGTTTCTTAAATTAAACAAACAATCAGCGACAGTTGTTAATTAATGTTTGAATGCTCATTTAAACATCGTACAATACTGAAACGCTGCTTTATGTACATCGCATTCCAATACTTGCAATGGTTTTCCTTTCTAAAAAAAAAAAAAGTTTGCTAAATAACCACTTTGCACCGGGATTATTTTTGCCGAAAATTCAGATTTTCGCAAAATACAATTTTCAAGCCAACTTATACAGTCGAACCAAACAAATACTGATTGGCAAGAGTAATATCAACACTATTTCTTGCCGATACCTATGTTTAAATACTGCGGTGTGCACACTGGAGTGTAAATTAAAGAACAATAGGATGTGAACAACAGCCAAATATAAGATCAACACATGGTCTGTCTCCACAGACTTCACGGCTTTTGTGCGAGTCGAGGTACGAGGGATTAGCATGCTTAGACGCCACCCGGAGGCGAGGCAAGGCAATCTTAATATTTTAACCCATCAGCCGTGCCTTTTTATTAAAACAGCAAGTGCGAGTTATCACATCCTCCGACGCGAACTGGTTAAATTGTTACAATGGCAGACCATAATTATTGTTAATAAAAATAATACACTCAAAATATCCATTATGTAACAATTTTTCTATTCCTCCATATTATATAAATGTGTTAACATAAAAAGGCCTTAAAAGCTTGATGTTTTCTTTTGTCAAATAGGAAATTTGAGCATACTGGAACTGAGAAACATTTCCAATTTTGTTAGGAGACACTTTGAAAATGTCTTTGACTCCATAGATTTTGTAAACAACTAATGCAGTGGCGTCTGGATACTACATTCTTTCCGATAGTTGTTTTTCACTTTGAATTTCTGTGTTCATTCGTCAACAAATTTCAAAAGACATTTAAGACAATCCATCCTTGAGGTTGTATGGTGAAGTAATAGTACTTCAATCATCAATGCCGATTATTTAATAATTAATTGTACACCTTACCATTATTGATAGATGGTATCAACTTTCCACTGACATCGCCTTGCAGTGTTTTCTCGTCCATGACGACTGAGCCCAGATCACCGCCTCCCCGCAGCATTTTCTTAGCAGCTCGCTTCATCCCATCCATGTTCATCAAATTCTTATTCATTTTTCCTCAATTTAATTACCAACTAAATTCAAAACTTCTGATGGTGATGAGATATACTTGCTATTAAAATCCTTTCTTCGTCAAATCTAGTTCCTTATTATTCGCCTGGGTGACTTTTGTGCATGACGTGCTGAGACAAAATCGATGGATGAAGTAACAAACCAAATTCATGGGAGTCCTCATCATCAATCATCAGTATGCAGTGTGCTCAGGGATATGCCTGGCATCTTAACATCACATGACGGTTTGGGTCACAACTTTCACACACACAGGCAGCAAAGTTTTCCTAGGTTTCAAAATGTTGTTGAATTTGCTTTGTAAAAAAAGGTAAATCCACTGTTAACAGGAACGATGACAATTTACTGAATGCCAAACATCGATGGCACAGTACAAAGCACAAACAACATACATTGTAGCTGGCGGGTCGTCATGGTTCACTGATCTCAAACCTGCCGATAAGAACTGACTTCCGCATAACATTCAGTCAAGCGGAACTCTTTATTGTTTTCGTCACTGGTACTACTTCACAGCAATATCAGTGTTGTCGAAATGGTATAAGCGTTCGGTTACCAGTCGAGCAAGACGAAAATCTAGTAACCCATTTAGGGGCACGTTGTTTCGGTTTGAGTTAGGAATGGTACCAGGTACGTTCACGCGCGCGTGAGGGTCGAAATGAAGAAAATCCGAATGTGCGACTAGCGAGTGTATTTTGTGCATTGGAGGAAAACTTGTGATAAAAACGTGGAATGAAGTACTAAACAACAAAGCTGTGGAGGTAAACGGTTGTCATTGTATTATTGAATTGAATTGAATTGAATTTCTACTTTTGCAGGCGAGGTTTCCTTATTCCCCCGACCCGTGAACCACGTCGCCCCACACGGTAAACACGTTTCGGTTGCAAAAGTCGCCCCCGCCGTGCCCGGCTGCCCCAATGCACAGCAGCACTCGTCTCCAGCAGATTATTTTGTTTTGTTTTTTAAACATTGTTAAAGAAGGCAGTTGTGCACTTACACTGCACTGATGATACCAAGTTTTAAAGTCATAGTAAATAATAGCCCCATAAATAAATGTGGCCAATTTACTGGATCGACTACCTCCGTAAATAAAGGCTACTCCTAGTCCTAGAACTAGTATGATGCTCTGCTCACACGGAGCCTATGATTTCTAGGAGTAAATAAAGGCCACACTTCCACCATGTACAAAAACATGTCGAACTTTGTCAAATTTTGATTTTCACATTTAGGCTTATGCGCCTATCAATTGTTACTTAAATTTATCTTATTTATTTAAAATATCTATTGTTTACTTAAATTTAGGCGGCGCCGGCTAAATACACACTGCCTTTAATTTTCCTGCATATGCAACCAAATTTTGCACATTTTCGTCAGACTTGTTGAACAATTTTCAAGATTTTAATCTGTTTTATTGACATTTAAGCCAGTATTTAAATTTGCAGCATAACATCATGTAATTACATCCTTCACCTTTTTCTTTTATTTGTAGGTCCTTCTGGCCTGAGCAATGGCATATTGCAGACGTCTCTGCACCCGTCTGTGTCTGGCGTGCTCCTCCCAAAAATGCCTCCGGTTTCTGCTCATCCTCCTCGTAGTGATCGGAGCTTCCATCTACTACAACCTCTTCTTTTTCTTGACTACCAATTACTTGGAAGACAGAGACTTCGTAGGTGTGGACAAGTGCCCCGCCTGCTACGGTACAAGTATGTGTCATGAATTCAACCATGGGCATCTCAGTTTGTCCTCCTACTCCCGCATGCGTTTCTTAGACATCGTCAACGTCAAGAATGTCTATTTTGGCTGGCACAATGAGAAGAACATTGACGTCATCTTAAAGCGTCTAGGCCACGACACTGAACTCGCAAGCTTCGACGCCAACTTGTGCAAAAACGCCGGTGCCGGTCAAGACTGTGACGTCGCCAAGAGTATTTTTCAGACCAAATTTTCGCGGGTTTTAGAGACTACATCGTTAGAGGTGGCGCACGTGGAAGGGTTATCTGATGTGGTCCGTTGTCCCTCAGAACGTCTTTTGGAGAGGATTTTGATGATGTACAGAGATCACGTTCCTGGGCAGAGTTTATCCAAAGACCATAAACTGATGCTTATGACTATGCTGTCTGTCAATCCAGAACCCATTATATACACGGTAAGACAGTTTTACAACTCAGTTTCATGAAATGGTATTGTTGTCTTCATGTCATTATCCTTGGTTTTAGATGGGTATTAACTTCAAGCCCATTGACCCCAAAGCACAAAAAAAATCATCAAAATTGTACAAAAGCAGGCTGTATTGGATTTGGGCTGAATTTGAGTTGGTCTTGTAATCATTTGACTGTATGTGCCTTTGTTTTGCGAACAATTGGAACTTTCCTAATAAAGCCACAAACAAACCCTACTCCCCAATTGCACATTCTTCGCACATACATGGAAAACTGGAACGTCAAGCACTATGTACATGTAATGGAAACTGGCTGACAGCCCTGCAGAAGCAGATCTAGAGGGTGGTTTGGGGGTTGCAACACTGTTTACTGAAAGCTAGAGCCGCCCCTGCTCTGTGACAATCATAGGCTGCCAAATATCGGTACATTTATTAAATGGAAATAGAAACCAAATCCAAGCTGTAAATGTGTATATATATCAAATGCTTGTTAAATTGCAGTATCACTTTCATTTTTATACTTCTTTTTTTAATTTTAAAACCTTTGCACGCACCCAGTGTCTGTATTCAGGTTTTTATTATTTACGATTGGTAATGAGATATTTTCAAAATGGATACTCTGCTTGATTTATAAAAATACAAAAGTGGCTTTGACTTCTGCTGTTGTTTTGTTCAAGATGTTAGATTTGTTTATACTTATTACTTGATGTCAATGTTTTTCCCGTCAGATATTCCCCCATTCCGAGGGTTGGCCATTCCCACAGTACTACGGCGCTTGTGGTCGGCTCATCGTAGAGGAATATGTAGGAAAAACTTTAGGAAGTTATTTTCACTCGGACTGGTCGACACGACTGGATCTTGCCTATCAAGTGAGTACAATATTTATAATGAAAAGCTTTTCAATGTGTTTAGTAGTGTCTACATTGTAGTGATCAAAGAAAGTCATTAGGAAATTATGTTTAGTGGAAAAATGAAAGTAGAAACTGTTTGTATTTATAGGGCACTGGTCATACCGTCATCTCTTTAATTTGTTAAAACGTTTTCATGACTAGAATAAAATTAACCCTAACTCCCTACTGTCTTTTGCTAAGTACTGGACCAAAGTTCACCAAAATCCATCAATCACACTGCTTCCAAATGCATGCTTTGCTTTAGGCCTCCAGGCCCAAATCCATCATACTCCATCAATATTTAGTCACATCAGGCCTGCAGGACTTAGTCCCCAAAATCCACCAAAATGGGGGGATGGATTTTGATGGAGTTAGGGAGGTTAGGGTTAATACATGTATGCAAATATCTCATCTTGACATGTGTTGCTCTGTACAAATTGCACTTCCTCTTAAACGAATCCCACCTCCCCCCCCCCCCCTTGAATATTGTAGAAATAAATTGCCTGGTCTTTAGTAAAACCAAATATACATGTATTTATTACTTTTTAGTGTTAGATTTGTAACATTATCTTTAATCTATTTTCTTTCAGGTAATGAAAATAGCAGAGCAGCTGACCAACAACGATCTTGAGTATGCTCTGTACATGACGGATGTCTCCTTTGATAACTTTGCAGTCAACAAAGACGGAAGAGTTCTTGTCATTGATGCCGAAAATATTATTGTCGTCGACAAGCGTAAAATAAAAACAGGTGAGAAAGTTGGTGTGTTTAAAAAGTAGGGTTTGTATTGGGGTTGTGAAGTGAGGATAATGAGCAATTTGGATTGTTTACAGATTTCAAGTTGGTTTATTCCACTCAAACATCAAAATTAGTCATACATCAGAAGACGATTTGAATATATGATGCCATAAATGTAGGCCATCTCCTAAACCTTCGGCATCTAACAGTAGAAGGGTCTAGGTTTTGTTTAATTGCCCTTCAGAGTGATTTCTTGAATTAAGAAACTTTCTTTGAGTGTAAAAGTCTATCTCTGCTACCTTTACACAAATGACTGTTGTATGGGCACATCCATGTCACCAAAGCGTTCTACGCCAGTGTTTCTGTGCAAACCATTGATTAACAAATTGTGATTTTTGTTTGTCCAGATGCGAAGCCGTCATGGAATGAACGCCACCAGTCCTTCCACGATGAATGCAAGAGCCATCCAGGCTGCCTATCCTTCTCCTCCGAGCTTCTCTGTAAACGTCACAGCAGTGACCATAACTACTACGCCACATGCCATGGACTGCTTGGTAAGTAAAATATCTCACCACGGTCATGCATATTACTCAGGAACTGAAATAGGTCTGGGTGTATCTAAACAGTTTGGGAACTGATTCAATTTCCATCCAAGAGTCATTTTGAGTTGACCCAAAATTTTCTGGGTAAAATAACTCTGGGGAATATCATCAATGAATTTAATCAATTATGGATTGAATTGGTCGGTCGTTCGTTTGGTTACATTGTTCAATTCAATGATTGAAAAACACTCGTATAAAAAAGATGGTTTCATTTTCGAATGCACCCCCCCAAAAAAAAATGACATGTACAAATTTCTTTTTAAAATAAAGGGGACAAACGCAAAGACAAAAATACAAATGTCAAGACCAATGTTCTGACAAATTGATTCAACGGATGTTTGTTGCTGAAACTTTCATTGTCACCATTATGATGCAAACAAATTAATCGGCCTTTACATTATAACAAAATTAAAGAACCGAAAAGATACTTATACTCATGTACAGTCAAATCTCGTTAGTACAAACTCTGTTAATACAAACTTCTGGTTATAACAAACATAAAGCCTTAGTCCCGACTGTACATTTATGTGCACAATGAATGGGACTGATGTTCCTCTTAATACAAAATTCTGATATAACAAACAATTTGGCTAGGTCCGAACGAGTTTGTATTAACGAGACTCGACTGTACATGTACTTGCAGGCCTAAGCAGATTGTCACACCCTTTCCTAAGGAAGGCTAGCTTCTGACCTATTCTCAATTTAAACATTTGTCCTAATGTCACGTTTTCGGCACTCTGACTTTGGGACACACAATTTTATTCCCTTTGCTGTTAATATTTACATGATATTTACTTTTTCCCCTTTTTCTCGTTTTCAGCCAAAAATTCTGAGTGGGCCGGCACCAAAGGAGGCCTTCTTCACGACCCGCCCGCCGACCTGCCGGAACGGGAACAGCTAAACACCCTCATAGCTGAGTGTGAGAAACCCAGCCAGCGAAACGGCCGTTACGATGCCATGCAGCAACTCTTACAACTTCTGTCTGAGCTAACAGACGGGAGCTAGTCCTTGGAATAAACAGCAGGGACAAGATCATCTTCAGGTCCATATCTCCTCAATTGTTCTTTTTTTTTGCCTTAGGTTGTGTTTTAATTTTTTCGAGAAATATTTTCAAATTTTAATTAGCGCAAAATTAATGCTATATGAAAATTGTTATGAAATCAAGTGCAATCATATAAGTTAAATTCATTTCTATCATTATTGCTTATTGGACATTTTTGTTGGGCACTTGCTGTGTATATTGTGCATGTGTTTTTTTTCCTATTTGTATTTGGCCTCCAGGATTCTCTTTATTGTAATAAGCATCATTAAACCTGTTCTATGTCGCCATTACTTTCATTTCAATTGTCGCTTTCATTATTTTCATTGTGATGTCATCGTTACTGTCTTTCACTGTCATTGCAATCACTATTTCTTTCAAAAGTCGTCATCACATTTATTTACATTGTCACCTCCGTCTTAGTCATAAGCACTATCATTTTCATTTTTTGTCATTTTTTCATGTTTGTAATTGTCATCTTTATCCAAACCATTGGGTTTTTTTTTCATTATGATCATCGTCCTCGCCATCCATTATTCTCACTTTCATTTCATCGTCAGCAATCATCATTTTAGATCTCCTTATAAGTAAACATTCCCAATTTTTATGTGAGTGCAATTAGCTTCCAAAAATGGACAACTAAATATGCTTTATTTATTTTCCCACACACATTTTGAATGTTGTGTTGCACTAATATTGCATGCATGAAATTTAGTTTTATATCCCACGCTACTCATATCAAATTAATGAAGACACAAATTGCAACTCCGTTTCCCTCTGAATAACTCAGGCGAAATAATCAAAATCTCATTCATCAATGCTTTTTTTTTCATATCAACTCTTTTTTGCCTGACACATGCGTCAGAACCACAATTGCAAGACAATGTAATAACAAGACAAAAGCAATACTCGCTTGATTAAACTTGAGAGTAGGTGGGTTTTGTTTTCTATAGTTTTTTGCATGTCCAGAAGTACAATGTACATGTAGGCCTTTGATGTTAGTTTGCATGCTCGATTTGCTTCTGTGGACAATTTATATTAGTCTTTCTGTATTGCACACAAATGCAATTCGGGCGATTCACAATGCAGTGCGCCACCAAGAGTTTGCCGCGGAGAGTTCATTTTTCCCAGTGCATTATGGGAGATGGTCGACAAATTTGCAGCGCAGGACATTTGAAATTGTTTGTTTTTCCGGCCAGATAGTTCGTAAGCGTATGATTCGAGTATCTGTTTGCCCTTTTCTTTTCGTTTTATCAATATGGAGTGTTTTTTTTGGAAGGCGGCAGAACGCTTTGCCCCAATCTATAACAAATTAGCTCAAGTTTTCTACTGACATTCGTTCGAATGGACCATGTTTTGTCGACCGTGACCTTGAAAAACGAACTCTCCGTGGCAAACTCTTGGAGGCGCACTGCATTGTGAATCGCCCGAATTCATTTCGAATTTCTATTGCACAGTTTTTTTTATTGTGTTATAGAATTTTAATTTTTCAAATTTTGTGTTGTATTTTTCAAATGATTTTTAAAAATTTTAAGAATGGATTTTTTCCCCGCATAATTCAGTAGACCTTCAGTGGGTACTATAATGCAAAGTGCGATGTTGTACATGTGTAAGAATTTGTAATTTATGAATATTTATGACCTCGATAGACTCTATGGATAAAATGACCTGATATTATGTGGTTGAAATATGTATGTACATTTTAGAGAAGACAAAAAAATGATTATAAATTTTCTATCAAATAATACAGTGCCAATAATGTTATTTTCCTATGTGACAGAGATGTCAAAAAGTGTCCTATTATTAAGTGACAATTTTTTACATACTTACTGTGCAGTATGTATGCAACAATTAATCAGGACCCAGTTTTGTAGCATTGTTTAACAGTTAGCAGAAAAGTTGTGCTTACTATACCAGAAACTCATGCTGCTGCTTAAGCACTATTTCATGGTGTGGATGGGCTAACGGCTGCGCGCGCATGGAGATTGCTATATAACATTACTGATTTAAGCAACTGTTTTAACCGGGGTTAAGCATGCTTTCGCTGTGCTTATTGCTTACGCCCTCTATGAAATAGATGGAGACTCATTAAGCACAAAATCGGCCGTTAAGCAGCGCTATTAAATTGGGTCTATGTGCTTCTCTCATTGAGCTTCTAAGCATGGAACTTGGCTATTAGCACAGACAATTTTTTAGAATAGGTTACCGGCCAGACAGTCATGCAAGGCACATATCTTGTCACTGGTTCTCCGCTGATTCATGCTTAGCAAAATTGTCTGTTTAGGAGCTCAATGAGCTTGGGCCCAGGTTCCTAAAGGAAACAAAATCATATGGAGAAAACGAGCATAGTCTAATAACAGTAGACTTGTCCTAGTCTGTTGCAGTCAGAGAACCATAGTTTTGTCATGATCATGATGATTGTAGATGAGGGGAGAGACTAAGCTATTGAAAAATGCAAACACCGGAAGAACATACACGCACAGTCATAGTATTACATTCAAAGTATTGCTTATTAGTAGCATTTATTAACAGGTTACATGATCAATAATCAATAATCAATTTTTATAGATACATGTACAATTCACCTTCATTTGATTTCACAGTTTTGTAATGACCCGGACATCTTAAATGTTGTCTTTTATATTTAACTTCAAAAAAATACAAAGTAATCATTGTGTACATTACACAACCTAGTATATATTTTTATTCTAAAAGGTTTTGTTAAATTTTACTGTACAGGTATAAAGTATGGTAAATATAGGCCTCAATGAGAGTTTAAAAATATCTAACAATTTTCTATTTTGTGGATGCTTGAATTCACTTTGAGAGTAAGATTCCTCTAAACTTTTGTTTTTTCTCTGGTTGACTGACATATTTATCGTTGAAATCCATAGTACCATTTTCATAATTCTCAAAGCACATCAGTTGATATAAGGCCAAAAAAAAAATATTCGGTCTCTGGTCAGACCAAAGTTGCGGAATTGACGCGGCCACGCGGCTGTTTTTTTTTTTTTTTCTAGCTTGGATTGTACAGACAAGGTGGGGTACTATTTTGCTTTTTTGGTGTCCTCATGTACATTGGTGTCCTCCATAATTTGCCTTGGTGCTTTCGATCATTTGCCTTGGTGCAATTTCCCATTCCTTGGTGCTCTTTGGTAAAAAAAAAATTGAGGTGTGGAAATAGAGGGCGCTGTTGGAGCTACCGCGGAAGATCGACGCGCATGATTAAAATCGACGCGCGCGCTGACCAGAGACCGACTTATTTTTTTTTTTGGCCTAAACGTTGCGTAAAACTTTTTTAGTTGTGTTACTACAGGGCCCAATTTCATGGCACTGCTTTAACAGTTAACAGAAAATTGTGCTTACTGCAGCAGATAATTGCGCTAACCTTAAAATCATGGCGTGGATCTGCTAACGGTTGCACGCGCATGGAGATTTCTATTGTTACATACGTCACTAATTTAAGAAACTTTTTCCTCCAGGATTAAGTGTGTTTTTGCTGTGCTAACTGCTGCTTACAGTCTCAATGAAATAGACGGTTAGCAGAAAATTGTGTGCTTAGCAGCGCTATGAAATTGGGCCCAGGTGTGTACACGTGTTACTTTTTGGTCTAAGAGGACTACTTTTGGCAAAATGTGCAATTTTTAAAACACTCATTTGTAGGCTTTTGTTTAACACACACACACACAATACAAATGAATGGCTGCATTTCAGGGAAAAAACCTAAACCAACTTCCTGTTGATAGACTACATGTAAACAGCCTGAATTTGGCTAGGATTGCCTACAAACAACTGAAAAGTTTGTTTTTGAAGGGGAATTGACCTGTAAATGCAACTACCATGTCACAGACGCATTGTCCATCACCCAAAAAAAGCATTTGTTTAGGCCAAAAAAAAAAAGTCTCCGGTTTCTGGTATGGAGCTTGCCCAAAAAGTGGTGCGGCGACGCGGCTTTTTTTTTTTTTTTTTTTCTCCCTGATTTTTTTTATTGCAAATGGTGCCCGACTAAACTTAGTGCAAATATATGGGAGTCCAGAGAGGCCACATAAAGCTTATTCTCAACCATAACCCAATCTAAAAACACGTTAAAATTGTGCAGCAGCAGGATTCCAGTCAAACCAGTGAGTTTGGCGGTTTTGAGACATCATCTTTCATTGAAAAAAAAAAATGTTTTCATTTTGCCGACGCGCATGGCTACGGCGACGCGCGCGCATACCAGAAACCGGAGACTTTTTTTTTTTGGCCTTATGAAAAGCTGTAGTTTCTGTTTATTATTTGCTGAAACAATGTCGTGTATGACTTAACGAGGGCATTTCAAAGAAACAGTATTTTTTTATGGGCCCAAAATATAGCCCCTTGATGTATTATTGTTAAACTTGGCAGCCATCTTTGTCATGTACCATAAATACAAGAAAAAAAGATGTTTGGGAATTTATTCATGACATTATAGGTACCAGACTATTTCGAGTAAGAATTTTGAAACTTTGTAAAACCAACATTGCTGTGGATTTAATAGTGTTACATATCATCCGTCTGGCACCTGGACTCACAGGGAATACATTTCCTTTCCACAGAAAATCCCTCCGTGAAATTATCAATGTACACCTGCGTAAACCTGTTTTAATATAAATACTCAAGTCATAATTTGTACAATTCACTAATTTACATTTCGTTGTGATCAAGCATTACTGGCTGCTCAAACAGTGTTTCTGTACATCAACTTAAAATTATGATTGTGTATAAAAACTTGAACTGAAAAAAAATCTACATTTTATAAAGCAAACTGTATTGGCTTTTGATAATGAAAAGTGTGAGGAATAATTACATTGTACTATCTATTAAGCCACAGATGTTCTACGATTTTGATCCAAATAAACATATTTATTTCTACGCAGCAAATTCCAGTACTTCTGTTTTTGCAATTTTTGTCTTTTGTCAGATACACATAATTATTAGAAATGTAAACTAGCCCTGGAAAAAAAACACTCAAAAATGTCATTTACCTCATAGTTTACAACTTTACAGCTTTAAAAAAAAAACCTTTTTAGTTTTGAAAGCCAATCAAATATATTGCTTGCAAAGAAAGACACAATTTTATCTAGTTCCAAAAAAAAAGTACATAACTTAAAACCCACCAATAAATGAGATACTGAAACCACCAACTTAAAAATATTCCATCCTTTCCACCTCCAGTAAATTGGGCAGTGGCTTTGCCTGGCCTAGCCTGAACCAAAGGGTCCCCCAGTCAACTCTGAAAATCTTCAGAGGAGAGAAAATTCCCTCAAGGGGGTAGCTCAATCCTCCAAGATATCTACCCTCCAAGCCTTGGATTTCTCAAAGTCTGTTTCAACTCAGAATTGCGCAATACTAAGGTTTAAATATAACGTCCGAGAACATTTTTTCAAGAAAGAGCCACGGCTCAGAGGGATGGGTGTAGGATTCCCAACCTGGAGGTCCCTGGTTCAACCCCTACCCTGGGCTACTATTTTTTAAAATTTTTATAAATTTTAACCGACTGGAGGTAAAAAATTTCCTGGGCCCCGCCGGGGCTGGAACCCAGGACCCGGCGGTCCCAGATCCCAGCCCTAGACCGCTAGGCCACCGGTTCTCGTTGAAAAAATAAACTCGGACGTTATATTTAAACCTTAGATTGATATTGCGCAATAAAAAAAAAACCAGGGCAACCCTTCACCTCTATAACATTAATTTGAATAAATGAATATTCATTAAGATGACATTTCAAATCAAGGCTGGATAAAAATACAAGGTTTATTATAGCGCAAGTTTACACACAAAATAAATTTACAAAATAATAAAATACCTTCCTCTACGGTCAAATTGGAAAATTACAAATTTGCAGTTTTTTTAGAAAAGCTTCGACCTTAAAATCAGCTTTAAAAATGTGTGGAAAACCCAGAATTATACATTTTGGCACTACTAAATTGATACGGTCAATTACAAACACTGTTCTAACATATGGTTTGCAAATATCTTGATATCACCTTTTTTACCTCCTAGGGAAAATAAATTGACTTCTGTACGCATTTGTTCCCTTCTCTTTCACCCAATACTCCAGGACAAGCCTAAGTTCAAATGTCAAGTTTTAAAGTCAAAAATGAATAATAATGAGCTATATTACATTTCTACAGACAATAAACCATTCTGTGTGAAAGCTGTAAATAGCTGTTACTTGAATTTTTTTGGGGTGTGGAAAAATCACGTACCTGAAGTTCAAGAATTCAGCCCACTCTTCATCTAGGTAACTCTAAAGCACCAATTGCCAAACTGTTTGCATACACAACCATAAAATGTACATTCCATCTATGCAGAAACCTCAACCCCTACCCTGGGGAAAACAAAATAGATCTCTCTAATAGGACGCCATCTTTGTAGGAAAATTATAACTGCATGTTCAACGCCATCAGGTGTGCGCGTGTGCGCAGCGTGCAAAATGTTCTTAACACACCCGCGTGTTGCTCAAAATTTCTTTGAAGTACGGCGCAGCTGATGTGTGTGTCACAAAAATTTAATGCCCAAAATGCAGGAAGTGACATCACTTGAGAGAGACCTATACTGAACCCTCATCATACCTTACCATATTTTAAACCAAAAAGCATAACAATCTTAGAAACCTCGCCAAAAAATTAACACATATGAAAAATATACCAAATCACCCAAAAGGAAGGATATAAGACCAAATCATAAATTTAAAATTAGCAAAGTAATCACTCAACAGGAAACTCAAAATATATAAACAATCTTAAAACAAAGGAAATATAAAACACAAGGTTGCGTAAAAGTATATGCATTGGTTATGGTAATCATATTACAACTTTCTTTCTTCTTTTTTTTTTGACTAGGAAAGACATTTTCATCAAGATATTTTTTGGCAGAGATATGCATTGGTACACACAGAGACAGCCAGGAGTAAATTTTAAATTCAATTTTTGATGTCTTTTGCATTTTTGCATTATCCATTGCCATACAAGGTTAAATGTTAAACCAAGTTTAACAAAAGAGATCAGTTGCTTATTGACATGCGGCTGCTTGAAGTATACATTTTAAGGTGCATCGTTGGTGGATTTCTGAAACTTGCATCATCATCATGAAGATTTTATAAGGATTACTTTTGCATTTTAGTCTCGTGCACTTTTTCTGCCTTGCATATAAAGAAAATTAAAACAGTGTGCAGGTTGTTTTTGATCATTAAGTTCAAAGAGATAACTTATCGGCAATATTAAGTACTGGATTTCCGTTCAGATATTTTAAATTTAAAATCTGTCATCTAAGGCTTCACAGATTCAAAGCCTTTTCTAATTGTTTGCATTTTTCTACTGTACTAGCTTTGCTCCATTTTAAGACATCTATTATCTACTTGCATCATTAAACTCCAATATTACAAAATATCATTCAGCTTAAAATGTTACACATCATAAAAAAAATATTTACAGTAAATTAGTAACGTTCTACCACTTTACCAATATGGTAGGTAAGCCTTTCTTGAAAAGCTTTTGTTTAGATTTTAAAAGATCTTGGTATATTTGTCGAGAATGACTTAAAATTTGCACACTGTGCTTTGAACAAAGGTGATAACCGATATAATTATAAAATGTTGACAATATATTTTGTCCAGTCTTCAATCCAGCTAAACTTTAGGAGTAAATGGGACGTACTAACATGAAACGCTACACTGAGATGATCACACAATTTGGCACGTTGAGCATAGAACAGGACTACAAATCAGAAATATTTCAAAGTCGGATGTGAATTGGATGCAATGGGGCCATTTATAGCGGTGGGTTGCATCTTAAAAAATACTTTCAATGTTATCTCTAGATCTTAAAATCTCATTTATTTTCACAGTTTATTTTACATTACAATTGCCCCAGATACTCGATAGTACATGAAAACCTAAGTATTCTAACATGAAACCTAAGTATTCTAACATGTATTCCATTTAGTTGTTAGTTTTTATTTTATTTTCTACAACGCAGAGGATAATTTTTGCATGAAATTTTAACTTCTTGGTCAAAGAGGATTCGCATGAGATCAAACCAAACATTTTGAGTTAATTTTGTGGACACCAACTTTTTTGTTTGTAACAGCATAATCCCCAAAGCCACACAAATTATTTCCATGGAAACTGGCATCAGCAAAGGACATCTTGTTTATGAATCTTTAAAGCAAGGGTTATCAGATAGAGTCTAGATTACAAATAAACTACTATTTTGTACTGGGCATACACAAATCTGCACTTAAAATATTATATATGACTATTCTCATGTACAAAACGTTAACTAATTTAATTATTTATGCATATTTTTATGATAAAAACCAAGGAAGCCACTGCAAACATACATCATTTTTCTTAAATTAGGCAAGGTTGTCATTTTTAAATATTTCACGGTATGAAAAATAAAAATGGAAATTTATGCTAACTTTGTAACAATTTGATCATAAACTTACCACTTACACTTTACTACAAAGAATAAGCGATCTTCACCATCTTTAGAAAATATTACCAGTTAACTTATCACACAAATATAAATAATCACTGGTTCCCGTTAGATGATCCCACACGATTCGCATAGCGGATTACCAGCTTGCAAATCAAGGTCAAAGGTCAACTGAGGTCACTGGCACTAGTAGTTTGCGTAGAGAATCTAGGAGCTATTGGTTGAGCACTGTGCATAGTGAATGAGTGGTCCCGGGCTCACATCCCGCTGATGGCGTTGAAGAAATGACCCGACACCCTCCTGCCTGGAGCTTCCTGCTCCTTCATCTGTGAGCAAATGAAAAATAACGTCAAGAAAACATCTAGAATGGCAAGGTAAAAGAGACACAGGGTGAGAATGCTATAAAGAGCGAGAATGCTATAATAGACCCCTCTCAAAGGACGCCATCTCCGTAGGAAAACTACAGCTGCGTATTCAACGCCTCAGGTGCGTGTGCGCGCAGTGTGAAAAATGTTCTAAACACGCGCACGTGTTGCTCAAAGTTTCTTCGAAATACGGCGGAGGTGATGCGTGTCACAAGAATTTTACGCGCACGATACCGATGCACTTGGTAATCTGTACGAAGTGACTTATTTGAGAGAGACCTATACGTGCACTTGAGTGTTCGGCCAAGCAGATTTAAGAGACAAAAGAAGGTATAGCAACCAATGAAATTTAAGTAGCAGGGAGGTTTAACATTCACTCATAGCTGTAAGTTGGCTAACCAGTCTAGTTCAAAGACAAACTGTGCATCATGGGAAATGAACGAATGCTTCAAAGGAAGTCACCGTTTCCCAAACCACGACCTCATCTTCAGCTCCGGCTTCATCTCTGGCACCAGACTCCTTTAATGTTTATGCCAATTATAGATAACGGACTACACTGAGACAGAATCCCTAAGTCAGAGGCCTCTCAGCTGCAGCCTAGAGACGAAGCTTGAGACAGAGCCGGGTTTGGTAAATGTTACTGTTACCTGATCTTGTAGTAACTCTGCCAGCATGGCGGCCATTGCTCTGTACTTCTGCACCATGTCATCGTGGTACTCATGCTGGTCCTCTTTGATCAAGCGAGCGTTGATGCTCAACGCTTTGCCACACACTTCCACAAATTCCCTGTTATGAAAGCAAGGAAGATCTCCCTTAGTTCATTGATTGAGATTTTTTGGAGGGCCTACAGGATTGAGTATGGTAGAGCCCAACCGCTATTACTCCGCACGGGCTTGGTGTATCTTGAAACTTATAGTCCTAAGTTCTTGAAGTGTGCCATTGGGTTCTTGAACAGTGAAGGATTTGGAGGACCAGGGAAAAGTTTTCACGAAAAACAACTCAGGGTTAATACCTCTGATTAAAAGCCAATATTGATTCCTTCACCTTTCTGAATCACTTTGATAATGCATAATTTAGTTGAATTTTCTTTTAGTTGAGCACTGTGGATATATTGACCAAAATTGAAAGGAATCATCACACATTTTCAAGCAATTTTTTTTTTACTGACCTGAAAAGTTTCTTGAGCTCCCAGACATCTTGGGGGTCCCATTTCTCCTCCTTGCCCTTGCCAAGAAATGCCAAGGCATAGGCTTGCGGTCCAGCATTCACCTGAGGAACCAAAAAAAAGAGAGAGGCTTCGTCGTAATATTGTACTCAGCCTTTTGCCGTGTCCAAATAGCTTTGGTACAGCTGGCAAGTTTCCTCTACAAGTGCCTGAATCAACTTCCAACAGACAACTGTTTTACTGCCAGCCATGGCCAAGTATTTCGGACATGTCCTTTACAAAATGTCATTTAGGGTACGAGTCAGATGGCGTGGCAGAAAAACCAAGGAATTTTCAGGTCTAAAATGTATTTTTTTTATTACATTTTTATCATAAAATGGGATTTTGCATCGGGTGATATAAATCAAATTAGGTCTTGCCCTTCACCGACGTTTAAACACTGTATACTCAGTGTGTTACCTCCCGAGTGAAAGATGGAAAAAAATCACTCGGGTGGGACTCGAACCCACGACCTCCTGCTTTCTAGTGCAGTGTCTTACCACTCGACCACCGAGCTAACGGGATCGGTTGGCTGGTTCGAATATTACATTTTTGTTCGTGCTGACCACTTTTTTTTTAAAGCAGACATGAAACAGACGCTGATGAATACCAACCTGTGTGCTGACGCATCCCTGTAGCAGAAGCTGCAACCGTTTCATGTCTATCTGTTCTGTTTCGATGACGTCGTTGAGTTCTTGTACCTTGGCCTTGACCTCATCGATGGCCACCTGGATGGGATTCAGCTTCTTGTGGAACTGGTAGACCACTTGGATTCGCTTCTTGACGTAAGGGAATGCGTGAGATGCTGAGAAAAGAAGGGAAGAGAAAGGAAAGACGTTAAACAAGACCGCCAAAACTTATTCTCTCTAATTATTTTTAATATTCCGCATAATCTAGTTCAACATAACTCTTGAATGCGAGTTTATATTACTTGTCAGCATCGTCTTCAGTTTGCATTGTTCCTCCACCGTGCCCCGCGCCTTCCCTCCTTCCGTGAATGGCGTCTCATAGAGGAAGCGTCGGATGTTGTTGTTGCGTTCATAGCTAGTCTGTCTGTCCTGCAGCTCGTGATCGTCAAAGTACGGCTTGACGAACGTCAGCTGGATGTAGGCAATCTTTTGATCTAGGTCGTCTGGATTCACCTATGATGAAAAAAATGCATCATTGATGACAAGGGCTCTGAAACAATCTCTGAAGCAATTAGAACTGGGAATAGCTCGTGATTGCCAACTGAAAAATCCAGGAAACCTGGCATGCACTGTAGACCACTCATCTATGTACCCTTTTATAGTTAACGGACGCAAACAAGTGTGCAGTGCCATGGCCTCGTGATCTGGAGCATTGAATTCGTGGTCTGTGGGTAATTCTGCAGGTTGTGGGTTCGAGTCCAGCCTGGGGTTATGGTGCATGTGCCCTTGGGCAAGGCGGTTTGTCACTCATTGCTTCTCTCCACCCAGGAGTAAATGGGAACCTGTGAGGGCAGAGATGGTTCTTGTGATTGATTTTAGCTGCTTTGCGCCGAAATGGCAGCAATGAGCTGTATATTCCCCAGGGAGCTGAGACGGTATGTTGAATGTTTCAATGGCCGAACAAGCAGGGTACTAATGATGTAGCGCCTTGAGCACCACTACATGATGGATACGTGTGCTTCACAAATATACATTATGAGTAACGGGGCTTGCATTCCCCAAACTCATTTTTATTTTGTACCGCTGGAAGACTGGTTAACATGCACCCATCACAAGTAATGACCAACCAACCTTGGAGGAATCCCTGATGAGTTTGACGTTCCCCTTGCCAAACTTCTCAGTGTACAGGCCTATGAGTCTCTCACAGATGGAGGCCAGCGTGGTGATCTTGGGCTCCTTGTAGATGAACTCCTTGCCGTCATCCTCCTCAAAATGCTAACATCACAGGGAGACAAAGAGAAACAAATATTTGAACTAAATTTGACAAATGGCTCATTCTTTTAAATTTAGTGCCACATTTTTCCTGTCCCTGTTTCCTTGGTACTTTGCAATTTACCATCCAAAAAATCAGTAAGAATGACTTCAAACAATGTTGTTTATTTGTTGGGTAGGTAGTCTGCTAGTCATCATCACTCTTGGAGGACGACTGCATTAAGGAGTGCATCAGAATTATAAAACCGTGGATGTCGGATGTAACAGGGACTGGACAATATGTGGACCCTAAATTCACAGAATGACCCACATGCAGATAAATTACCACTTGACTAATCAGGTCAGCTGGCTGGTCCGAGTCAGACATTACATACATGTAGGTAATATAATTAGTGATTGAGACTCTGCAACTGTTCCTTTCCTACCTGTCCAAAGAAAGCCACTCGGAAGTACTGGCCCAGCAGTCTCCGGCCCGAGCTGGTGACTTTCATGACGGACTTGTAGGCTTCACAGAGCTTACCATACGCCATGGCAAGACGCTACAGGGAACCAGACACAAGAAAATAGAATCAGGCGAGCCGTTGTTGTCATTCATGACACAGCTGGCAAATTTCGTGGAGCCACTAAGCAGATAATATTCAAATTCACAAAATTCAGAAAGCCGAACGTTTCTATCCTACCAGAATCTTTCTCCAAAGAAATAGAACTTGTAAATATTTACCACAAAATTAGGCATGCGAGGAAAGTGTTTTAAAGGAGGGGGGGGGGGCTATGCCAAGTTTATCCGACGAGACTTACATGATAATCCCTCTGTTTCTCGTAGAATGGAATGATGAGTTTGTAGAGCGCCCCCATTGACTCGTAGCGCTCAGCTTTCTGCAGCGCCTCCGCGCATCTCTCCAGCTGATGAAGTAGTGTTTGCTGGATGAGGCAAATAATCCAAACAACAGTATAAGTGGTCAAATAAGGATTAGAATGATCAGAAATGGGGAATTAATCTGTTCAGATTCTGGTGATGTGGGAAAGGGTTTACATATGTTTCTTGACAATACTCCTAATCCACTTAATTCCTTCGAGTACAAAATTAATAGCTTGAATATCTTAATAGCATGGACTAAAACTATGCTGGAAATTAAGCTGAATTATCAACTCAGCTGACGTATTGGGGCCTCACATTATAAGATAGAGATCACATTTTGTCACATATTCAATTCCTCTGTTGCAATTAATCTTGCTGCTGTTTGCAACTTTGTAAGTGGATAACTGTGGAATGGGATTAAGATTAAGAGATTAGAAAGTAAGGGTTGAGAAAGAGGTCCATCTGAGGATTATTCAGATGTCTTGTCTTACCTCTGAGTACTGTACGTCTTCTAGTCCCGTATCGTCCTTCATGCCTCTCTCTTCACTCTCAATGTTGGGGGAGACGTCCTTGAATGCTTGGCAGCCAGCTGGGTAGATCCCTTTCCTCTTCAGGTATTCAGCAATCAGCGCCGCTATGTGGATGTTACAGTGAGCAGCCTGGGTTGGAATAACAAAACTGAGGCGTTATCAACTGCATGCAGTGCAATCAGGTAGGCCTGGGGAATCCAAGACTTTTTTTGTTCTTAGAACAAAGAAAGCGTGAATTGTGGGTCACTGGTTCAACAAGATACTTCAATTTGCGACGGATCAACACACCTTGGAAATTCCTAGTTTTTTAGTAAAATCCATATACATATATTTCGTGATAACCTTGTGGAGATGTATTCATCTATAGAAATTGCCCTGTGGAGACGTATACAATCTTTTGTTCCCTATTATGCACATGTCTCCACAGGGTACCGTGTACCAGATCATGCTTCTGCAGGCTCGCATGTGCAAAATACATTTGCGAATCCTCCTAAATGATGTGAAAGTGTTATGGTATCAGATCAGCAATCAATGTAGGATGTCAGTGGCAGTAGTGAGTGTTGACCGAAGTCAACATTGCCTCTTTACCTCGGAGTAGTTACTGTGATTGATGTGAATGACGGCCATGCTTTCCAGCCAGGTCCGTCGCAGCTCCGGCGTGCTGGCGTAGCTCTTAGCCAAGCTATCCTGCAGGTCCACCAGCATCTCCGGATCCTTCTCGTGCTCCTTCATCTGCGCCGTGGCCATCAGGACGGTGCGGATCTTCTTGGTCAGGTCTTTGACGTGGGACGGAAACTGGGTTTGCTGGTTTGGAGAGAAAAATTGAGAGAACTCGTGGACAGTCCTGAATCCTCAAATTTTTAATTTGTTTTCTTCATATACCAAAGTAATCAGTGTAAATTTGCCCAAGGTCCCAAGTATCTTTGACGTAGGAAGACAAGTTTGTTGACTTACAGACATGTTCTTGTCACTGACTGCATAGTTGTTGATCATCGCCAGGGATTCCTGGAACCGTACACTGTTGGCATCACCGATCAGCTTGGAGACCGAGATCACAACCTGTGAGTTCAAAGGTCAAAGGTAAACCAGGTTTTACATTCCATACAAAACTATTATCTCATATATCCTAAGTTTTTTTCTTTTAAGTTTTAAAAAAAATTTTTGGAGGGGGCTGTAGATTTTTCTGAATCCTCAAAAATCCACCTCTATGCAGGAACCCAATGCAACTTTGGAAGGAAACACATGCTTGATCAAATTTAAAGTCAATAAGATATTTTAAAATTTCTTAAACAAAATTTATAACATATTTTTTTTTTCATTTTTTGAATGTTTATACAACAAAGCAAAACTTAAGCCTGGGAACAACATTGACATCTCACGAGGCAGAGAGATACATTGACCTATTGACCTCAACATTTGACCCATAGTGACCCCTGATCTTTAACCTATACCCACCTGCAGATGCACCCTGACAAAGTCCTTCCTGCTTGTGAATTCATAGTTCTCCTTCATGATCAGGTACAGCAGGGCGCAGGCCTCGCTCCGTAGTGATGGAAGCTTGGAGTTCAGACACTTGAGAGTCTGTCAAGGAAACATCGCAAAAGATGAAAACAAAATATAGATGACAAAAAAAGGAAAAAATAAAACGATTCTCAATGGTTTTGTAATTCAGGCACTTTAGAAGGATCAAAAGCACATCACGAGTCAGGTCACACGTCTGGTCACACGTCTGGTCACACGTCTGGTCACATGTCTGGTGACAAGTTCATTTACAAGAAGCAGAGATGAACATTGACAATAAGGAATGCAATTTCATTGAAATACTCACTGAAAGACAGAGATCACCGCAGAGCTGTGCACTTCCCTTGAAGAGGGCCACCGGGAACTGAAAGAAAATCAACCAAATTATCAGTCACAATTTTTAAAAGGTGGAGCGGCAAAACGTTTCATCACTCTTCCATCCTCTTAATAATTAAAAGACATAGCCTAAAAAAAATGGCTTTCAGGTCTTACCTTGTGGACAAAGGATCGCAGCGAAGCAAAGACGTGTTTGGACAGGGATTCTGACTGACCAATCTTGATGAAGGACAGGAAGATGTCCATGACCTTACGCATGAGGGGATTATCACCATCGTCCATGTCCAGGTTGGGCTGGCACAAAAACAAACAAGTCACAGTTCAGTTTCAGGAATTTACAAGAGCTGTCTTGCATGAAGATGCAATAATTTCAGACGCTGTACTATGAAACTGGGTTTGTCATTGGTCCATAAGATATCCGGGACACCCAATCCCACTTCTGCAACCGATATAAGCCTTGACTTTCCAGAGCTGCTCTCACCTTGAAGGTGTTAAATACTACTTAAGCAATAACAAAAGTTTCTGATGAAAACTCCACGATATAAAATCTTTTCTACAAATGCTGTATTATGAAAGCTGGGTTTGTCATGGGTCCATAAGATATCCGCGACACCCAATCCCACTTCTGCAACCGATTTCAGCCTTGACTTCTTGACTTTCCAGAGCTGCTCTCACCTTGAAGGTGTTAAATACTATTTAAGTAATAACAACAGTTTCTGATGAAAACTCCATGATATAAAATCTTTTCCACAAATGCTGTACTATGAAAGCTGGGTTTGTCATGGGTCCATAAGATATTCAGGACACCCAATCCCACTTCTGCAACCGATTTCAGCCTTGACTTCTTGACTTTCCAGAACTGCTCTCACCTTGAAGGTGTTCAATACTATTTAAGCAATAACAACAGTTTCTGATGAAAACTCCTTGATATAAAATCATTTCCACAAATACTGTACTATGAAAGCTGGGTTTGTCACGGGTCCATAAGATATCCGGGACACCCAATCCCGCTTCTGCAACCAATTTAAGCCTTGACTTCTTGACTTTCCAGAGCTGCTCTCACCTTGAAGTGTGTGCAGTAGGTGCCCAGGACATCCAAGACGATCAAGCTCACCTCGGCAGACAGGTTGGATTCTTGGAGCACCCGTGGTGCACTTTCAGCCTCTGCCATAGCGGTAACTAAAGTAAAAATAATACAACATTTAAAATGACCTCAAAGTTCCCCAATTACACAAACAGTCCAGAAGTAGAAACTTCTTTGAATGTAACAAAAAGTCCCTAAGCTTAAAGTCTACGGTACATGTTTCCATAGCTCTACTCACGGACTGGTAGTTCTCCATGCAGAGATCTTGTCTGCATTGCTCTGGCTTTCGCAGCTGGAAGCGTCTTGCTCTTTTCTTCTATGTGACTGGTCGGTTTTTCACGCAATCTTAATGAAACAGTGGACAAAGTGTGTCAGAAATTCATGTGCAGACGTTTCTCTTTATTTCTTTCAGGGGGTGGGAGGTTTGCTCTACTCTGATAACGCGCTGAGCAGCTTAGCTTAATTCCCAAATCCCACTGTGCTAACAGTTCTTAGCATACGCGGTGAGCTTAGCTCTTTTTTGGGGCAGCACATACTGAAAAGCAGCATTACAAAGTTGGCCGGAGATATCCGTTTCTCATTCACACTACATGCACCCTAAATAGCATGCCCATGAATCACTTCAAAAATAGTGGGATTCAAAGCCTTAAGATGGGGAAAACCACCAGGAAACAATCGAATGTCACAGGTCATATTGCAGGACATACATGTAGTTAATATCAAACATGCTCATTCAGGCGCCTAGCCACGGTTTTGTTTGCCCGTTGCAAAATAGAATTAAACCCATTTTCACTGTTCCGATTTTGCTTCTATCAGCGTCCCGATTTTACTTTTAAAATCTCCATTCCGTTGCTATTTGCTACTCTGCACCCCCTCTCCCCTCCCCCCCCCCCCCCCCCTGGCTACGCCACTGTGCTCAGTCAAATATTTGTTCAATAATTTTCATGTCCATTTTCCTCTCAGGTACATTCTGTTGAATCATAATTTTGATAAAATGCACTTCGAAATTTCAAACAGAAGATCAATATGCTGCACAGGGCTTATTTTGCAAGCAATTTCTGCAGCAGACCTTTGCTTCTAAGAGTAAAAGTCCCGACTTGAAAGGTGCTTCAACTTGCTCTACGCATCAACTACACTTTTCTTTTATGTTTTTTGAAAGACAGCAACAGAAAGATACTTGACTTAAATACAAAATCTCTGAAGAATTTTCACAGGTATTTTGTTGAAAAGACATTCTTGCAGGAAACTACACAAACAATCAGGAAATCTTTACAGAAATGCACAGACATAAAGAACAGCACACTGCCAAACTCCACCTCATAAAAGAACACAAGAGTTATTTCTAGGCAAGTACAGGATCACATTCAAACATGCAGGTTCTGCTGAACATTTACACAAGGCATACAAACATCTTCACATACATGTACATACAAGTAAGCAATTTAACCAGCCAACAGGTACTATCCTTTCAATCTCAGTTTATACTGTCCACTGCGTTTGTTTCAATAAGTATTTTTACAAATAGGACGTTGCTCCTTTCTCTGTGGGCAAAGGAGATGCCTTAAACCTCCTTTATAATATACGTAAATCAGTGAAAAGATGAAGAGATATATAATGAAGAGATATAACAGAACTCAGTTCCTCCTATCCCAGTCTATATTCATTGACGCCAGTGATTTTCAGTTTTAAAATTGCTACCAACGTCATGCATTACCCACCCCACGCAAGTTAACCAAGAAACTTCAAGCACTACATTCGTTGTTGGCCTAACTACCTCCCGATAGGCACATACAATTTTCCCCCAGTTTGTTAGCTTTCAAAAGGTTGTCTATGGATGCAAGCCATGCATGTTTCATTAGTACCGCACATATACACACATTAACGCAGGCCAGACACACAATTCAAGCTCAGATCAGAATCGTTCGCTTACCATGGAGTCATAGGATTGGTCATTGATAGGACATAGAGAAACAAAATTCATAAAAAAGTGAAACGATTAGAATAGAGCTTCAACTTGTTACAAACACAAAACCAGGCAAGGCTACAAAACAAGGGAAACAAAAAATATAGAAAAGAAAGAAACAGGGAAACAGTTTGACAGATAAACAAGAAAAGACGCGATGCAGCAACACAACAGTCAAAACAAACAAACAAACAAACAAACAAACATAATACACTCATCCGAGGCACATAATTAAACAGTAACGCACTTGAGGCAAAACTCAAATAGCTTTACTAACATAACAAAAAAAAACAAATTTTAAAGCAAACTGGTTCCAAACAGCACCTCAGAAGTAACAAAAACACTAGACAAACCTCCATTTATTCTTGAAAATCACACATAACATCTCTGAGAAACCACTGAACATGTTTCCTTCATTGTGAGACACAGCTACTTAGCTTAGGGGTCCAGAGATGCATTGGGGAATAGATACGCAGCTACTAAAGAGGAACATGCTTTTGGGCCTTCTGAAGGTTTGAAGACAATTTTTGCTTGCTTCATGCAATTCGATGGCGTTAACGTGCACTGGGGCCCAGTTTTGAAGATGAAAGTTCGGACAAACCCAAGTTCACGCTTCGATCAGGGTGCAATTTTGCATTCAAAAATTGCAAAAAAATTTAAAAATTTAAAAATTATAACAATCTGTGTAAATTTATATCAGGCTCTCTATCCTTACTTTCCCCACATGATCTAAGAATACTTTTGCAGGAAAATGGAATCCGAGGCCATTTTTGAAACCTTGGTTTTATCTCTGGCTCTGACACCATCTCTGGATTGAGAATCATGTAGAAGCCTTCGCTACTCAAATACTATGTCGATACTGTGAACATAGGGTCAGATGATGCTGAAGTAAAAATCGCCTTGCATTGCATATTAAACCAGGGTTCCCCAAGTCACTCAAAGTCAAGAGAGTCAAATCACGAAGTTGAGGACTGCGGCCAAAGCAGGGACAAAACCGAGGTTTGAAAACCTCAGAATAATGGGGGACGGGGGAGACATGGACATAAAACACATACCTGGAAGCTATAATGTGCTTCTTGCCCTTGTACTGGAAATGAAACAGGCACATTCTACAGGGGAAAAAAAATAACAATTACAGTTTCATCATCTCTTGTAACAATGCAAAATTTACATTGAGAACTATGTACAATCCCTTCAGCTTTGTCAATAAAATGCACTTACAGTAATCAAGATGTACCGATATTGAAGTATTTATCATTCAGACAAATTTAGTTTTCAATTATCATTTTAGTTATTATTTTTGACAGGTCTTTTGAGACTTACTCTAAGACATCAAAGAGCTTGATCTGGTCGTCCTCACCAGATTTACTCCACCAGCCCAGCAGCACCTCTGCAAGAAAAATCATAAAGCAACCAAAATTATAAAACTCAACCCGTAGAGCATTCAATAAAAAGTGAATGACGTTTTTACACCCATACCAACTGCAGCTGAGGGGGTTGCACTCATGCAAAATGGGGGGTTTACTCATAAACCCAAAAAATCAGCAATAACAACACAGTAACCAGTGCTGTAGTTCCTACCTTCATTGACATTCTTGACAATGTACAGCAGGCATATCAGCAGATCCTTAATCTCATGGTCCAACAGCTTGTCGTACATGATGGTCGACTTGCTCCGTTGGTGGCCCTTCACGGAAGCCGACGCCGCGGTGGCGGTACTCCCCGTAATCGTAGACTGGGAATCGCTCTTCTCCGACGAGTCTGAAAGCAGAGAGGTGTGTGTGGATGAGGGCGCAATTCCCGACGAACCGCCATTGACCACAGACACAAACGGAACGCCACTACCACTACTGCTAAGCGAGCCACTAGAGCCAGTCCGGTCTAAATGCTCCAGTGGGCGAGGGTCGGATATAATGGGTGTACCTAGTTTTTGGATGGGGTAGGGAGGAGGGGAGGGAATGGAAGTGAAGATGAGAAAAAAGCAGGTGCAATGGTCACATAACAATGATGCAATGGTTGATAAACATACATGCGACAATTAAACAATGCTTACAATGATGTACATGGATAACAATTTGGAGTAACATTTATGGCTGATGAGTAAAACCACAATGGAATGTTGATGAGAAAGACTTCAAATTAATACACTTGTTAAAAAAACGTTCATCTTTTCGTATCATGAAGCAGCCATCTTGGCTTATTGAGACAACAGGCCATGACTGATCTAATTCAGGCATTTTGGCTAAGGCTAAGGCTTTGTGCAATGGATTTGATGCTGTGACTATCCATAGCCATAAATAAAAACAATTGCCTGATTAAGACCACACAGACACGCACTTGTGTCTTTCGCATCTATTTGGAAAGAGAATGTGCCAAAAGTTGCCAGGCTATGTCAACATTTCTCATGTTTATTTTATTTTTTTGGATGTCAATTGTTGAGTATAATTTCTGACTTTCCTTCCATGTTTGAAGTATAGATCAATATTTACATGCATTTTGTGAAATCTAAATGATAAAATTTATTACATACAACACCACAAGAAAATCCTGTTTTAGTAAATACATGTAAATGATTTTAACATAAATAGATTTAGCTGATCGTCATTAGCTGGGTTAAAATTTAAAAATGCATCATTTCATGTCAACCATAAAACCAAAACAACAAAAAATCAAAGCAATACATGTCAGGATGCCAATGCAAACAGAAAGCTGAAACAAAAAGAAAAACAATAACACGTCCAGAAGCATTCGGCATTCTGTCCACGCAAACAAAAGGCACTCAAATTATTTCAAATTAATTCAAAAGTTGAAACTCTTGATGCACATTTCATGCTTCTGGTCAACATACATACTATCACTCTTTAACAAGTTTAGGTAACTGCTAAGTATGTACATGTTCCACACACAATGTGGATGAACTGGGGGGGGGGGTGGTGAGGGGGGTCAAGGGGTGTCAAAGGGGGACATCCATTTTGGACTGGACCCTATTTCGTTAGGCTACAAAGCAGACAAAATGCTTACGAAATTAACATGCAAAGCAGAACTAGTTGAGAACCAGACAAGAGTAATGTACATCCCGTAACACTTAGAACATTGGTAACTACCTGTACTGATGCATACATGAATCTATGAATATACAACACAATTGTGTCACAAGGAAAACATAATAAGCAGATTTGGTCTTTTTGCTTTTTGGCTACACTATGAAGCTTTGTGTTAGATACAATATCAACAGTAAACATACTACTACAGATTCTCACTAGTAACAACAGTTAGCAGACATTAAAACAAACTTACAACAATGCAATTAGACATAAACAAAAATCTGCTTTAATATTTTGCCTCTATCTAAAAATCTATCTGTTTGCCCTTGTTAACAGAATTGTTTTCTTGATTTGTATCAGACACAGATGACACTGAAAATCAATGCATAACGTCAGAAATACATTACTAATTTCAGAGGATTTGGTTGTCCGGATATCGCATGCTTAAACACAATAGGTACAGTTCAGATGTCAGTGTTACATAACCAAAGTTTATAAAAGAGGAGCGAACGGGACTATAAATGACAGGTTTGGAATAGGCCGTTTGTCAGCTTTGAGAAAGTCAACAAATATTAAGATGAGAAGAAAAGAGGGAACAGGTTTTCTTTAAAACAAAATGACAAATGATTGTATGAATTGCTTAGTGACAGATGGAAACAATGCAATGACTATTTGCAGAGGGAGGGGTAGCAGAGAGTAGAACAGCACCAGATTTTCTACACTCGTAAAGCTTTGATTCCAATGGAGGGCTTGTCGGTGGACAAGGAGAACATGGAAAGAGGGAAAGCATGATAAAATGTACAGAAGAGCTCAGAATATTTTTCTTGAGAACAGTAATCTATCAAGACACTTCCACAAGTTCACAACAACAGAGGGCAATATTTTACACCAAAAGTTAATATAACCGAGGAGTGAAGCCAGAAGATTTTCAGCATTTTCCTATTTTTCTTGTCAATTTCCTGACTCCCTTAAGAACATTTTGGAGTTTGCTGTCTTTGGCAAGCAAAGGCAAAGACATCAAACAAATTCATACTTCTGCAAATTTTTCTTCATAATTTCTTAAATCTTTCTTCTAATTTCTAAAATTACCCAACACAGTTTCCAGTAACTGTAATGGCTTATTCCTCATTTTCACACCTTTTATTGGCTACACTCCTATAAAAAGAGTGGTTTCCAAAGTCGGACAGCACAAATACACATAAGGAAGCACAAGGTTGCCAGACTAAATCACTGGAGGAAACAATCCCAACACAAACAAACCTCTACTGGGCGTGACCATGAGAGTCGGTGACGACATGGTGGTGGTAAAAGTCACCCTCCCCGCGGATATGGTTGGGGACGGGGGCGGCTTGGACAGGGAGATCTTGCGGAATCGTTGGGTTGAGGGCGCTTTGAGCGCGTCTAGGATAGGTGAGTCGCGGCCGGAACTGGTCGGGGTGGGAGGTTGGGAGACACACGAGATGGGTGGGGAGGAACTACGATCAAGATTTTCTGGTTTTTCTTTGTGGGGGGGGGATGTGTTTTAGTTTTTAAAGGGGTGGTGATCGGACGGGCAGGGGAGAGGCAAGATGAGGAATCCAGTGGGCAGAGCAGCATGAAAATGGAGAAAGAGAGATGAGCGTAAGATTTTGCTGCGTAGACTAAATGATGTAAAGCAATCCATGATGGCTGGTATCGTCTGCACGTGCCTGCGATGGTTTCATGAAAAGCGTTATAGAATGGTGAATTTAATGATAGATTACCATGGTTACAGAATGGAAGGAAAGAGAGCTGTAAGAAAGATGTTAAAAGCTTATTTCGTGAAGCTAACTTGACATAATATGAATGAAGAGTTGGTTAATAGTAAATATAATGAGAAACCAATATAGACAGAAACAATTCATGGAGAGTTGAACAAAATTAACACAAAAATTGATTACAAATGAAAAATAAAACAAAGGGTAACAACCTGCGAACAATGAGATTGAAACGTAGGTTATAAATGAGTCATGAGTTGTGTCATGATATGGAACTGGGAACTCTCGTGACTGACAACTCGTCAAAATTTAAGAGGATTATGCAAACTTGGACATTGGATCCGAAGCACTTGACTTCACAAAATGCCTTGCTGGTGACTAGCAGTGGAAATACAGCCCGAAACTTCCCTGAGAAGCATGGTACAAATGTCATATTCTGTTCAATGAAAGGCCACCGCCACCAAACTTCCGAGTAAACTCACACATCAGAAGACTCCTGCCGCACACGTTTTAACAGACAAATCTCCAATGGACATCAATGGGCATGAATCAAATCAGAATGGTAACAAGACAACATGCATGAACAAGAGAAGTTGGAGGTTGCCTGAAATGACAAAAGCAAGTGTCGAACCACAGCCCCTGTGGCATGTCGTGAAAACTCTCTCCAGCATGTCGGAGGTAGAACCATTAAACACGAACATGGTGAATGGAACAACACGAGTAGCATTCGAACCAGGAATCTGAAATTCATGAACGCTCTGGCTGGCATGTTGTCATGACTGCCGGTGACAAGAATGCGTGGCAAAGTAGGGAAACGAACCACGACCACTGTGACAAGACATCAACCAAAGCAGGAATGCGTGTTTGGCGAACAATCCAACAGGCTTCAGACAAAGCATGGAGTGTCCGAATGACATTGGTGTGGACTTCAGTTTGACATGAAATCAGCTCAAATTGGAAGCAAACCTGTCAGTTTTGAAAGCAGACGATTAAAAGCCATCACTTGCGACTCGTAGTCCCTCTTCCGTTTTCCTGCGTAAGAACATTTTTGAAGTTTACTCCTTGAGAAGACTTTAAGACATGAAATCACTACAACGGAGGGGACCCCTACAACTGTTACAGCAGCCTTCAGTTTATCAATAGCAAAACTATGAACCCAACAGCAATTTACTTAAGGTATTCTTTCCTAATGTGGGTCCTACAAAAAGGAAAGATCAAGCCATTTCCAAATAATTAAGCATGACCGACCAGGTGACCAAGCCTTTTGCGCTCATTTGATATTCCAAAAAACAAGGGCAGTTCATGACTTGTGTCTTTCATGGCAATGCAAATGAAAATTGAAGTCCCATTGAGGATCTGATGATTAACAACTTAGGAAAACGGAAAATGGCAATCGCTAAGTGGTTTGCAATATGCAAATTAATGCTGAATTGGCGGGAAAATTTGCTCTTTTATTTCTTGTCCTATTTGGTTTTTTAATTATATGATTTGAAATGCCAAATTAGGATTGCTGCTTACGCTTGAATCTTGTCAGCAGTATATGTAATCACTTTAACCTACCCGTGACCTTACTTTGAGATATTCGTGAAAAATACCGTCGTTTAATGAATTGATCAGCTTTATCATCGGTTTGACCTGTTTTTGAAGACAATAATCCACCGAGAAATGGTTTGAAATGAACAGAATTGGTTTTAAAAATATGGTGACACAGAAAAATATATCCAAAGAAAGGATCAAAAAGTGTGCCACCTCCACAATTTCCAAATAAAAGTGATACTCGCGGATCTAATTGAGTAACAAACTAGGCCTAGAAGAATTTGTATAGCAGTGCACATGAGATTCCACATGGGTTAAGTATGACTGAGCCCTTTCTGTTGTTAGAGACCTCCACAAGTGAATTTAAGATTTGGGTTTTATTTCCTTCAACCTGAAGCATGGTTAGTACAAGATCCACAAGTCAAAACACCAGAGTGAGCTTTCCAAACTAACATCTCCGTGTCCAATATTCAAAAGATGTTAAACACCATCTGACCAACACGATTATCTCGTGACCTGATTCAAGAAGAAAGAAAACCAGATGAACTTGGGCGCAAGTTTCCACACCTTGATGGACAATGTGCGAGATCTGCATGATACACTCTCCAGTCAACAAAGTTAGTACATCACAAAGAGTTTTTGCAGTTAATACAGCCACACATTATGATTGACTATTTTTTTCTTCTAGTGACACATGATTTGACAGTTTCAGACAAATGTATGCAGTAGCCCTTCTACACCTTGTTAATTCTTACAGAGTTTTAGAGTGAGCAACTACAGCCAGGTATATGTGCCTCCAAAATGACCTTGTTTCCCAGGTGCGAGTGGATTTATCCACTGCGGAGGAAAAATGTCAGGAAACCAACCTTCTGGGGTTGAAGAGACCAAGCCGTGGTCCCCCTTGCCTACCATGCTAAGGGGGTGCTGCTTGCGAAACCGACGCGGGCTCGCGTCTCCTGGTGAGGAGGTGGGCGGGGTCAGGTGGGTTTGGGAGGAGGAGAGACCGGGTAAGGTAAGATGAAGGCTACGGAGGGTGTCTAGAGAACAGAAAACACGGGGGTGAGAGAAACATGCAAGGGGTCAACAACAAAAAGAAAAAAAGTAAAAGACAAAAAAGAAAAACAGAACGTAAAATAATAAAGACAAGATGCTTGGAGAAATCAATTAATCAAATAAAACAAAAGATTAGTAAAACTGGGAAACATATAAAAATTAGCATGCTGTAGAATAAAACAAGAAGAATGTTGTTAACTGGTAGTGGTAGGAAAACCATTTTGGGACCATTCTGGGATGTTATCATGCAGTTGAGGATGGACTGATGATCAACCTAAAATTCAAAGAACAATGCCATGCATGGAGATCAGCTACAAAGCCATGTTACTCAAATGAATTTGTAATTTTCATCGAATGATATATCCCAAACTGGCAACAACTGATATTGACCATCCCTTTTAATGACAATACAGATTCAACAGGTGAATAAAATATCAGAAACAACTCAATCTGCACTGAAATTCAGTCTGAATAAGGATCCTTTCATAACAACAAAAACACAGCCACGTAATTGTTCAATTTAGACTAGTTTGATTTTTTGACGGTCTTTATTTTTCCCCAGAATAAAAAGAGCAAATGCGAATGTGTTAATATTACTTTACCAGCCTGTCAAAACAAATCTTAGTTAATAATCATGCGGGGAGTCTGTGCAGGGTAGACATGCATTCACTGGAGGCAAGCAGCTTCAGATGTCTAGAAATAAAAACAAATCAATGAAGTCAAAAATGAGGGGCAAAATTTGTCATTAGAATTTGGGTTTCATGCTAGCCAGGGAGACACATGAAGGGAGATGGTATTTTTGCATGCAAGGGTAAAGCTTGGGGTCTGTCCAACGCCATGTAGGCCCAATGAGATAATTCACGACTGACTTTGTCATTACTTGAATAACCCAGTCAGCCTGTGGTGAAACAAGAAGGGATCAAATATCTATGTGCCTACCCTGTCTGTTAATTACAAAGACTGTGAAATTACATGCATTTTGTCCAGCAATCATGGTTGAACAAATGCTGTAAAAACTGATGCATTAAAATGATGTAGGCACTCCTGATGACCAAACTGCGGAGCTCAGTTTAATACCAAGAGTTTGTCGAAATAAGGGAATAGTTACGGAACAGAAAAACCAGGGCAGGAGACTCTTACAGCAAGGACCAACCTAAGGAATACTATCTAAAAGTCCAATAACATAAACACTTCTCACAAAGAGACAAATTTCCTATCCCTAACCACCTTAACTTCACAAGTAAATACATTTTTACTTCTTATTCAGGCACGTAAATAAACAACTTTGTGACTGAATTAAATTTATGCATGGGGGTTACTGATTCTTTTGTAAACTGAGTTAGCTGCATTCGCATCACACAAATAAATCCTTTATGATTAAAACAAAAACTGTTACAATTATATAGCTTGGGTTAAAAATTGTTTTTGATCATACATGCTTTCTATTAGGATTAATAGCATGTCAAAGAAAACTCCTATTGTGATTTTTACAAATTACAGATTTGTCCTGTTACGCTGGTACAAACCCTTATATCACTAAATAAAGGTTTTCTGAATATCTAAAATACTTCCTACTTCAACAATCTTCCTACATAATCCGAATTGCAACATTATTTGAAATAGCACTAAAGTCAATGCTAACTAATACGGCAGTATTATTTCAATCTTGAGCTACAGGAAATGAATCTATTGTTATGCAAATCAAAATGAGATTGTTTTATTAGGCAGCATGGGCTTGTTTGTTGGTGAGTCAATGTCTCCAATGATGACGACCAACCTGGCATGCCCATCCAGGACAGACGATTGGCTCGCGTGCTGCTGCGGTCGGAGCGTGTACTGCTGCGATCCGATCTGCCGGACCCGCCCCGATCCGACCGGCTGACCTCATTGATGGACTTTGTGGACGCGGATGAAATCTCGGACAAACCTGTGTGTGTGTTTATGACCAGGTCATACATTATTCATGACCTGTGGTGTAATTATTCACGATTAAGTCATATATTCATGACCTGCTCATACATAATTTATGAGCAATTCTTATTAACTCAGAGCTGTGAATATGAGATGCATGTCATTAACACACCCTTGTCATACATATTCATGACCACTAATTCATTATTCATGACTAGTCCATTACTGCTGAACCGCTGCTGAAATTGTCCATCCGTTGGCACCTGTTGGCACCTGCTGAGGTGCAGTAATGGTCTTCCTAGAGCCTAAGAAAAGGATTACATTAAACAAGTCTTGCTTATTGGTACCTTCACCTGCAAAAAAATTAACTGAAGTTCAAGTTATCGTGAAATGCAAATCAACTGCTATACACTACAGATCCCATTCTGAAAAAAAGGTTCAACATTTTGTTTTCATTCAAACAACCTTACAAAGCAATAAAATACAACTAAGCAATACATTGAGAAATACATGTTCTTCAAGAGTGCAAGAATGACAGAAAGAGAGAAATGTACAGCTGGAAAAACAGAAATAGAAAAAGAGAGAAAAGTCGAACACCACTTTATACCATCATGAATATACCATCACATTTACAATTACAGAAGAAAGTGCTATGCCTCTGCAAAAAAAGAAAAAAAAAAAAAAGACACAATTTACAGTGTGCTCTTATCCACTTTGTGGAACATTCAGGAGCCATTCAGTATACTAACATAGCTGTATCTGTGCAATGTGTGATGTGCAGAGAACAGCTAAGCATTATCTGTGTTCGACGAACATTCATTCAGTAACAATAGTCTAGACATTCAGCATACATGTATGTACATGTTTTTGTGCATAAGCAAAAAGAAGTGGGCTCTCTCTGTGTGAATAAGTCTAGTCTGTGAATCTAATTTCTCATTCAATGATAAAATGTGCATTTTTTGGAGTGCTAGTAAGGGTAGCAAGTGACAATGGTCTGAAGAGGCAAGACCGATACTTCAAGCCGTCAGGTAATAGCTAAAAGTCTTGATTCTGAAGCAATTATTAGCTTCTCCATCTTCCGGTAACTGATTTCTTTATCTGCTGTTATTAATTTCTTTATCTGATGTGACCCCCCCAAAAAAAAATTTGTAATGAAATTCTCCGACCTATTTTTTGCATTTCTAACATCCCTGACGTGGTGCCGGACAAATTGGCTACCATAAAGGGATGTGACAGCAAAGGACCAATGGAAAACCAATGCTATACAGGGTGACCTGGAATAATGATTTTTGTTTTCTTAAAAAGAATTGTATTTACAAGAACGGTAATTGAACAGTGGTGGACAGCTGAATTTTGTGATCTTTTGATTAAAATAGACATAACTTGGGAACAGAGTACCAGTATGCAAATTACCTGCAATTTTCACAGTTACTAGTCAATTACATGTACTTTCTCAGTATGTCATGTTCATGAAATGGAGCAAGCCATATATTTTTTACAACATTTTTTCGATTTCGGTTACTTTCTTTTTGACTCGCACTGTATAGAATTTAATGTGTTTTTTTTAAATCTTGTCATACACTTAGCAAATCAAGTCATTACAGTGACAATTGGCGTCAAAACGTCTCTTTACAATATACTACAAATGTCCACAAGTAAAAAGTGATTGCTCAACGACACACATATTGTGCACTCTACAAGAATGAAAAGCTGAAACGAGCAAAAAATGGTGAGCGACTGAAGAAAAATGACAGAGAAATATTGTTAACCAACCTCCCGCGCTCATCCGTCGGTTTTGCTGATTGGTTAAGCCCGGAATCGACGTGGAATGCCGCACTCCTGTTCAAGGGGGTGGAATAGTGGTTCAGAAGTTTATGATTGTGAGGTGACAATATTAGTGCGATAAAAATGTTTACAAAGAAATGATAATCATTAAAGAATTTGTACGATATTTGTTTTTGTATCTGTATTGGTCTTGAAATAGTGAACTTGTTAGCCAGCTAAGAGTTTTGCACAAAAATGCAAGTTAGAAAATAAAAAAGCTTGACTCAGCCCTTTCAGCCCATCCCTGCTGCATTAATGGAATATTCCAAAAAAAATTAACTACTCAAAAGTATCACATTTGAAAGAAAGCCAAACTTTCCAAATGGACAAAATTCAGAGTTTGGAATATTCCAAGGTATCAAGGAAGCAGATTCTTTTTTTAGTAAAGTGCAGCTGAAGGAAATTGAAAGTGCGTCTTGCAATTAAGGATAAGGAGCAAGATTAGTGAGTTAGTTTTAGGCAGGTTGTCAAAGGTAAAGCGGACATTTGAGTGTGCCTTGAACAACAATACAATGACCAAAACTATATATAATTTCAGTTGCTCTAAATCATCCGCAACCAAGCATCTGAAGTCTTCAAACAGAAAAATGAAGAATCTTCAATTTTCCCTTTTTTCATATGGTTTGAATTTGTCACGTTTCACTGATAACAATACAAATTGTGACCAATATATTAGAATTATTTTGCAAAAATTTATGGGAAACACTTTTTGATAAACATCGTTTTCATACAAACAGTAAAATAACAGAACACCAAAATAAATTCTATATCAACAGAAGCAACAAAAGATAACAATACATGTTCATACAAGACATCAAAATAAAGAGACATTTCGCAACATTTACAAGTGTGGTTATGCGGCAAATTAATTGCGAATTTTGCAGACCTACAAACTGTATGTTAGCATTCACAATGCATTGCATAACTCAAAAGGCGAAGCCAGCAAAGGAAACATAAAATCTGGGTGAGAGGGAAAACTTCCAAAGAAAAAGTGGAAAATAAATGGCCAAAAAAAAACAACAAAAAATGGCGGAAGTCAGCTTGATTCATGCACATGTTGTCATTTCTCTTGTTGAATGTAAACTGACATGACTGATAGTGAAACTTGATTTGAAAAAGTTGTTTTCTACTTAACAATGCAGAAAAAAATTTACATGGCAAGAATATGCCAAAAGTAATTTTCACTAAAGTGATTTCTTTCGTCAGATTTAGAGAAGATTCTGAACTGTTATAAAAAAAATATGTGAAACGTTGGACCAAAAATGGAAGATAAAAAAAATGAAAAAATGACTCAGATGAGAATATGATGACGATGCTTGAAGATGCTGAACACGTTTCCCTGGCAACTGATCATAACAGAACACAACAGAGCACTGGAGGGATCGTTTCGATTCATGTTTCAAATAAACACGATAAACTACATCTTGTAATAAAAACACTATTAGTATGCAAAAAGTGAATTTTTATTTTATAAAAAATTCACAAATTTTTCATGATCCCGAGAATAGTGCTCCGTTGTGTTACGAGTCGCCCAAAATTGAGTTGGTACACAAAACACACATGGGAAAGAAGAGAAAACAAGACAACCAAAAATGTCCCGCAACCAAGGCATATACACACAACCATTCGGCGAACCAACAGACATGTTGAGAAAAATACCCAGTCCAATGGTCTTGACATTGGAGGTGCCGACACTGAAGGAATGAGCTGGCGAGAAAAATACCCACAGTAACCGCAAAAACCCCAGCAAGGAAAGACATAAAAAATAAGGGAGGAAAACGTCGGAAGATAATGTTATTATAAAGGAATGCAGAGCATCTTTGGGAAGACTGCTGGCTGAAAAATGAAAGCATCCTTTGAGAATGGTTAATATACTACTTCAGACGAATATCTGTTGACTGAGTGATTATTTTGAATAGTCGAGTGGCGGCCATTTTGATAGAGCCATTTTGAAGATATTTCTTAGCAAATGTAAATCGATTGAGAACCGGTCATAAGCCATATACCTCATATTAAATTTGGGCTCATAACATGCTCCTAATTAGTATCAATTTGTGCAATATCACCAGATGAATGTCTTTTCAAATTCAGATGGCAAACTCTTTTTGGAAAGAAAGTAGTATCCTGACGCCACTTCTTTGGTTGCGTACAAAGTCTATGGAGAGTCAAGAGCACTTTTGAAGCTTTTTTTAACAAAATTGGAAATGTTTCTCAGTCCCAGATTCATGACTTTTTCAACATTTTTGCAACAACTGACCTTCATTTGAAATGATATGATGAAAAAAGTGGCATCAGGATGCAACGTTATTTCCTTCTTTTTTTTCAAGTTTTAGCTGAGCTGCACACTGGCAAGGCCCTACAAGTCAGATGTGTGAATTTCATACTCAGTCACAGATATTTGTCTTAGAACTTTATTTAGGTTATTTTTTGTCTAATTTCTGAAGGCCGCTACACCATTAAGCTGCTTCATTCACCTGCTTTCTAAGAGAGGAATCATTTTAGTGCAGGTAACGCATTTTGCAGGATATTTAAAGTTAGTAAATTTCAAAATAATGAACAATAATGCTATAAAACAATTATTGAATTAACATTAAATAAATTTGTTTATGAAACCACCATGTACTCAGTATCAGTTAACATTTCTCAATGCAGTAAAATTTCAATACTTAAGGGTTAAACCTTTCAATCAAATTTTCCATTCAATCATTCGTTAAGTTGCAAAACCTCAATCCAACCAAAAAACACCAACTTTCAGTTATTAAATGATTCTTTTTATTTTTGGAAAATGCTCAAATTCCAAATGCATCCATGCAAAAACTTCATTAATGTCATGGTTATTACACTCATAATAACGATTATTATTTTAAATTTTCCAGTTTAATTTTTGTCACATAACTTGCACCACAAAAATGCTTGTTTTGTGCTTTGCATAAAAATACATGAAAAACGACCTTTGTTTGTGGTCAAGGCTAAATTACTCGGCTACGACTAACAAGAACACACACATCTATGGGACATGGCTGCAGCCGCTTCCATAGAATATGTGTAATTATTAGCCACAGCCAAGTCATTCAGACACGGCCTGTTACACCCCAACAAACTGAGTGAATAAAAAAAAAGATTTCTCACCTCTGCCCGCAATCATATCAAGCACGGCCGAGTCCCTCTGAAGTGATTTGGTCTTGGATGAACCCGTCACACTGTTGCTTCTGTCAGTCCCCGGCGAGTCCGTGAGGAGAGAACTGGTCGACAGGGCCGATATGTCGAACATGGAGTCGCCGTTCATGGAGGCGGAGCCAGGAGTGGGTGGGGCCTCCCTGGTTAGGCGGGGGGCGTTCTCCAGGATGATGGCGATTAGTGGGAGGTAGAGGGCCGCGATACGGGCCTGGTATTGCTGCCATAACAACCACAAACATTGTGAAAAAAATAAGATGTTGTATGCTGAGACAATCAAATATAAAAAAAAGATCGGTAAACTTGTCCTCAAACAAAGAACCTTCATCTGCTTTCAATCTCGACATCTGTTTTCAATCTCGACACCTGTTATCAATCTCAGTTTGCGCTTACCTTTGAAAGAAAGCGATCATCAAAGCTGTGTTTGGCTAGCAAGTTCCTCAAGACACGGATTCCGTTCTGCCGTACTTCGGTGACGTCGTGCAGCCCTGAGCCGACCTCTCTCAGTAGGAGACCGGTCAGGAAATGGTTCTGGCAGTACTCCTCTGTCAACTGGTAATCGTAGTGGAGGTCTGAACCACCATTGGGCAAAAGAAAAGAGTTAGGTATGAACAAATGTACGTTTGTCAATGTTGGAGTTGAGGTACATGGACTTGTGATGGTTCACAAGTCCATCACAAGTCATGCAGTCCCAAGTAAACTCACAAGCTATTCAAATGAACCATGACAAAGGCATTCCTTGAACTCGAGATAACTCCGTAAAGCCAAGTATAACTGTGCAAAACCTTGAGGTAAACCTGGAGTTACCACCCATTTAATTTGGCACTCTTCCATTTTTATTTGTCCCCTTTTATCTGTGACTGGACTTTTCATTTTGACTTGAGATTTACTTCTGACCGGACCATTGATGGACTTTTGATCCATCACAACGACCACAACTACATCGCTTATTCTCATCAATTTCAAGGCGTGAGACACTTTCCACACAAACCTTTTCCTTCTTTCTGCATCGTCAAACTAGCTTTAAAACTTTTCAGGACCACACTACAAAGACAGTTGCCACACCACCGCAAACGTTACATTTGAAAGTGACTGTGGACAGTCAACTGCCACTGCTTTGTAGAAACACACGAGCAAAAAAAAACAAACAAAAATAATAATTTCTGCAAAACCCACGACATTGTGAATGATTTGCAATGGATGACGCCTTCATGATTTATGTTGCTGAACATTATGATTGATTATGAAGGGTGAATGTTTATGTCGACTGTCTTACTTTACCAAAACTGACCATCAACTTTAAGTGGCTCTAGCTTTTACAATTAAAGCCAATGCAGACTCGTTTAGCTACAGAAGTGAAAAAAAATCATGCACTTGTGCTATAGGTGCACCGTGTTACTAAGTGCAAATAATACAGAGATCATCTTAAAATTCTTGCAACAATAGGTGCCACTGATAAAAAAAATCACAAGAACTTCAAATTAATTTTAAGATGTTCTCCATCCACAACTTACAGCAATGTGCAAAATAACATGGCGACAACCAACCTTTATACTGTTCTTTGGCAGGGCGGATTTGCACTGTAACCATGGAAACGGGGATGCATCGGAGAACGGGGGGAAAAATAGAAACAATACAAGAGTAGAAGGTAGGTAGTGCTTCGTTGCTGCATCATGCAAGATTAAAAATTAATGCTGTGTTTAAGGAGCCAATTTTAGGATTTTTTTTCTTGCAGGAAGTGTAAGTCAAGGTGGACTTTTTCCAGAAAATTCAGAACATTCCAGAAAGTTAGGGGTTACTGAATCCAGCAAACTGATATTTTAAAAAGGATAAATTTAGTTAAAATCACTTCTGTGTAGTCTGGCGGAATGCTTCAATGTGATTAGGGCAGGAAAAGCATGCCGGACAGAAGAAACGGCGGTATTTTATGAGCCCTGCAGGTTTGACGGGGTGAATCGTCCAGCATTCCGCCTGCTTGAGGTTATTATAGACTGATGTCTCTGTATAGGTTTTTGTGGTTTATTGCTGTGAGTTTGCAATCCTTCCTTCTTTGCACACATTTTTTTTTGGGGGGGGGGGGGGTTGCAGAGGGTTGCATTTTAGGATTTGTGGGAGGGGGCACAGCTGCAAAGCACCTGTTTCTCTATGTACAATACCAATAATATTTTTGAAAAACCTCCACAATGAGAGTCTAATTTTGTACATAAAAATAATGCATTTAATTGCATGCTTCAGATCAATCCAGTCCTATCATTACAAAACTAGACCCAAAAAATGCTGCTTAAAATGGTGGAAAATTTCAATTTTTGTTTTATTAAAAAGAACATGCATCAAAAGAGATAGCTTAACAGATGTTGCTCCCCAAAATAATAATTTTAAAAAGAAGTTGCATCAAAAGAGATAGCTTAACAGATGTTGCTCCCCAAAATAATAATTTTAAAAAATCGGATCTACCAACTTCTATGCTACATCTCAATTCTAAAACCAAAAACAAATATCAAATTTTATTTTTTTATTATTCTGCCACTACTTGACTACTGAAGGCCAGTGTGTTGCATCCTCACCATATTTCCGCATATTTCCCATGTAGGCTGTGATTTGAAGCGTGGTTGTGTATGGATTGAGGGGGGAAAAAACAAAACGGGGGAAAGCGTTAGCGAGCGGGATCACAACAACAGCAAATTTTGCAAACACTGTTAAGCTTCTGGTCAGACATAGAGATTAAAGATATTTAAGTACAACTGTCAATAATACCCCGATAAAACAAAATTTCTTTCAGATTTGCGGTCCGTGGATTCCGATTTTGACAGTGAAAGCCACTTTGTAAAGTATTTGAAGCTCAAGTATTTTGTTAATTTGCTGTCTAAGGAACGTCAATTCTCAGCTAACATTTGCAATCATACTGCACTTCTTGGAGGAAATAAAAGGCAATTCCTTTAAAGCAGCGAAAGGTGAAAAATGAAAAATTCTGGGCAAATGTGCTGCTTGCGTACTTATTTACTCTTACACTATTCAGCAAAAACAATTTACCACACACAAAAATTTGCTATTTTTCAGAGATTTTCTGAAGCTACCAATAAAAGAATAGCTTTACGCAATTGAACACCAACCATCACACTTTGAAATATTGAAGTATAAGCGACTACAGACTGACCATTGTGTCAAAGGTCACACTACCAGGAGTACTACTAGTGTCTATGGCTATGTCTAAATTAATGGCTACGGCTGGCAGTTACACACAAGCCTATGGAAGCAGCTGAAGCCACTTCACATAGGACCGTGTGTTACAGACAGCCATAGCCATGTCAATTCAGTCAAAGCCGGACTACAAACGGCTAAGGCTTGAGGGACTGAGTGTACATACCACTTGCCACGGCTGAGCCGCTGGTGCCTATTAGTGTCAGAATGAGTGCAAGATATGAGAACATCAAGAACCAGACATGAAGCAAGTGGAGTTAATGGCAAGAAGGTGAAAAAAATTAAAAATATTAGAAGACGATATGTTAAAGATACATAATGAAATCCCTTGAACTGAATGTAATGTATGATTGAATATAAGGACTGTTATGATTGTTGAGAATGATTGCTGATTATGTTACTTGGATGTGAATTTGACTGGCCTGTGGTGGTTCATGTTTAGAATGACCACTGGATAAAATGGAAATTCAAACGATGGCCATTTTTTTTTACATATACTGATTTTCTGATACCAGTTTCGCTTTCAAAAATCGTTAAATAAATGTGAAATAAAGAGATTTTAGTCCAATTGAGGGGATGGAAATATTTTTCTTAGCATTTTGAAATTAGGGACGTTATTTACAATGAATAAACTGTTTTCTTCCTGAAACTGGTTCCTCATTTCTTATTCCATTACTAGGGATGAGAAATGGGGGCAGGAATTGGCAAACGGAATAGGAAAAATGTATGGAGATAATTGGGAATACAGAAAGGAATAAGGAAAACTTATAAGGAAGGTATACATGAATAAGGAAGAGTGATCTGGCAACTAGAGATCGGAAACTAGTAAAATGGGAAAATAAAATATTGTGAAGGAAATATGGTCACGGAAATATGGTGAAGGAAATATGGTGATGGAAGTATGGTGAAGGAAATGGATAGGAACTTATGAAGGATTGAAAATAAAGGCACTGGAATATGGAATAAGGAAACCAACTACGCATCATCGTGAAGACAGTTTTTAAGGAACTCATCACAGTCTTTTAGTTTCAATTTTTTTTATCAGAATGAAGACTCAAATACTTCATACTTGCATGAAATTTACTAACACATAAAGCAATTTGCAAAATAAAACAAACTTAAAATCTGCAATTGAGAAAAATATTCTTCTAGGACAGAAAAGTGAGGCCCTCCTAAGTTTTTCAAAACAAAATTTCCTGACAAATTTGCTGATTTAAGCATTTCCCGAATGGGCTATCTCATGAAATATGTTTTTAAAATAAATTGAACAAGTTTTCTTTGGGAAGGACTGTAGAGTTTTTTTAGTCTGAAGCTACTCACTCTTGAAGTTCTTTCCGGATTGCTGGCCCTTCTTCTGCAAGGGGAGGTTCAGCGCAAGGTAATGCTCATAGCTGCACAAAACCCGGATCATCTCAAACTTCATCTCAAACACCGGCTGGTCAAAGGTCACACCAAAAGGTTAAAGGTCAAAGATTAAGGGCCAAACACCATACAAATCCTAACGGAGCAGTTCTGTGTGTAAAGACTAATTGAGCACCCTTGTATCACTTTTTTTTACAATGGCAAACTCATTGTTCGGATAATCTGTCTTGGGACATTTGCTTTGTGGGCAAGTCCAAGAATTCATGCACGCTATGTCCCATACGTAACTAAAGTTTAACCCCCTAATATATTCATGGATTTCAGTGTTTTTTATTTTACTGTTGGGCATCTGCAAGGAGAATTCCCACAAGATTTTTTATGTGATTGGGCTTTTCGATGATAATGTAATTACAGAAAACATGGCGTTACACATGGGACCTTTTCTTGGACATACCCTCATACGACAGATGGCACAATGTTTTTTTTGTGACTGAGTGGAGCTTACAAGAATGCACAGTGGTAGCATGCTATGATTGGTCTACGGTGGCCCACAAGTGGACACATGAGACATTTTCTGCCCAAGTCTTTCTCTCACCAATGAGGTACTTGCACACAGTTCCATTGGCCTTGATGCAAACTGTCACGAGTCTTATTATAAGGTTATTACTCTCATCCTATCCAATTCCAACATTATGTAATGTCCGTGACAAGGCTTTGAAGAGCTCAGCAACTAAACCCAAATTTCTTTTTAAAATCTTATACATCCATCATCTACCGTAGTAATGGTCAAGGAGATTACAGACCAGGAGTTTTGAATCATTTCTGGGAATCAGTAATCAGACATCATGGTTAATTTGGCTCAGTCACGGACTTACACTTTCTTTCACAACACTGGAATTGTCGGCCTGTTCAATGAGCAAGATCATGCTTACCTTCGGATCATCGGGGCTGAAAAAACCCATGTAGCAATTGACGAGGCGGAAGACAAACCCTCGATCCATGTAAGTGAAGCAACGCTAATTATTAAAACAATAAATAATTACAGTCAATGAATTTGGTGGTTTTTTTCCAGATTAACCCTAGCCTTCCCAATTCCATCAAAATCCTTCCTCCCCATTTTGGGGGGATTTTGGCAGATAAGCCATGTGTACCAAGTCCATCAAAATCCACCTATAGCAGTAGTGGATTTGTGGAGGATTTCGGCGAATTTGGTCCTGAAGCATAATGTCAAGAAAAGTCAAGAACATTTCAGCAAGAAGAGTCAAGAACATTTCAGAAGCAGAGTCAAGAACATTTTAGAAGCAGAGTCAAGAACATTTCCGAGCCTTTTCGCGGCAGATACCCCTCTCGGCTCACCTTGATGAAGTTGGCCAGATGGAAGTTGGCGTCCTTGGCGTCCTGCCGCTGCCTGACGTCCTGCTTCTGCAGGATGTGGGGCATTAGGGTCTGCACCAGGTTACGCAGACCCGTCTGAAAGTTGGTGGAGAAACGCTTGATGCGGCTGAGATCGAGCCTGCTGCCCTTGATCAGGTACTGGGCCATGCTCTTGATTATGATGTTGAAGAAGAACCACATGTGCTGAAGGAAAAATCGATAGAAATGACCGTTGACGTAAGACCTACTGGTACTGCCTCTCTCTAGAACTCACAATTCCAAAGAAATACGAACAGATACCTCCTATTCTTTTCTTTTTTAGTTTGTAGCCCGAACCTCTAACAAAGCACTGAGCATATCAAGCTAAAACATTACTTTGGTAAAGGGCAAAGCCCACAATTAAAATTTACGGTGTCAGTTTGTTAAAAAAAAAACTATCCATACGTAGAACTTAATTTTTTCATCTCTTGCCTATAAAGAGCATTACATAAGCTGTGGCATCTTCTCACTCTTGGTGACCCCTATTTAAATCCCATCAAAGCTCAAGGGGCTGCAATGAAGGCTACATGCTACTTAATGTACCTTCATAAGACTCTTGATGACTTGGTGGTCCGTGCTGGGCCGTAATGACATGGCCAGGTTCTTCACAAGCTCCTCATGAACGGTCTTCTGAAGTTCCGTTTCCTTCCCTGTCTCAAATACGTACTGTAAGAACACATTTTTAATCAAAGGTACATTGAAGTCAAGATCAAAAGGATAAACGGTATTAAAAGGTTTAACTAGCTTACTTTCTGTATCACTTTAAGTACACAAAGCCTCGTCAGTGAAAGGCAGGACCCAATATTGAATGAGCTGACTTGAATAATCAAGTTTTGAACTTTGCTGTAACTTGGTTTTTGTTTGTTTTAATAAAATCAAACATTTAAACTCAAACAATAATAAATTAAACAAAGTGTTGTTCTGCTAGCTACAATAGAATACCAAAGAGTGATGTCATCTGTTCTGGTTCATGCGCTGGTTAGCGCGTTTATGTCAACACACACTTAAGCTATACGCGTGACCCAGAATACACAGGAAAACTTTGTTACTCTATAGTACCATTTATGATGAATAAACACGAAATACAACAGGAAAAAAAGAGAGATTAATATTTGGCAAATGCAATGGTGCTTGCCTTGACGTATGAGTAGAGTACATCCTCCCTCCCAACTTCATGGACTTGAGACACGATGAAAACAATCAGCCTAGAGCAAAAGAAACACACTAGATGTGTAAGATGAGGTTTTGAAAATAACAAGCATTTCAGTAACTCAATCTAGTTCAATTGCAGAGATGAGATTGGGTGAAAATGAAATGAAAAATACACAAATAATCAGCAGAGGGGCTGAGGGTCGGCGAGGGTCTGTGCTATATGTTTGTATTTGCCTAAAGGTACCCCTAAAAATACTCACTTCTTTGTTCTATATGTGATGCGATCAAGCTAAATGAGTCGTTTGTCGACCCTGGTCAATTTTTTTTTTTTACAGATTTGAAAAGAGCACAATCTCAGCATTACTGCTGTGAAAACCGCATGCTGGTACCAGTATGGTATAAGTAAAAGCACATTTACGGTAGTAAATTCTAGTTTAGAAAAGGTTGTTTTTTTTATCCTAAAATCAGGAAAATCCTTAATAAATAATCCGGAAATCAAAAATAATCCTTACAAATCTCACTCCTGCCATTGATCAATCCATTAATATCACAACAAATTCATTCCACTTTCCGGTCTTCTTTACAAAATGATCCTGTATACATTGTTCTTAAATTGAGCACATTTTGTCGAGGATGAACTAGGCTTTCTTGAAATCCACTAAGCTAACCTGACAATGTTGAGTTGCACCCCGTCCATCATAGCCATTGGCAGAATGCGGAAAAGTTGGTTCAGTATCACAGGCAGGAACTTGATCAAGGCGTCCGTGTCCACTGCATGCATGGCCTAGAATATATCAATTCAAAATATCAATACATGTATAATGATAATAATAATGCGGTGCGTATATAGAGCTTTATACCAAAGGTCTCAAAGCGCTTCACAATTATTACCCCTGTTCATCAGGCCATGAGCCTTTTTATCTGCCGCAACTTGAGATCAGCCCAATCTGGTCTCTACCTACGCAGGTACCCATTTATACTCCTGGGTGGAGAGAGGCAATTGTAGTAAAGTGTCTTGCCCAAGAACACAAGCACCGAGTTCCCCATCGGGGTTCAGGTCATGAGTTGAACACCGTGACCGTTGGACCACGGCGCATTGATCTTTATCTCTATCTGTGGTGGAGTCTGGCCTAGTTGTTGGGGCTTGTGACTCATGATCAGAGGGTCAGGGGTTCGAATCCAGCTGCTGGCTATGTGTTGTGTCCTTGGGCAAGCCACTTCGCCCCCACTTGCCGCTCTCCACCCAGAGTATAAATGGGTACCGGCATTAGCTGGGGAGTGACCTGCGATGGACTGGCTATCCCATCCAGGGGGATAGAAATATTCTCCGTTGTTTAGCAGGCCCGATGGGCCATATTGGCTTGTGACAGACTTTGCCTTACTTTACATGTCAGTACAGCCATGAAAATACGGCCCTGCATACATCAATGCATGCTGTGCTCGTATATAGTTCAAAGTCAGATAATACTATTTATTTTTTTTAATCTAATCTATTTTTTTTACCTTGATGTACTGAACCACTGAATCAGTGTTCTTGCTGTCCCAGTTCTCACATGAAGCAAAGAAGTTGTGAAGATGATGGGCCTGGATGAAACAAGCACAAAAACCAATACCAATGATTAACCCTCAATCCCGAGCTATTTTTATAGGTAGGGTAAGCCCACACCATCAACATTGATTCACATTATTACTGTAAATAGATCAAAGAATAATTCAAACAAAAGAGAATGTGTTGAATGAACAATTCATTGATATTCTGCAAGAAATTAAAATTCAAACTTCATAAAGAAAAATATTTCGACTCGGATCTCGACTTTAATCAAACCAATGATTTGGGGTAAATATGCAATAACTTAGTTGAGTCGATGCTGATGAAGTAAAGTGTTTGAATGTGTTAACAACATCTTACATTTTGTAATTAAGTGGAATCAGTAGATTTAAATGATTAAAATGACCCTCAATCAATTTATTTGGCCAAAAATAAGATTTTTTTCAAAAAAAGTGATTTAAATCAGTGATTTCTTTTTAAAATCATTCGATTTAAATCACAATATAAATCAGCCAACCCTGATCTGAATAACTAAGTAATGCATACCGTTGTGTAGATGGTGGATGCCAATCTGATGTGGACTTTCAGCAGCTGTTTCCCTCCATCAACAAGTTTCAAATCCAGCTACAAGAATATAAATTAGATTTCCATAGTTTTTCTTTTTTTAACTAACAAAGAACTATTACAATGCCCAATGCACAGAGGCACCGACAGCTTTGAGACCAATCGTCCAGCTCAGGCAGAAGACAGCTTCATGGTCCAACCCTCCCTTTGACCTCAACTTGTGACATTTACCTGAGAGTGTGTGGCTCATGGATTGGACTTTTGAGTCATCGGCGGAGTCACCTTAGGCATCTTCTACCTAAAACTTGATAACTTTGTTTTTCCTGTGGAGAACATCTTCCTTAACCTCGAGGGATCACCTATACAATGCCCTACCAATCCCCTGCCGTAGTTGTTCTCAATCCACCCGACACTTGGTCAAGCAGAGCTTGATAAACAGAGTACGGTTTTGCTTTCCCAAACAAAAGAATAAACACTTTATATTCCAAGCAATAAGGTCGTAGGAATAAATGATACTAACCTTTCCCATGCCCTTGCTGCCCAGGTAGCCTGGTGGTAGGTTGGAGGACACGCATACCGACAGATCACCACAGTTGGGTCTGTTGGGTGGAAGACACAAACCAAAACATTGAGCAACAATGTGTAATGTGGAGGTTGGTGACATTGCTGTCAGATTCCCTGAAGACATGTTAACTGAAGGCAGCCAATACATTGTACATGTAGGTACCAGTCTATTTTGATCCGCCTGTTTTTATACAGTGTACCTTATACATCATTTTGTAATAGCAAGTCCTGCAGACTCATTCAATCTTGGGGAGTCAGGTTGGGGAATAGGTACTTCCTCGTCTTCCATCTTTGTGACCCGGGTTCAAATCCCGCCTGGGCCAACATGTGGATTGGGTTTTCAGTCCCTGCCTGTTTCCGTAGGTTTTCTCCAGAATATTCTGGGCTTTTCCTCACACCTCTTAAACTGTAATTTCTTCTCATTGTCTTCTCTCTACAGATTTCTTCGGGTTTGTAGGCTACATTGCCTAGGGCACCTTTGCGGAATCCTTGGTTTCATTGCCAGAAATGATTAATTACAATAAATATTATTAATAATAATGAAGAAGCTAATTCTTTCAATTTGGAGAATGTCTAAACATTCTCACAACACCTGCTCCAATTTTTTTATCAGTTTTCATTAGTTAATTTTTTTTATCAAAGAAATAAAATTGAACATCAGCCTTACTTTCCAGCATCCAGCAGAGGAATCCAGGCATAACCAACTGCAGACAAAAAATCAGACAAAAAATAAAATGCATACTGAAGATTATAGAAGCGAAATCAGGCAAGTTATACATTTGTTTTTATTTTTTCCGGTCGACTGAAACATCTTAAAATTTTCTCTAGTCGAATTCATGTAGGTTGCTAAACAAACTAGAATGAATGATAATCTAACACTACATGTAATCTGTGCAAAGTGTTGTTTTTTTCTGATGCAAAAATTCCAAGGTTATGATTTCTAAGTACGGCAGTCTATTAGAGTGACATATTCCACTTGCTACAGTCAATATGCAATATCAAATGATGATGAAATTCTACTACACAAAAGCAAATACAATTTGTCGTTCCGTATGAAATGTTCAAAACAACTGTTCATGGCAAAATCATTCAGGCAAATATGTTACAAATAAACATAATAACACTTTTGAATAAGAAGTACTTTTATTGCATGATCATCAATGTGTATAAAATTGATTGAATTGGTTGAATTTTCTCTTTCTTTTTTTTTTCCCCATTTATTCCCGTCTTTATTAAGTTATATAAATAAATGGAATTCTGTGGTAAAGTTCATGAAATAGGAACCTAACGCAAATGGATTATCTCTATTCTAGCAGTTAGTTATGATTTTTGATGGGAAATAAAATACACTACATGTGTTTTAATAAATTAACATTGTGTTAAATAAACTAGCTCTTTTAACTCCAAATGCTACATTATGGACAATCCTTTTTTTTCTGTAAAATAAGACAGAAAATAACAAAAGACAAGACAACATAAACACTATAAACAGAGCATTCTCACGGGACAATAAGGGATAGGAATCTCATATCAGGCCATATGGTTGAAGTTTGCAAGTGAGAAGAGGCAGAAAGAAGTGGGAAAAAATAATCAGGTCCATGTAGCCTTGCACGTACAGACATGACAGACACGAGCATGACCCTGTAAAACAAGCAAATTTCGTTTGTTGGTTTTGTTTTGTTTTCATTTGGCTTTAGATTCAATGTTTTTCTTAAAAATCCGTTTGTTTGTCTGTTTCTGTTTCATTGTTTTGTTTTGTTGTGTTTTGTGTTTTGAATTTAGTCTTCCTTTTTCAGTATTGTTTATATATATATTTTTGTTGTTGTGTTTAAGGCATTCCGTTTATAAGCTTCGGCTTCTTGTGTAATGCCTCCACTTAGTAGTTTTCATGTAGCAATTGTTTTGTTTTCTAAAGTGCTTATTCATGTGGAAATAAATGTTTCTGAAATGAAATGAAATGAAAATGACCATATTGTTGATATGGATTTTGAACTATATCTTCAAAATACACGTCATGGTAAACTCAATGAATTTATTTCAGCACTTGAATATGTCAGCACAATCCTTCAAAGAAACACAACACTCAGTTTGAAGGGTGGAAACAGAAATTCAAAGCAATCAAGACAACGATACGAAAAAATACAAAAGCAAAACAAAAGCGCAGCATTAGTGCTTCAGAATCTCTGATTCTGTTATTGAAAGCTGTCGTGATTCCAAATGTTTGTTTTCAAGATGTACATGAGAGACCTCTAACAGCAAGAAGTGAAAACTTTGATAGCCGGAATCACAAATCAAATGCATTATTGTTTTAAGAGGTATATCAAGCTCGTGAGTAATTATCAACATGTGAAAAGGCAGAATGAAACAGGCAAGCCGGTTTAATATGCTGGTTAAGGATAAGCACGAGCACAGTTAATGATACTAAAGCATTCGCAATGGTTTTATGAAAACCACTCCAAAAAAGTTGTTTAAAACGGGTGATGGGTGAATGTACCTTGTAATGGGTCCGCTGTGAGATGGCAGAAAAAATTTAGAGACGGGAGAAGAAATAGAGGCAACGAAATGAGGGAAAATTGAGAAGACAAGAAAAAGGACAAGACACATAAAGACAAAAAGGATATAACAGTGAAGAGAAAGAGGAAATTTAAAGAGTTAAAACTGAATGAAATGAATTAAAAACATACAGATATGTTACAGTTTCTGGTTGTCTAGATGACTTTGGTTTGTTAAATTTTACGAAATATATTTTGATTTGGGTGGTTAATGTGATACAAGCAAAATGGCCAACTGATAGTGCTTGTTACGTCAAAAACAACTGTGAAAATGATGAATAAATTTTGCATATTCTGGTTGGTTTAGTGTTTCCTGTTAGAGAGATTTACATTCCTCTACATGGATATCCTAGACTTGTCTTGTTGTTTCAGTTTTTTAAACTTCATTACTTTGCTTGATTGGTGAATGGAATTCCATGCATTTTGTGCTTTAGTGGCAGCGTGCTGACACAAAACAGTAGCTGTTTTAAAAACCTAGAACCGCTAGACACAAGATGTTGTCAGTGCCATTAAATTAATATCCAAATTACAACTTAACTTCACAAGCCCAGAAAGTGGATCTTAAAACTGTTACAAAAACCAATTTGAAGTGTCCGAATATTTTTACAAACTAGGAGATTTCAGATTAAAGTCAAAGTTAACTATAATGTCTGTTGAACTGAAGAAAAAAATTACAAGGTGCTTTAGGAGTCGTCCCATTAAAATCCAGGTTAAGTTGCGGACAAGTTTATCCGCAATACGTGAATTCATTGGGTATTTGTGGCAGGATTCTGCTCAACTTCGCTGGCATCATCTTGTGATGTAGTTATCAGTAGATAAACAATGCTGACAACTTCACTGTCAGAAGATTCCTTGGAAGTTGCAGTGAGCTTTTGCAGAAGAATTTTTCTTCCAACGTATCCTGGATCTTTAATGAGATGACTCCTTATAAAAAACCGGGGAGTTTTGATTGAACTTACCAAATGAATCTACGGTGTCCCTCTTCTTGACGGTACCCTTGCCCACCTCGCAGCTCACGTGGTAGAACCGGAACAGCAAATGATGCTTGTCGTGTAACTGGGTGGGAAGGGCTATCTTGATCTGAAAGTGGGAGGTAAAAAAAAATTTAAAAATTGCCCCTGTATGTTTAAAGGAATCCTTTTAGGACTTTTCTTGGCTGGTTATGGCTTAGCACATCAATTTGCTTGCCAATATTTCATTCTCAGCAGTTATGTGAAATACAGGCCATTATTTGCACAGACATCACAATAAGAATTGGGACGTCTTTGAAGGAAACAGATCACAGAGAATTTTACCGTGTTGTAGTCGAGTTTTTCAGAAGTCCATCACGGGTCGAGTCACAAGTTCCAAGGGAAGAACAATGACAAGGAAATGCCTCTGTCATATTTCATTGGCATAGCTTGTGATTTGACTTGGGACTGGACGACATGTGATGGACTTGTGATGGGACATGTGATGGATATGTGATGGATCATGATGGACATGTGACGGCCATGTGATGGACCTTGTACTGGAGATGAGATGGAGATGGGATGGCCATGTGATGGCCATGTGATGGCCATGTGATGGGCATGTGATGGACATGTGATGGGCATGAGATGAACACATGATGGACACGTGATGGACATGTGATGGACATGTGACAGACTCGATCACAACACCACAATGTTGCAAAGGCAATCTGTTCTGTGGAAGAATTCAACCATTCCGATATTTCCGATGAACAAACCTCTTCATAGAAGTCAGGTACTTGATGATGATGCAGTACTGCAGCGCTCCCCGAGGTGACGAAGACGGGACCTCCAGGATGACCATAGATGGCTTTCAATGGTTGAGCACCCTCGTCATCAGAGTCACGGAACTCCACACACAGAGCAATATTCCTTGCCTATAGAAAGAAAGTACTATTTACTGAACTACTTCAAAAGAGCATTTTACGTTTGCATCTGGGTCATTCTATAAATGTGAGATCCTTATTTTTTTCCTGTCTCTGTCACATCTGACATCTATGATTTTATAATTCTGATGCACTTAGTTCTCCTGAAGACGATCAGAGCATACTGATTGGAAAGTCAAGTTTTACAACCAACCAGTTCTTTTCAGAACCACACATCATCCCAAACGAGATTTCTAAACCTTCACTAGTTCATACCACGACCATGCAAAGCTTCAAATCTTACTTCTGATGCACTTAAAATGCAGTCGTCCTCCAAGAGCGATTATGAATAGCAAACCACCTACCCAACAAATTAAGCATTGTTTGAAGTCATTGGCAAATTTCAAAGTACCAAGGTAACAGGGACAGCAAAATGTAACTCTTTGGACCCTAACATTATTAAATGACCCATCTCCTTGAAGCGAAAAGTCAAATCTCTCAAGTCACAAAAGTTTTATCTTCGAAATACCAATCTGTAAGTACCCATTAATTTTGCAAGGCCATCAACTTTTCCATTTCTTTCTCACCTTAGTGAAAGTCTTCTGACTGTCGTATTTGAGTTGTACTGGATAGACGTAGAGGTTGTTGGTGTAGGTCGTGAAGGGCTGAGAGAGGTCGCCCTTCTCTGGCAGGAACTCCTCCACCTCAAGTGTGGGCGGAGCCAAGGGCGGCTCGGGCCAGGGCATTGTGGGTATCAGGGATGATGTTAGGCAATCTGCACAAAAAATTAAAATGTACAGAAAAAAATTGTGAATCTGTGACAGTGTTCATTTCAAATTGATTGTTACATCACTGCATTTCTTTTTGGAGGGGAGGGGGAGGGGGTTTCAAAATGTATGGCCACTGCCTTGATTTAAGCACAACCCAATTCCACTTTGATTTTTTTCCCCACTCACTGGACAGCATTCTCGTGAGTGGCTCGAGGATCACTCTGACGGACCCTGGGATCTCGGTCAGCTTGGACAGCTTCTCAGGATTCTTCCTGACGTCCTGCAGTTGCTTGAGAAGGTCCTCGTCGCTCAGCTTGTTGCTCTCCTGACGGTAGAGAGGGAAGAAGTCACCAGTCGAGTCCAACTCGCTGTAGTCGTTGAAGACGCGCCTGGGGGGAGATGAAAACATTTGTTTAGGAAAATATTAGTGATGAGAGGGATTTCACAGAAACTCAACTACTGGTCTCATAAACCAAAACCATATTTTAAAGTTACTTTTATATTTATAACAGAAGAAGCAAAAAAATGTGTACCTTGTAAAACGTGTATTCACTGTCCCAGTACGGTGTTTCATGGTAATGTGCGCCATCTTGTTCACAGGGGCAAAAAGAACACGCGTTGCTAGAGAAGGGCACATTTTGGAATGACCGCATGATGACTTGGAAGCGCCAAAGTTTTCCATTGATGATGCGTACACAGCAACGCATGTAAAATTGCCAAGTCGGCAAGATGGCACATATTACCGTGAAACACCTTATTGCAAAGCTGCAATTTTTTTCCCACTTCTTTTAAGGATTCATACTTTAACTGAGGTTTAAGAGAGCCTGCAATGGTATACCATCACAATCAAAACAACTTCTATTTTATCGGCCGTTGACTCTTGCTCCCCTCCCCTACCAAGCCTTCTAGATCCTCAAGGAGACTACGGAGGATTTTTTCATAGGATTTGAGAGGGACAGAGCCAAAATGAAGCCCACCTCCCATAAAACAGGTGGGAGAAAAGGAAAAAAGCACACAGGATGCACAAAATCATTTTGGGAAGAGAAGCAACAGAGATCAAATCTAAGATAGACAGCTCTTGCCACGTTTGCAGAAGGAATTTTGCATCTGTGTAGAGTTTTGAGTGCGTACAACCAGCACTGACTGTACAGCTTCCAGTGTGTACAATCACCACTGACTGTACTCAAGCAAACCGGAACATTGCAGCACGCAAAGGAACTTCAAGGGGAAATTGTTAATTAGACGTCACAGGAGCCCAGGGGTGGACGCATTCAACATTGCTCCCCAGATGAATGACAGATTATGAAAGCGGGGAAGCTACCTAAACCTTGGGGAATGTGCTGTACAGATGGCCAACATTTTTAAAGTGGAAATCTGACTCAATCGGATAATTGATTGGAAAGAACAGGTGCCAGTTTGTGATGATTCAGTCTTGGGGACTCTCTTTTTTTTGATCGGAGAGATAGCAGTCAGGAAGTATCCGTCATGAGAAGGCTGACACTGGCAGGGGTATGTAAAGTTGGGGGAAGTACCTCCGGATTGAACCAAGAATTAATACAAATGTGCATTCAACAGAAGTGAAAGCCTTGCGAGGTACGCAACAAGTGCAAAGTGGTTTCAATCAAGTGGCTAGAGATTCAGCCTGACTGGTGGGGTATTTTCACTGTTGGCACCTGTTGTTCTTTGTTGGGATTGTGGCTTTTGGGCGTGTGTGACAGGGGAAATCTGTGATCACTTTAAGCCTCACTGACGTATGACCACTCCCTGGTACAGTTCTGGTACATAACTGAAACTCCCAACCCTGAAATTACACCTGTCCCCTTTTTCAATCAAGGCCACAGTATACATAGCTTTTCACACTCCATCAGGGAGCAATTGTCAAGGTAAATGATTTAAGCACTTAGGATTTATCAGGCCTTCAAAAATAATAACAGGCTAATCTTGATAGTCTTATTATTTTCAATATGTAAATATGCGAGTATGAAATTCAATCCTGAATCTTTCGAGCGTGACTTATTAAATCTAAATTGTCACTCACTAAAGTTTTAAAATCAGGCAATAATTGGGATTTTCGTTTGGGGGGGGGGGTGTGGGGAAATGATTGGTGCAAACCTACCTTGCAGTCCATGCAAACGGCATTCTGTACTGCCCCATCCTACTGCAGAAGATCTTAGCCTGCTTCATCACTTTCTGGCAAGTCTGTCGAGATAAAAAAAAGTGTCTGTCACTTAATAACCTGAACATGATTGCAAAAGAATTGTTCCTCTTGCACCTTTTACAATTTAAAGAAAAGTTGACTCGTGCACAACCCTCGATAAAAATAACAAATTCACTACCGATTCAAAATGGAAAAATGGGTCCGACACTGACAACTGTGCTTTCAGAGAGAAAATGAGAGAAACAAAATGTAGGCTACCAGGCTTTGAGTCAAACAAACTCCTTTTTTTGGCACAATTCTCCCAACGTAGGAAAGGGCAAGATCTATACTGCATTATGCCTAATCAATGCAATATTTCAAATACAAATGCTGACTGTGATCCACAACCAAACCTAAACAAATTGGCTTAAAAATGCTAAACTAAATATGTTGCATTGGAGACTTGTTCAAATACTACAAATTAAATCCATGCAGCATAAAAAAAACATGACGGAAAAAATGTTGCAACCTGACACCACTTTTTTCGTCATATATCATCTCAATGAAGGTCAGTCATTGCAAAATTGATGATAAGACATGAATCTGGGACTGAGAAACATTTCCAATTTGGTTAGGAAATACTTGACTCTCCATAGACTTTGTACACAGCCACTGAAGTGGCGTGAGGTTGCAACATATTTTCCAGCATGACTTTACAAGAAAAACAATAGATGCTGTTGTCGTAGTAACCAAGTCACCATGGTGACTGTTCATACCTTGAAGACATCGCCGGTCTTGATGTAAGGCTCGGCACACTGCGCAATGCCTCCCTGTAATACCTTCTCTATTCTGATGACAAGGTAGATTTCTGGGTGAGGCTTCTTGACAGAAAAGATGGCCTGTGACACATGACAAGTGAGAAATCAAATTCCTTTATAACAATGTATAAAATAAAGGCAAATTCATACTTTCATGCGAAAGCAAACGCAAAGCGAACTTCACAAAGTGAAATTCACAAAGTCAACAATGGACGTTTGTCGACTCCACTGAAATTCAAGAAAAACAGTGAATCAGCCTGGTCTGAAAAGCAACGATGCAGAAAAGCGTCGGCATGCCTTGCTGACTAGCCAAAAAGTAGTATACAGAGAGTGCAAGGGTTGAACCATGAGTATCTGTACATTCCCTGATGTATCCATAAAACCATACAGTGCTGGCAAAGTTTGGCCCGGTGCAGATGGTAACAGGCAGGGTGGTTTGGGACGGAACCGGGAGTAACAGCCAGGGTGGATTGGGGAGGTACAGGGTCTAACAGGTTAAACAACTGACCTTTTGTGGGTACTTGAGCCAGTTTTCATCCAGCCCATCAACGTTGGGCAAGGTGCTGGGTCTCCGTCGTTCACCGCCAGGTCCAGGAGCCGTAGCCCCGTTGGGCAGATCCCGACACTTGTCCATGAAGGCGCGGATGAATTGGTTGTTGAGATCAATGCGGAAGTCCTCCGAGAGCTTGCGGTTGTCGCGGGCGTCAAAGAGGGCCAGGGAGGTGAAGAATTGCTCAATCTGCGGATGAACAATAATATAATTGTCATTTAATTCAAGCTTCTTACGTCTTGGGATTCAATGCACAATTTTGGTATTCTACACCATCTCAGAGCAAGATTTGCTTATTTGGTCTTCAAGATGAACACAGCAGATGAGTGCACTTACGTTTTCCATTCTGTCTGATGCGCCTTCAATGGGTTCTCCATCCTTGCCAAGGGTGGCAGACAATCGGAAGTTAAGCCGCAGGAAATTCACGACAAATCGTTTGCCGAATTCCTCCTCGTAGGGTTTGCAGTCTGGTTCTGTCATGACTTTCTCTCCACCCTGCCATGGGCCGGAAAAAAAAAGAGACACAGAAAATATTACAAAACAAGGATTGGCTTGAACCAAAATTTAAAGTCAGTAACTCAGTCAGTCAGTAATGCAGTCAGTCACTGGACAGTGGGATGGCAATACAGGTCCAGCAAAAATCATATTCATCAAAAACATTACTTGTGATTACTGCTGGGCAAGTAACTCGACTACTCGAGTACTCGCGAGCTACTCGTTGTTCTACTCGTTGTTCTACTTGTTGTTCTACTCGTGGTTTTTCATCTACTCATGTACTCGCGAGCTACTCGTTGTTCTACTCGTTGTTCTACTCGTTGTTCTACTCGTGGTTTTTCATCTACTCGAGTACTTGTGAGCTACTCGTTGTTCTACTCGTTGTTCTACTCGTGGTTTTTCATCTACTCGAGTACTTGTGAGCTACTCGTTGTTCTACTCGTTGTTCTACTCGTGGTTTTTCATCTACTCGAGTACTTGTGAGCTACTCGTTGTTCTACTCGTTGTTCTACTCGTGGTTTTTCATCTACTCGAGTACTTGTGAGCTACTTGTTGTTCTACTCGTTGTTCTACTCGTGGTTTTTCATCTACTCGAGTACTCGCGAGCTACTCGTTGTTCTACTCGTTGTTCTACTTGTGGTTTTTCATCTACTCGAGTACTCGCGAGCTACTCGTTGTTCTACTCGTTCTACTTGTGGTTTTTCATCTACTCGAGTACTCGCGAGCTACTCGTTGTTCTACTCGTTGTTCTACTCGTGGTTTTTCATCTACTCGAGTACTTGTGAGCTACTTGTTGTTCTACTCGTTGTTCTACTCGTGGTTTTTCATCTACTCGAGTACTTGTGAGCTACTTGTTGTTCTACTCGTTGTTCTACTCGTGGTTTTTCATCTACTCGAGTACTTGTGAGCTACTTGTTGTTCTACTCGTTGTTCTACTCGTGGTTTTTCATCTACTCGAGTACTCGCGAGCTACTCGTTGTTCTACTCGTTGTTCTACTTGTGGTTTTTCATCTACTCGAGTACTCGCGAGCTACTCGTTGTTCTACTCGTTCTACTTGTGGTTTTTCATCTACTCGAGTACTCGCGAGCTACTCGTTGTTCTACTCGTTGTTCTACTCGTGGTTTTTCATCTACTCGAGTACTTGTGAGCTACTTGTTGTTCTACTCGTTGTTCTACTCGTGGTTTTTCATCTACTCGAGTACTTGTGAGCTACTTGTTGTTCTACTCGTTGTTCTACTCGTGGTTTTTCATCTACTCGAGTACTTGTGAGCTACTTGTTGTTCTACTCGTTGTTCTACTCGTGGTTTTTCATCTACTCGAGTACTCGCGAGCTACTCGTTGTTCTACTCGTTGTTCTACTTGTGGTTTTTCATCTACTCGAGTACTCGTCCTTACTTGAGTAGCAGCAGGTACTCGGGAGAAGCAATTTAGGGTTTATGGTTCACAGCTTAATACGTCCCCTGCAAACGGGGAATCACTTTCTCTACCTCTCTCTCCCTAGGATTCCATTCGTCCAAAAAAAACCCAAAACAAGTAAATGACTCAAAACATTGCACAGTAGGGATATCTCAGTGCTGAAGAATGTGGCGTGACTTGCACGCTATTTGCTTGTAGGTACTTCCCGTCATTTTTCTCCTTTTATAGGAATTCGGTTAACTATACGCGAGTACTCGCCTACTCACGAGTAATTTCTGAACGAGTACTAGAGTAGGAAATCCACTACTCGCCCAGGCCTACTTGTGGTTTTACTTGTAACTGACTTGTGATTGTCTTGTGCGTGATGGACATCACTGCAACTAGGGTCTGTACCTACCTGCATCCTAGGGTAGAGTAAGAAGACATTGTTTCTGTTCTCCTTGCGTTTCTGTGAGTTGGTCTTCTCCGTCTCCTTGCCGTATCCCTGCAGCTCCGGGTGTTTGCTCTTCTCCTGTTTCTTGGATCCGGCTTTGTCCAGCAAAGAATCCCCACTATCAGCGTACTCTTCTAATCAAGACAAATTGGCAGCATTGAGAAACTGTAAGATGTTTTGCAATGCAACTTCGAAAGTTGGCAGCTTATAAATATGTTGTACACAAAACTACACTGCTCATTCAGGGATCAGTCATAAGATTGCATCTGTTCTGAACACATGATTTCAATCTATTAAAAACCACACAAGTAATCCCCACACTCTCAGACCCTTGAAATTCCACCAGGTCTGTAGAATATGTAGGATTGAGGAAGGTAGGACCCAGCTTTGCTTTACTCTGAAGGTGGTTTCATCCCTATTGAAGAGTTAGAGAACAAAGAATTTGCCATGGATTTTGTGAAAGCTGGAGGAATTTTTAAGTTTCAGCAAATACAAATTGTCTAAGGAATCAGGTTACAAGACCTTACCTTGGTCCAACAAGTCCTCCATGGAAGACATGCTGTGCTTGTCGGCGATGGTTTCTTGTTTCTGCTGCTCGATGACCTTCTTGAGGGCACTGTACCACTCGTCCATCTGTTGCTGGTTCTCGGCAGCGATGCTCTGGACCGATTGGTCCTGCATCCGGAGCTCCATGCCAAACTTGCGCTGCTTACCCGTCTGCAAGTAAGAAAAAAAGGAGTTATTTAATAATCATTTTAGGTGTGGGCGGGATTACAGCAGCCGATGAAAACATCTTTTCATTCACACACCAATTATCATTGGCAGCGATGAGTTACCACTCAGCACTCCGGACTCAAGAACCATTGAGTTTTAAGTAAATAGGTCTGGGAACTAGACAAGGTAATGTAAAAAACTCCTGGATGTCCGCGCCCACCTATAACTTGTTCAAGAACCAATTAACGCAATCGACTTATCACGCAGATCCACCGATCACGCTAAACAGCTACATTACTTCCCTGACGCATTTCAAGTTGACCAATGAAAGCCGCCCATTTGGCTCATAAACATGTATGAGGTGTAACAATAGTCTTTCCTATGCAACAATTAGTTTATGCAGAGTTTATCTGCCTACCTTGACGACATCCACCAGAGAGTCGAGGGGTAAGTTCCCCTTAGCCGCGTTGCTCTTCTCATCTTTATGATACTCAATTAGGAAAGACTTATCGGCGAGCTGACGCAGATAGAAATACCTCCTCTTGTAGGCCTGCAAAGGTACAGTAGAGACAGTTCAAGATTAAAAACACCAGAGTGTTGCAGGTCTCACGACCTCATCTATACATGAGGCCTCGAGTAGATCACAAGGTCTTGCTTGGACCTCAAAGTCTCGGTCTCGGACTTCCAGTTCTCCACTACAACACTGAGGAGTTGCATCTTACATTCAAGGCAATTGTATGTTGTTACTTCCTGTCTGAAAACACACAACCATGATTTGTATTGGGCAAAAAACAAGCCTCAAGTTATAAATTACACCTTTTGAGTGCTTCACTAAAAATAGGTGACAAGCATTTATGTAACAATATTCATGTATAGTGTACAATGTGATAAAAAAAAAACATGAACGAAGACACACTGCCATAAAGCACATTCAACTCATAGTTCAATGTGAAATATTCAAACATGAGCAACACCAGAAATGGCCAAATAATCCAAATCGAAATAAGCTTGAGACTTTTGAGAGTTCAATAGTGTGGTTCCAAAATTCTTCAATTAATAAGTCTGAAAGTGCAGCACACAGAATTTCCCTTAACTGTGTGGTATACAGCCACTTCCACACACTCTGCATGTACAAATGTACATGTACATCAACTACAAAACAGCCATTCTATAACAAGACATCAAGGCAAGTATACCACACTAACACTGCACAAGATGCTTAATCCTATCCAGTTCTTCAGTTGGTTGAGTCACAAAAAGGCAAGCATGCAAAGAGATTAGCCATCACTGGGCTGGCCAGAATGAAATCCCAGTTTGAATGGAACCGCCACACCCCTTGTCAAAATGCCAGACAGGCCCATATGGTATTGTTCTAAATTGCTGCAAGTTGCACCTGTTTGAATCTCATCAGGTTGGAATTTGAAGTATCACAGTCTCAGGTGTTCCCTTTATGTAACTTACTGACTGGCCAGAGCTTTAAATACCCAACTGGTTTTTTTCTTCCTTTTTTCCTTAACAATGTACTGCAGTCACTCTGGATTCAATTCACAACCCCAGTGTGTTTGGAGATTTCTTAAATGCCTTTCCCCTTTGATAATCAACATGTACATTTGTATAAAACATAGGTTCCACTTGTCATAAAAAAATGTGCTTAACAATAAGTAGAATTTTATATTATAAAGCATTTGGATTTTTCTCATACACTACAAGTAATTGAAATTAACATGAAAGTTTGAATATTTATCTAGAGAAAAAAAATTAAAAAACTGTGTCTGCGAATATTTTTTCATAAAACATGTTATTTTGGCTAAGAAATAACCTTACATTTCCTCCCCACCCCACTTTTTCACTGGCACCTTTTTTCAAAGTTTCTGAGCCCTTTTTACAATTTTTGTGTCACTTTTCTCACAAGTTCTACGTTATGTTCAGGAAGTTTAATATTACACATCATCACTGACTCTGATGATACCCCACGGATTTGGCTAATCTGTTAGGATATCCTGCCCGTTTCCCTTAACTGCGTTGTGTCAAGGGACTGACATCATGACTGGAAAGTCACCCTTGACATTTTACAGATAAAAAAATCTTAACATTAATACAAAAATACTTCCATTTTCTTTACACTGAAAACAATTCTTCAAGTAATTTTTTTGTACCTTTATATCTACCAGTAATTAGGCCAAAATAATTCACAAATCTTGCATTTAGTTTTTTGACCCAGTTTAATACAGACATTCAAAGATATATTTCTCTGTGGCCAAAGTTGTATTTTCCGACTAAAATTGGAAGTGTAATGAGTCAGGTATAAGTGACATTTTTTATTACTAGGGGAATTATCCGTGACATTGGCTCCAAGCTTGGGCTCAACTCTAGCTCAAGGATCATTTAAAAAGATTAAAGATCAAACAGGTTATTTATAAACTTTGTAGTCACATAAGAAAATGCAAGATGCCGGAGCAAAAACTGTGAACTACTGTTTCATTATTTATAGGGTGGATGTTTTTTGCAAAACCTCAGAACAGTCTTTTACAATTACAATGTAGACCTCAAGTCATAAATATGCATGGAGAGATATGAATAATGAAGAGGTGGAGTTCTTACCCTAATCAACCCCGCCTGTTGGCCAAAGGGTGTCTTGTACAGGAATCCTTGCATGAATATATTACCCGAGGGTGAATTCATTGTCATCTCCTGGTTCTCATCTGCATCGTCCACCTCGTAGACCTGCTCCCGTAGTTGGTGGGGCTGGAACTCCTTCTGGTAGCTGATAAAAACAAGGACAGATAATCAATGTCTCTAATCTCGTCTAACGTACATGTATCTTCATTTTTAAATTCAAGGTTTCACTGTTGTACTGGCTATAAAACAGGGATGTAGTCGACTCCATGACAAGTCCCTGCAAGTTCCAATTCAAATCACAAGCTATTTAAATCAGCTTTGACAAAGGCATTCCTTTGTTATTGTTCATTAGCTGTTTCTTGTGACTGGACGTGTAAGTGAGTTGTGATTTATTTAAGACAGGATTTGTGATGGACTGGCGAAGGTAACATTCGTTCATTGGCTAATGTTTGTCTGGAAGATACAGAGAAACAGAAATCATCCCTGGCTATAAATGTAATTTATAATACAAATGTCACATGGTGTGAGGGAAGGCAGTGCACGATCACTGATCTTGAGGTATTTAGCCAAATTTGACTAGCTCTCAACACAAGTTGGAAAGAGGCACATGCACATGTCAAAGTTCGCCAACATCAATTTTGCACTACTGTACTTCTTTTCTAGGGATGAAAACCTGGTAAGGTGTCAAAAAGCGTGATCAAAATACATGTAGATCTTGATCTTGTAGGAACTCTTTCATTTTTTCTTAACACGATGATGATAATATCTCAGTGCATTTCAGTACGGAAACAGTGTGTCATACTTACTTTTCAGCCTTTCCTTTGCGACCTTTTTTGCTCATACAATTGATGATACATCGATCCTTTACACTCTTAACTCTTTGAAACACACAAGTTAGACCTCTTGTTTTGCTGAGTTAAAAGTGAACCAAAACCCTCAAAAAATGGCCGTTGAATGCAAATAATCTATACATGAAATTACTGTATGGTGTATTAAAATTGACAATTATGTCAATTAGTCTATGGAATTAATCTGATCCTCAGGCTGGGATCTTTTAGTGGATGGATTCTAGAGACTCACCCCGGAACATCTTGGAAAGGTCCGCCATAGTTGCTGTATTTGTTATTAATGACCTTCCACTCTGTCATGTAGCCATTAATGCTCTGTGAGAAGACGACAGGATGAGAAAAAAGCAACCGATGAAAGATTACAAGAAACTTAACATGTGCAGTGTGGGGGATTGATGTACACATGTAGGTAACATTCGTTCATTGGCTAATGTTTGTCTGGAAGATACAGAGAAACAGAAATTATTCCGGTGAAAAGCACTGTTTATTAAAAAAAAAACGCAAGATCCTATTTTTGTTGCTGAAAAGAAAACTTCCCTTTCTAGGTTGGCCCTTACTTTTCAAATTTCACTATTGATGCTCTATTTGTAGCTTTATTTAACTATTATTTATTCAAATTTATGTGAATGTGAATCCACAGAAAGACACAACGGAGAAATATGGCATTTCAAAATTTAATCCCACTAAGGGGATATTACACACTGTACTTCAAAGCATGATGTTTACCCAATCCTTCTTTTGCACAGGAATTAATTGAACAAAATTTAACTCAAATGTTTGGATAATCAAACATACTGCACTGTGCTAAGAAAATAGTGAAATTGTGTTCTTCTATTTTCAACACAATCATTCTTGTTTGTGTAAATACTGTTGATACAACTTACACACACACTATTTTTCCAATTATTCCGTGGTTCTGCAATGGGACATTTTTATCTCATATGTAACCTTTGACCTTGTACGCATATCTCAGGAAATCCTTCCACGAAGCAGGAAATCAATTCTGTGCATGCCATGAACCAAACGTAATTGAAACAGCTTCATCAGCAAAGTCTCAAAAGAGTTTGAAAAACACTTCCTTTTAAAAAAATTTTCAAAAGATGTTTTGGTAAACATGCTATGAATATGTTCAATATTTTGCAAAAGACATGCACAGGTGTAGTTTTAATGACTATTTTTTTTATTGAAAGGGGACTTTAATGACCATTTCTTTATTTAAAACAAAAAAGCCAACAGATTTATGTTTTCCCTTTCGTACCTCTTTAACAAACAGCGATGAGGCTTCTTGTAAAGCTCTTTCTGGTACTGTGGATTTAGTGGTACGTAATTGTCTCGGTAACGTTGATGCCTGCAGGATTTTAAAAAAAGAACACTCAATTAATTATCTTTAAAAACATGCTTTACGGTGGATTTTTTTCTTGGAATATGGACATTTGGAAATGAAACAGAAATAAATCTGCGTCATTATAATCACAAACAACAGTAACTAACAAAGCATCGAAATTGTTCTTTGTTAGCCAAAAATGAAAGACAATCTGTGTGTCACACATATATCATATTGAGGTTATCCACCAAATATTAGCAGCATTAGTCTCATTCCATGAGAATTGTTTTGAAAACCTGTCTATTGTGGCCACTCATCCCAAGCAGATTGTGAGTGGCCACATTACACAGGTTTAATATATCTGAAGGTGACTGAAAAATCAGCTGCTCCCAAAAAAAACCTCACCCTCCACTGATCACAAAAATAGCACGCCCACTTTCAAATCATCTGGTTTTTTTTAGTCTTTATTTAGTCAGCTTTCTGGACACCAAACCCTGAAATCTGTATGCAAGGATTTGTCAACGGGTTTTAATAAGAAGTGATGACAGTGTTTATTCACAAGACAAATTTCTATTTCTGTGGGCGGACCATCCTTCGGTTGACATCATTGCAGTGTGCACTTTTGTAACTGTTATTTTTGCAGATGGAATGAAGCATGGCGATTATTTTTATAGGTTGAGGCCACTTGAAAATATACATATTATATTTTAATTTTAGATTTACTTTTTATAGATTCAAAGCATACGGAAAATTCAAAAAAAAAAAAAATCAATTTGACATTAGAGTAAGGTCGTTGATCAGTTCATCATCATTTAATCAAGGAATGAACATATACGGAATGAATGTTTTAAACCCCAATGGGTTTTTTTCATACGTACACGTACATGTGACCTATTTGCATTTTTTGGTACTTTTCCCATTGCCTTTATATGTACTGTGTATCCATCTAGTATCTACCATGGTTACAATGGTGAAAAGTATGCAATTTTGTAGCTTGGCGAGTATTTTTCAAAAAAAAAATACAATTTACTTCCTGGTTTTACAATCCCCTTATGAAGCACACATGCATCAAGGGTACATTTACATTTGCACTGTACACAACACAATGGAACAGTCTACGTGAAAGAGTTTACACGCTGACAATTTCTGTAATAATCGTTTATAATTATACGGAACATGTACACTGTGAGCACAGCAGTGGAAATTGCAAATTTAAGCGAGTCACATGCAAAAGAATGGAAAGTTTGTGAGACAAAATTGTATTTACAGGTTTCATTCTTGTACTGTATACTCATTGCTTTCCTAAGATGCTTGTTAAACAAAAGTTTAGAGCAAAGGTTAGAAATTGAGCCAACAACACAAGAGCAAAACTAACATTTACAATTCAGAACATTTATACATACGGTACATGTTCATCACCCATCTGAGTTTAAGAATCATATTAGAATCATTGTGAGATATTTTATTTTGGGTTTTGCCTTTTGCGGTGGGATGTGTGGCCTAGTGCTTAGGATTTGTGACTCATGATCAGAGGGTCAGGGGTTCGAATCCAGCTGCTGGCCATAGTTGTGTCCTTGGGCAAGCCACTTCACTCCCACTTGCCTCTCTCCACCCAGGAGCACAAATGAGTACCGGCATCAGCTGGGGAGTAACCTGCGAGCATCCCATCCAGGGGAAGTAGAAATATTTTGTGTATAATGTTACTGAAACATGACTGACTTACTTTTTGCCCTTTGCCAACCCAAATTAACATTGTTAGATAGGCCCCTCCCACCCCCCCCCCCCCCTCTATGTCTCCTCTCTTTTTCATTAGCCCTTTTATTACATTTGTACTCACCGAGAGATCATCATAGGGGAACTGGATGAGGGATCGAAGCGGGTCATTGTTGATGACATTTCTGTTCTTCAGAATGTGTTCCTCATAGTGCACTGGCTCAATCAACTCCTGCTTCTCCTAGATGTAAAACAGAAAAAGGGAATAAAATATTTTATCAAATAAAATTTGATCCAAACAAAGCCTTTTGTTCAAAGTTAAGTCTGTAGTTTTTAAGGTGTAACCCCAACCCCCTAGGTCCTTTTTGCTAGGAACCATCTTCAATCCTGCAAAATTCTCCAAAACTCTGCACTTTCGTTCAAATGAAGGATACCCAGCACCTCAATCAAAATCGTCAGGCAGTCCTGCCTCTTTTTGGAGAAAAAAAAACAACAAGTTCCCACCATATGTTTTTAAAAATATCACTCCAGTCGATCATAAATCAAGTATTTTCACTCACTGTTTATAAAGAAAAACATCAATGGGTCACATGTATGACGCAGATACATGACAATGCACTTGCATTCTTTGCCCTTATTTGGAATGATTTCGGGATTTTACGCGCTAATCTTGGACTTGTTTTTATCCCTCGTAGCCTGTCATCTTGAGAAACAATAATAACACCGTCCCACGGCAGATGGACCCAATTTGTCTCCGATGAATTTCTGATGGCGACAACGCTTTACGGAAATGAAATTAGGGATTAATAACGGGAGCGTCTGGCCTGCGCCTTGACATCTTCAACGATGCACTGATTTAATGAGGTTTTCTTGGTTATATTATTTTTTTCTTTTTTAAGTCAAGTACATCCACATGCCTGGTGGAATTGCGGAGGCTTTCACACATTATTTACCTTTTTTATGGTCTTGCCTGTTTATTGACAATCAACATGATTAACATTCAGGGCATGGGACTGCACAAACCTGGTGGAATGTATCCCTGACACTGTTTATTATGACTGCACGTATCAATTAGAGAGTTAAGCCTCTATTTTACTTAAATTAAATTCTGAGTTTTCTAAATTCTTTGAAGTGCAGATTCGATGTAGTGTACTACACGTACAGTAGGTCATTTTTGACCTTGCACTTCCATGTTTGATACGTCAATTTCTTTTTCTCAGGCAACATCACGTTCAGATTATGTAGAAAGTACAGACGGGAATGAGATTACAGCACAGTGCAAATTATGTTAGGAAATGATGTCATCAGTTAATTTTGCCTTTGGGAAAAATCCTACTAGGAATAGCCTTGGATTAAAACGTCAGGCTTTCCAACTTCCTGACGGTAACCAAAGCGACGGTAACCAATGCAACTGCACAGACTGCTTCTTGGTTGCTACCTTGGCACAACTACATGTAGGCTTATAAATTATTCCAGCAGACAATCTGACTTTCAAATTTTTTCATTTACTGAGACTTACTTAGCCTTGCCCCTACAGAAACTGGTTCCAGGCACTGTCACTTGTGCTCAAATTAGCCAAGAAATTGACGAAGTTCACCAAGGAGTCAAGCAAACACAAGAGGAATGGATGAACAGTCATATCTAATCTATATTTATCCTGTGGCATCTTGCCAATCGTCTGTGTTGATTTTAGCTTGTCACATCCTTCTGTCCTTGCTCCAGGCACTATATTTAGGAGCAAATCTTGGCCAGGAGAACTCACAAGTCAAGCAAATTATCCTCTCTATTCTAAACACTTTTGACGGTGGAATTTACATGCAAGGCTGCACAAATACATTTTTCCGACAATGCAAATATGATTTGACGTGGAGCCACTTTAGTGCCGAAACTGGAGGTCTTCTGAGCTTTAAATTTAATTAAGAAGAGCAATAAACAAAAAAAAATCTGAACATTTTTGCAGATACACTTAGTGTGAAGTGACAAACTCTAAAAGAGAATTAGTTGTTATTTTGAAAAGAACCAGATATTATTACATGTATCTCGACATTTCATCGGGGGATGATGACATAATTTGGGCTACTAAAATTGTAGAAATGTTAAGTTAATACATTTAGTTTTCTCAAAGCCATGCTTATAGCCACTTCACATGACGTACATGTATCCTACATGGAAGTCAACCAATCAAAGCCTCATTATCAAATAACACAAGAATGTGCAGAAATTATGATGTGTCAACGAAAGCACTCAAGATACAGAAACTATGTTTCTGCAATGGTACAGTTTGGTACACAAGCACGTTTTCTTCACTATCAAAAAGGTTTCATTTAGCTTTTTCTGAACACGTACATGTACATGTACATCTCATGTACATGAACATCTTGTTCACTATGTGTGAGAGTAGGCCCTACTAAATGACTTGTCACCTAGTGGTGCAAAGCCTGTGCCTTTCAATGGAACACCAACCCCTTCATGATAGCAGATATGTTATTGGTGTCACTAATGGGTGTGACACTGACAGGTATAAATGGAAACCACCTGAGCTCCTTTATTATACACAAAAAGGAAAGTCATTCACCCGAGTCCCGCAGGAAAAATTGTATGCACTCCTGCAATTTAGTAAAGAGGAAGCCTAAACTATAAAACAAATTCATGTTAGCAAAGCATGAAAACCTTTCGAAATGTGGAATGTTTTGTGTACAATACGTACACGTGGGCGTGTTCACCTATTCAAACCGTGGACGAAAAATTCCAGAGAACAAAAGAGAACATCGTTCACGATTCTCAGCATACGTCCGCGATTGGGGTCGTGTACAAAACCTATGGGAGTCTTCTTATAAGAGTACAAACAAAGGAGGGACAATAGGACATCCACGATCGACGGTGAACACGGCGGTGAACGGTGAATTGACTGAAGTTGAACTATCATTTATGTACACCAATTTCATCATCATTATCTTCTCAATATCCATCTCTAATAAACCCCACCCACCCACCCTCTATCACCCCATCCCTATCCCTTCCATCTCCACTACCCCCTGTATCCCCCCCTCCCAGTCTGTTAAACCATCATCAGATCAATCCTCCTTAATCAAAACCTTCAGGCTCTAGATGCAGACCCCAGCAGCTGTCTTCAAGGAAGATGAGAACAGCATCCCATTCTCCCCCCCCCCCCCCCCCGAATCCCCATAGGGAGAGTCATGGATGCGAGGCGAAGGATGAGAGCAAGCTTTAATATTAGCCATCGGAACTTCGGCGTGTACCGTAGCACTTGATCGAAGAAACAGACCATCATCAAATGCGACTTTTCAAGGTGATGGGCATCACATGTGCCATCAATGTGAAAAACAAGTCTTTAAGGAGTAGACATTATAATGTTCTGCTCTAAGACTCACAATAACCCTGGAGCAGAATCCATCTCACTTTGTTTTTGCTAAAAAAATATATATACGGTAATTTACTGAGAGTATTCCTTTCTCCAAGGAAAAATTTAACAGGATTCATTTATGTACAAAATTATAAATCAATTTGATGCAATTAAAAGCAAAATAATCCGTCAATCGCCATGCCAATTCAAAACGATGTATTTCACTTTCTTAGGCCTATTTCAAGATATTTCTTGAAAAGTGAACTTAAACTTTTCAACAAAAAATATTACAAGAATTTTATGAAACCCCAACAAAACATACATGTACCGGTACGTTGACCTGCTTAACTGCCCCACTTAAAAAATGGTCACCGGAAAACAAGAATGTAGTCACGTAGGCGGTCACAATGCAGCAGCGGTGCAATATTGAGTTTCATTCTAAGAACCCAAACAACATTCGGCCTTAAATTGGTTTGTGCGGTGTCGGTCTACCCTTCAGCAACACAACTGTAATTTTACATACATTTACATGTAAGCACTGCGTGATACCCAGTGCTTCAAGAGAGCTAACCAAAAAAATACAAATTTAAATACAAATTGCAGTCCATGTTTTTGTCAACATCTATGACTAATGCGCTGCCTACTTCAATCATCTACCTCCATGCTTCAATGTAGCCTGATTGTGTTTCTCTTCGCGAAAATCACCCAGAGATATCTGCAGTCCCTCCTCCCACACAAGGCCTCAGAAGCCCAGACAGAGGCAATTTTAATATTCCGAGCAAATTAAATGTTGCATGTAGTGGCCAAAATGCGTTAACAATTCTACCTGCGGGGCACATCGGTTGTTTTTTTTACATTCACTGCACATGAATGTCAGCACAGCATGTGGTACAAATACGTAGTGTACGATTCCAAGCGCACTATGTACATGTACCACACCGGTACATACATGTAACATGCAGTCCAGAATATAAATTTTGTGCTAGAAAAAATTATAATTTTCATCCTCCTCCGTTTTGGGCCATAAATCTTGCCCCTTTGAAATTTCAAGTTCAATGAGGTTTTTTTGCTGAAATGTCAAATGGATGAATTTTTTAACTCTTTAGGGCAATTACCTAATAAGAGTACATCACATTCACACGAAAATAAGCAACACATGTACGAAATACATGTACAACATGTACATTGTATGTTGCTGTTGCAAAATACATGTACATGTACTTGTACAGTGTACATTTTTTGTAAATTATCCATGTACATGTACATGTACATGTAGGACAAAACTTCACATTACAGTGGGTGCATTATACATGTACAATAATTGTTACATGTACATGTACATGATTCCCACAAAAATACACAAAATGTATTAAGTCCAAATTAGTTTCAAAACAATGCCATCTTTATGCTGGCACTCCACACTGCCCCACCTGACCTGACCTATGACCGCACAGCTGACCTTGAGGTGCTAAAACTCTTGAACTCTCCGAGCGCTACTTAAAAATAAGTAGAAGCAGGACCACTAAAACAAGTGACACTGTGCACCAAACCTAAAAATCCCCAAAGGCCAAGCAATTCACACTTCACGTGTACAACCATTGCGCACAATCACCAAGGGCTCTCTTGAGTAGAGTTAGTTAATATATGGAGGAAGGAAAACAGAAGACTGTGATGGATTTTCCCCGATGACAAATAATTTTAATAAATGTTTGCTTATGAACTAAATCCACACCTTTTATACTCTGCACTCCATAATTTCTTTGGTTTTCAAAAAAGCAAATTTTTCACTATGCCATTATAGACAAAGATTCTGAACACGAACTTTTTTGAATAAGGAGCAGGACACTATTCAGTTAATTCTAATTTAATTAATGTGTTACTTGCCATTAATTCATTCAATTTGGAAAGCTCATACTGGAAGCTCATATACCGGTATTACAGTGTATGCTGGAGAATGAGCATCAAGATTTGCAAATTTATTTCTCGGAGGCCCTGCATCAAACCCTGTAGCCAAAAGCACAGCCTGAGTGTACCTTTTACATGTAGATGTACTTGTTAAGTCTTTGCAAATGTAAATCCTCTTTGACCAAAGTAATAATTAATTAATTACAAATGAAGCCAATAGAATCTCATCTTTCCGGCACCATTCTGAGCCGAATTATCAGCTACCCATGAGCAGGGTTATATCAGACAGATGAATGACAATCACAAGAATGTATCAGGACAGGTATGCAACTCAAACATCACTTCAATTATTGGGTATTCATCTGACAATAACAGCATTTAAGGTAGGTCTGAGTAACTGAGATCCCCTCTCCCCCAGCCCTTTCCCAACCAAATACACAGAATCCCCCAGGTGGGGTACATGGCTGATGGATGATGTCATACAGTAAGTTGAAGGGATACCTGACTGATACAATCTGGACCACATATCACTTCCTATTCCTGCTACTTTTCCAGGACAGGAGGGGCAAAGAAGACCGAAGATGACGCATCAGCAACGCACCTGTCACCACTCATCACACAGCGAGCCTCAAGACAAGTATTACATGCAAGATGTTCTCTTGTTTGCCCATGTAATGAGCCTCAGGATTCTCCAATGTCAAATGCAATTTTCTGCGTAATTAATCATTTGACTTGGACTGATTGGGCGATAAATTTTATGGAAAGGTCACAACTCACGAAGGATTTAAGAAAAATTACTTCGAGGGAAACATTACAAAATAATTTTTGCAAAAAAAAAGAAACAAATAAAATAAAGGCAAGGTAATGGATTTCAACCCAACTTTTTTCAGAACTTTTCAATTCTTTAACAATTTAATGAATATTAGGTTGAACAAATCTCAAGCAGGATTACATACTACATGTATGACCTCTGACCGACAAACTTTCCATTGCAGGTTTACAGACAATCACTTAAGAGGCAGAAACCAAATGTATAACTGAGAAACTGAGAGAAATTCAGAGCATACTAACCGCAAACAGGTCGATTACTGGTGATGGAGCCGGCGCTGGTGACGTAGGGGTGGGAGGTGGTTTTGCCTCCTCCTCCTCTCTGATCGAGGTCTGACTCGGAGTTGATGAGGTGCTTATCTTCCTCCCATTGGTTGCCATGGAAACAGGGGATGCAGGCTTCGTCGGCGTTCTCGGTGACGGGGACTGAGGAGAAATGGGGTCGATCTTCTCTCTTGAAGTGGTCCTCGTAACGCCGTGCAGACCGGTTCGAGATGCTAGCCTCGCGCTCGATGCACTGGCCGACTGTGCCAGCATGATTCTCAAGGTGGCCTCGGCTTTGTGGATCGGCGAGGTTTTAACTGAGCTGGATTTCTTGGTGAATTTCACAGCCACTTCGCGTTCCCACTTCTCCGAGGCGGCCTTCCGCATGATGCCACGTGGCGAGTCCAAATTCGGAATCTCATTGTCGTCAGTTTCTGCTGACGATGTGAGTGGATTTTTATCAGATTCATTGCTTGTTGATTGCGTAGAAATGGTCTCTTTTGTTGTCACCTGTTCAGATAGATTGCTTGAAGATTGCGATAAATTTGTCTCTTTTGCCATTACCTTTTCCGATTTATTGCTGGCATCATGTGATGAAACGGTAGTTGTTACTCCACTTGCATTTGTCATTTGCTTTTTAGATTCACTGCTGGCTGGTTGTGATGAAACAGTCTCTTTTGCCGTTACTTTTCCAGAAACATTGCTGTGGGGATGTTTATCAGATTTATTGCTCACAGCTCGTGATGAAACGGTAGTTGTAGCTCCACTTTCGTTTGTCATTAGCTCTTTAGATTCACTGCTGGCTGGTTGCAATGAAACAGTCTCTTTTGCTGTTACTTTTCCAGAGACATTGCTGTGGGGATGTTTATCAGATTTCTTGCTCGCAGCTTGTGATGAAACGGTAGTTGTAGCTCCACTTTCATTTGTCATTAGCTTTTTAGATTCACTGCTGGCTGGTTGCAATGAAACAGTCTCTTTTGCCGTTACTTTTCCAGAAACATTGCTGTGGGGATGTTTATCAGATTTCTTGCTCACAGCTTGTGATGAAATGCTCGCTTTTGCTCCATTTGAAGCAGTTTGTCGAGTGGGAACAATCGGTTTCTTTGCACTTATTGTGGAAGTCTGATGGGTTGATACGATCTGACGTTTTAAACCTGACTTTTGTTCTACTGAACGTGGCAATGGAATTGGTTTCCTCAGTGAACTGGAAGGAATGTCACCCGATCGCTGCCTCGAGACAGAATTCCTGGGTGAGGAAGAGGTAGACCCACGTTTGGAGCTTTCACTGTTGAGCGAGCCATCACTAGAGGCTTTTCTGGGGACGGCGACTCTCGCAGCCGATAGCGGCTTGGAGGATCTGCCATTGTGTATCTGATCAGCTGATAATTGTTTGGAGACAGTCGTTTTAACACCCAGACGATTTGTTGGGCCGGGAGTGGCGCTTTTCGCTCCGTCAACTGATCCCCGCTTTGCAACGGTCGGTTTGGATGAACTAGATATGGGAACTCGCTTCGGCGGGTTGCCATTTGGAGTCTTGTCTCCTGACCCTTGTTTTGAGAGAGTGGTCTTGGATGCATGGGTAATGGCTCCGTGTTTTGTCGTGTCACCATGCTGCACCCCACTCCCAGATCGTGGTCTTGCGACAGGCTTTTTCATGGTCACTCCCGATGCCGGAGTACTCTTGGAGAGTTGGCCGTTGTGTACACTGTCGCCTGAATTCTGTATAGCCGCTGGCCTTTTTGTGCCACCAGAACTGGAACTCTGATGATGCACATCATTATGAGATGTCTTATGTGCGTGAGTTGAGGAAGGATTTTTCCCCGTCAATGAAGGATTTTTCCCTGTCGAGGAAGGATTTTTCCCCGTTGTAGAGGTTTTTGGAGTTGTACTCCTTGAAGAAATCGGTGGTCTGGTGGTTAAATTCACTGACGCCATTGCGAGCTGTAGAGCCAATCTGCACGAAATATTAATCAACAGTACATGTACTCTCTTGTACAAAAGATTGAAAGATTATCCTCAAATGCGTACACGTACCTTCAGACAAAGCAATCTTGTGCACAAATTACAATCCAGATGGCAGTGTTGAGGTACTGTAGTCGGTAAGCTCGCTTGTCTGTGCGATCCGAATGCCGGATTAGTAATCAGAAACCACACGTAATTTCCCGTGGACAATCACACTCGTCGTGACATTTATGATTTAACGTGAAGTTACACAGACTGCTGGAGAAGAGACTACAGGGGCACCATCCACGGTAGCAATTGAAGAAAAGAAACCAGTAGGACTTTAATCGGATCTCTCACTAAGTTCATACAGACATACATGTACATGGATATGTAAACATGTGCAAAATCACTGTACACGTACGTGTCCTTTCTCTGTGATGCAAGTACACTACCGGTAATCACATGTGTATGTCAACTTACATGTTGTACGTGTACGTATACAGTGGCACACCACCATGGAGCATCACCTCTGACACTGCAGTTTATGAACTACATTCCATTCAGCACATATCAAAAACACGATAAAGATTGCATTGTTTTGATGTACAACAATGCTGCACAGACACATGTGATCTTCCTGTGTCAAATTGCAGTTTAACAGGCTCTGTTGGTAGCCATCAAAATTGTTTGTCCTCGATTGAAGGTGCTGGGGACATCACTCAACAATTCCCAAACAGCACACATTTATGTACATGTACATAAAAATAAAGACAAAAACACAACTTTGTATGGCACGGGGCTCCTTGGTGCACTTTACATGTGAAAACTGCGCCGATTCGACCTCTAAAATGTACATGTGTGCATGCAGACTTGGCCTTTAATACATTGCAGACTCAGTCCAGTTCTGCAATGACACAAAATGCACACAATCCAACTAGAGCTGGCTTCTCTTCCTGAGTGTAATCATGTTTGTCTACACATCCTCTTGTTGTGTGTGTAGGTTCCTGTCGGCTGGCACTGGTACTGTTACGATTTCCTACTTCAGACCATCATTGCACCTGTATCATCAACTTGTTATGCATGTGACATATGCATGTGTATGCACATTTTGTTCATGTACATGTACTTGCCAAGAAGTTGGCCATGGTAAAAAAAAAATCGCTGCTCAGGAAAATGATTCATCAAATTCATGCATTTTCCATCAATGTCAGTGCATGTCCTTGTACTGCAGAAGTTCAAATTGCGACATATTTTACAGCAAATCAGTCACCATCTTTTCGTTCATGGACACAGTATGCTCATGGTTCCTGTGCAAGAACAGTTACAGGAACAACTGTGCTGGCCTAAAACTGTGCAGGGGATCCAGAGAGTGGTGTTTGTAATGCGACACCGACTAGAGTTAATGCAGTCAGGGAGATCCCTAGACCCTAGTCTGTAACCAAGGACTACATGTCACCGCAGCAAGCCGCTGAAAGATCCCTCTGGCAAGTTAAGAGCATAGAGTTAGGGTGTGAGGTGGGTGGTGAAGAAGGAAGGAAGGAATAAGAGCCACGGAAAAAATCTTGAGAACTTGATACTGCCTTGAAGTTTCACAGGGAGGTGAATCAAATGTTAGAGTTGAGATGGGTTGTCCTTCAATGTCTTCCGAGAGACTGAAACATTCTTGCACAATACGGTGATCAGAATCTTGGTTTTCCAAGTCAGTCTTGGAGTCGGAATTGCTAGCGGTGATCAATCATTCTACATCTTGCAGTTCAATTTCAGTGGTAATCAAATTTGCCCCCCTCGAATCCATACGGAGCTCATTTCTAATTTCAAATAAAAGAAACCCGCATTACAGAGTCTTCAACTTGCACAGATGGTGAAACGAGAACAGTTGCCGGCCGCACCCCGAGTTCATTTTCCGTCGTCGTAGATGTGGGGTGCAGTTGTCATTATGATAATGTGAACATAAACAGCCGTTCCGCACAACACTGACAGAAACATTAAAATCCTTTCTTCACAACTAATGCATTCGCATTAGACTGATGCCCCAATTCACAGACTGCATTTATTTGTCGAACAGGAAATCTTTTGAGACGTTTGCAGCTCGGACTTTCTTTCGGGGCTGCACCTAATTTTAGTTTTTCCGGTTATAAACGGACGGTGATGGAAACTGAAAGACGTCTTTATTCCTCCACAGGCCAAGATAGATTACAATCAACTGTGGTATGGCCAGGCTGTGCAAATGCAGGCTTGGCTTTTGAGAGATATTGGTTGCAAAGAATCAGCAGGCCCTGGGGGTAATGCATGCCGATAACGAAGCTTCTAACAGCATGATGCGAGCTGAAAAAAATCCCCGTCTTGACTGAAGATGAGAGAGGCAAGTCTCTGCTTCTTGAAACTTATCTGGATGATGTTCGGCTGAGATTGGTCAACATGCAGGTCATTAAAAGCACGATGCAGCTGCATTAGGTATCAGGCTAATGGAAAATATTGCCCTCGCGATGGCAAGGGACGTCCTTTGAGAAGGCAGAGATGAAGATTGAAGAAAATCCAACTCGCTTGTGACACAAGCTGAAGTGTACATTGCAATGTACTATTTATGTAATGAACTTGGACTCTAAATGTCCTACACAAAATATAGACAGTGATGACGTGGTGGCAAATCTGGTGTAAGCATCCAACTTTGTTTCAGAGCTGATGACGTTCTTTCCCACATTTAGAGTAGAGTAGATGGTAGTGCAGGGTAGGTTTGTAACAAGCTACAGTGTAGCTGTTGCTTAGTAGCGTGTGCCATGCGACAGTCTCAAAGTACCGGTTCTAACCTCTTGACTAACCTCTGCACAAGCTTTATGGTGTACATGTAGGCCCAACAGTACATGTACCGGTAGGCCTTACAGCAAATACTGTGTACATTACTAAGACCCCTCCCACTGTCACCAGTGAAATCTCTTAATCTGAAGGAAATCCACTACAGCGGTGACATCATGGCTGAATTACCGCCCGCTCAGTCACAGCCGTCTTGAACTTCCGAGAGAGTACGGGAGGACGGTAAGACCCAACTTGGTGTTGTACACATTGCAACCCTAGATTTGAGTATGACCGATCCTATTCCTGTTTCCTTCAAAAGGAGGAATACATGGAAGTCCAAGTTTGGCAGAGGAAATGACAGCATATTAGAGTGTGAAGTTCAAAGGTGGTTGAACGCAGTGGGAAAATTTACGATGGGCCTACGGATTCATGGCACGGGGCCACAATGTTTTGGTTTGGCCAGAAGTTAACTGATTAATTTGGGGACATATTGTGAATAAATCTGGCCTTACTGCAAGACTTTATTAAATTTTCTTAGAGGAATGAGTCATGAGTTTAATTTGGAGCACGGTCGGTTTCGATGATTAGGCTTTCCACCCACATGAAGACTAGATACAAAAATAAATTATTACAAGGTTATACACACACACACTGGCACATACCGGTAGATGTAATTAAGGCGAGATTTGGAAAGATTATGTATGTTTGTCATATCATGTCATGTACATGACATGTTAAATAATATTAAAAGAAGGGAAAGTGTTTGTGAACTTGTGCATGTAACTTGACTTTCATAATGAATGGTGTCTTGAAAATATCAGAACCTGCAGAACAAAACTGTTCAGAAAAGTTCACAGTAAGATCTAAACTTTCTGCATGTCATGCAAATGGCATATTCTTCATCGGTGAACACAGCTACATGTATGTTCCTGATAAAAATAAACACAGCATCATTCATGAGCCAAGAATACACAGCCAAAGCTTGAAGATACAGCTTGAGGTTAGAGCGCCCTCTGTTGGCATGAAATCAGGCAACTACAACAATGCAGTGCAAGCCCTCGTGTACCGGTACATGGGCTTCACTTTGCAAATCTAAACCATCTGAGCTGCTTACAGAAAATAGCGTTTAGCAAATTTACATGCTATGCAAAAAACAGCTGGCGACCAGTCACAAGCATTGTGCATTGCATGGCATTTGCCTGGTAACCTGTCAGTACTTAGCAAAATAATTTCTGTGCTTAACAGTTCAGTGAAACCAGTCCCTGGTTAAGTGGTTATCAAGGTCTCAATATGTGGGGAAAAGAGGCAAGGTAAAAAAATGCTTACAATTGAACCACTTAAAAAAAAAACCAAGGCAATCCAACCACTCAGGCAGAGGAGAACTTGAGAGAATGGTGTGGCAAATTGGCCACTTGTGAAACCAATTTGGTTCAGTGTCCTCAACTGCACAGAATAAATGGCAATTTATTGATGCTTGGTGTAATTGTAGGAACCTGAAAAAGAGGTTTATGGGACAATGAAATGAAAGATTTTTGAGGACAGCACAAAAAAAAATATCAACCAGTTTCATTGATAATGTAGGCATAATTGAAATCACTTAACAGAATTGCCTATAAATGCTAAAAAGGACAAGTTTTAATGACTGACATTTCAATATGGTCATCATAAGAAATCATAAAACCTGAGAGACCAAGTTCTTTTCTTTAAATTTGTCCTTTTTTTGGTTACATTTCTTGTGCATGTAGCAATGAAATTGACAGAACCATGACTGAAAAGAATAAACTTAGTCTTTTGTTGAGCCGGTTTTTATGTTTTGAATGCCCGCTGGCGATAGTTAGAAATAACACATCTGGTGCACCTACCGTTGGGTAAGGTAAATTGATTCAGCTCACAATGGAATATGCATTGAATATCGAGTTTCCAAAGGCAAAAGTACACTCTATTGAAAAATTCATGACTAATTTTAATGCCTACCGTGTACACATGTTCATTACATGTGGTGAACTCATAACAGATACATGCATGTATGATACAGTCTGCTGAACAAAAACTTGATGTATTGTACCATGGAGCTACCTGTATAAAACAGCTCCATGATTGTACACCATACAGTGGCTGTACACATTATGTGCATTTACAATTCTACAAAGATAAAAACTTGTACACATAATGTGTACATTACCGGTACATGAGCCAAGATTTTCAAATGGCTAGAGCCTACTCTTTTAAAGCAGCAAAGCCAGCGTTCTTGCGATAGTGGGGCGAGTGAGGGGAGGGGTTGGATGTTACAGTGGGAAGGGGGACACCCAATTTTTGTTGCATCCGTGCTGAAAGGCACAGCGTTTTTTTATCCGTCACCCGGCCGCCGAAAAATTAAATATTGGGGGTGGGGGACTGAACAGTGGACACCATCTTTCGATT